GCTGTTTACTGTACATGTTGATGTCCTCTTGTACTAGTGCCTACAACAGGCACCTTGGTAGACCCTTTTAATAGACGACAAGCTCGATTGCTTCAAATATTGGCAATTCCATGATTGACTCTGTGGAGGTCAAGCGCCTTTATGCACGCGCTGTGGCTACTGCTGCTGTCCTTCCTTTCCCAGAGCTCTTGATATCACAAGGCGGAGCTGAGTGGCGGCGAGCAATCTCGGATAGCTGCAGCCAATGGTTGCACCAGAGCTTTTGCCCCGGTTGGACTGAAGAATTGAAAGAGAGAGAAAAGAGATGGTGAAACTGCAGATGGAATCTCTATACTATGACAAGATTGAATCTTTAGCAATCATTACCAGCAGCAAGTGTTTAGTGAGGTGCGTGACTGAGACCCTGCTAAAAACTCAGGTACGCGTACCGCATGCCGTAAATGGCTGAGACCAAACTCGGAGCGAGCACCAGGCCGTTTAGGGCCTCCCTAGTGCCAGAAGCTCGAGCAGTGAGCACTGGCCGTTGATGCTACCGGCGCCACCTGAAGCTGCCCCCTGGCACCTGTCAGTTGCCAGTGTCTGAGGCGTCGACGCCATATCCGACACGTCAGGCTACATTGCCGAGTTGCTACAGCGGGCGAGCTGCGCAGGGGAGGTCCGAGAACCAGAAGGGAGCAGAAACCAGCGAGACGCGTGCAGTTGCTGACATGCACCGAAAGACAATTATATGCGCCGTATCATATCATACAGCATCTACCAACCGATTTGATTTGTTGCTTCTGTTTACTTTGCAACCATGATTTTATTCTCTTTTTTTGCCGCTTCTTGGCACCGCTGCATGGGGATTCGCTGAAACCAAACCAAGCTTCTCTCAACGCAACCCTCTCCCCTCTCCATCCGCATACAAGCCTGCCCCATCATATCCCCATATCCATCTTGGTTCTTCGTTTCTTTTTCTTGATTCTTCTCTTTCCTCTTTTCACTTTTCCCTTTTTCTTTATACCATCCTACTCGCTTCCTCTGGCTGGGTCCCCGGTCCTCGCCCGCATCTGTCATCGGCTCCCGATCCAACTCCCCGTCTTAGGGTGCCATTGACCATTTACCCTCCTAGTCCTTATTCTTGCCCCCTCTCTTCCTACTTGTTTCTCTGCCTACCAAGGTATAATCCAAAGCCTCCCCCTTTTTTGCATTGTCTCTTTTTTTCCACCTTGCTCCCACCCAAGCAGCTTCTCATTTTCCGTTCTTCCTCGTCTTGTTCGGGGGACGGAAAAGGTCACACCGAGGCGATCGGAAGCTCCCCCTGTTTGACACGCCGCCAAAATCGCCAACGGCATCCCCCCGGGCTAGTTAGAAGATCCTCCTTCATGGGTCTCGTTTAGCAGACGAACAGGCTATGCATCTGCTAGTGACTGCTTTTGCATTTTTGGTAGCGAATTGATGCTCTCTCTGTATTATCAGCAACGACATCGTGCGCATCCCTGGTCCAATAAGCACGACATACCTATATCGATGCTCTGCTATATGTTTGCCACTTTATCCGGGAGACAACAGCCAGTCACCACCAACCACTCTCCCTGCAATCGACATCGCCTACCTCACCTGCTAAGCTAAGCCTCGGCAAATCAGACGTCCATCTCACGAAGCCTTCGCTGCTCTGCTCGTCCCGGACGAAAATACATCGCCTCTCGCCTACCTTCCAACGCTTCGGCATTTTCTCGTCACTCACTGTTGCACCGCCATCCACCTGCCTGCCTTGTGACAGGTTGAGCAAACATTTCCTTTCGTGGCCTCTTGTTCATGGGCCCCTCCCTTTGCCCCCCAACATCTTAGGAGTTGGTTGGTGCCCTCAAATTCTTGGCTGGCGGCCTTCCTTTCTTTTTGCTTTTGCGTCGAGAAAGCACAGGCTACATCGGAGCTCATCCCTCTTATCCCCCCCCGCTGCGATTTCATTTCTTCCAGCTCCAAACTCCCTCACCTCCTGGATCTGCTCCGGAATTCTCTTCCTCTCTTCTCTTTCTATTATACATCTTTCTCTGGTTTTGGATACGGACCAGGGCTGCGTGACTTTTGCTTGCATACGCCGTTCGCTATACTCGAGCTCGTCCCAATTCGGCGATCTGACTGGTACCAGTACCTTCGCCGCGTCTCTCCTCTCCACTCGATAAGGAGGCGCATTGCTGTTCTGAATAGGGAGAGACTCGTCATCCGTTGGAAATTCAGCCTGGCGAGAATCTCGGATTCGCACCCCTACATGATCAACTATCATGGTTTCGGCAGCACAACACCTCCACTCAAGATACAACGTTTGATATAAACCGATACCCAGAAACCTCCATCGCCATCCACCACCATGGTCTATCAAGGCAAGCCCTCCAGGGGCTGTCAGATGTGCCGTACGCGCCGCATCAAGGTATGTCCTCAGCTCTTTGGTCCGGTTATGAAGCTCGGCGTCGAAGGAAACTCATCATCTACCAGTGTGACGAGACAAAGCCCACATGCAAGCAGTGTGCCAAGTCTCGCCGGCAGTGCCCGGGATACAGAGATGAGTTCGACCTAGTGTTTCGTAACGAGACTCAGGCAACAGAGAAGAGAGCTCAGCGCGCCTCGAAAAAGGCCCTGGCCCAGAGGATGAGCAAGTTCTCCGCTGCTTCCTCTTCAGAATCACCCTCTCCAAACGAGGCATTCTCAGCACCCTCCTTTAGCACCGCCGAGCATCTGGCTTCACTAGCCACGCATGGCCGAAAGAATCAGCAGACGCCCTGGGCCGGCCTGTATGCCCTACTGCAGAAACCCCAGATGGACCTAGAGGGCCAAGCGAGCTGCCATTTCCTATCCAACTACGTCCTCATTCCTCGAGGGGGAAACGGCCGCGGCTTTCTCGAGTACATTGTGCCACTGCTGAGAGCAGAAGACATTGCTCCTCAATTTAAAGCTGCATTCGATGCCTGTGCAATGGCTAGTTTTGCCAACTCTCAAGGAAACCAGCATCTTGTTGAACGTGCTCTACGCACTCATTCCAAGGCTTTGGGGGCTATCAACGTAGCATTGAATAATCCAGACACTATCAAACAGGACTCTACCTTGGCGGCAATTCTCCTCCTGGGACTTTTTGAAAATATTACAACACGAAACCTTGGCATGCTAGCTTGGGGCCCTCACATCCGTGCGGCGATTCAGCTTGTTAGGAAGCGAGGCCGCAAACAACTGCGGACTAAAATCGGCGTGGCATTGTTCATAGCCGTGCGAACTCAAATGGTAAGTCTAGTATTTCATCTGTTCCTCTTTTGTTTTCTCCTAATCATGTTTCTATAGATTGTCCACACGCTCAGCACCGCGAAGCCCCCTCTAATGCAGTCAGAGTGGTGGGTTAATTCAGATGCGATACGAGACCCCCTTGCCTCTCAGTGCCAGAAACTCAGTCTCCGCGCGGGAGAAATCAGAGCAGAAGTAAATCGACTCATGAGCCAACTGCCTCGGAACATGGAGAGCGTCGAAGCTATCCGAGATATGATCAGGCAATCCCAGGAAGTGGATTTTGAGTGCGTTCGCTGGGCAGAGTCGCTGCCGGAGAATTTCAGATATCGGACCATCCTCTGGCAGGACGATATCCCCGATGCCGACTATTCTCAGCTAGAGGTGTTCCCAGGCCGCGTCGACGCTTACCCAGATTTATGGGTGGCCAGCCTATGGAGCATGATGCGAGTGTCACGAATCATCTTGGCATCTCTCGTCATCCGATGCGCAGCCTGGGTTTGCTCACCGGTTGACTATCGCACGGCCCCAGAGTATGCCACGGCGAGGAGAATATGCGCAGAGAGCATTACGGATATAATAGCATCAGTACCCTATCAGCTCGGGTGGTTTTCCACGCGCAAGCATCTATTCCAGCAGCAAGAAAGCCTTGTTGCATTCGCTTGCGGAGACGAGGACAGCTCAAAAAGCCTCGCCGGATACTTTCTGACATGGCCATTGGCCTGTATCCAAGGCCAAGATTACACGACTGATGCCCAGAGGACCTGGGCCCGGGGACGGCTCACTTATATTGGGAGAGAGCTTGGTGTAGCCTATGCTCTGATGTTGACTCAGGTATGCATCATCTCTTGTTGTTATCTTTCTCTCACCTCCTAGATCCATTCCGTCCCCGATTTATAGCTGACCGCTGAAATCAACAATGTAGCTCAACTATCGAACTCCTTCCATGCTCATCAGGATGGACGGCTTAATGGCCACAAATACTTCCCCCAATGTCGAGAAGCTCCTCTCTATGAAAGTCGCGAAGCCATCTACAATCCTGTCCACAAATCCTATGCAGCAGCAGTTTTTCAGACAGAATTTCGAAGGCCAACCAACCGTACTAGTAAGTGAAGCAGCAGGCGTTATTTATGGCTAGCTCGCTAAAGATGCACTACTACAGTTGCCGCAGCATACAGTCATATCCACATACGATGATACGAGTCCAGAGGGTGACTGAGCTTTTGGGCGCCACGCGGGCCAGGGGAGAAAGGCATAAGGGTTAAAGGCGCATGTACAAGACAAGCTTGCGAAATAATGTTTATCGGGATATCGGTTCTTCTTCTTGGATAATGTCACCGTATCATATTGCTTATTTATGGGGAGGAAGGGGAAATATCAGCGCAGGTGTTCAGATAGAGTTACACATTATAAGATATGCATAATGACCGCTTGAATGCCTTGTTCGGCCCAGCGACGACGCATCAAACACCATTCGTCTGGTGGTTTTCGGGTAATTCCTCCGCGTTGCTCTTGACAAGTACATCGTATCCATGAGAATGATGGCGAAAACGGTGGTCTCCATGCCGACTTGCTTCCCCTTGGTATTTCGTGTACGTCCTTTCACATGTCATTGTAAACTCAGAGTTGGCTTGGATAGTAGCTCCGTTTTGAGCATCACTATCTCGAGCCCTTTCTCTTCCTATAAGCAGACACAAAAAAAAAACCAGGTTAGAAACTTGTCCCTAAAACCGTAGTTGGTTTTCTACTCACATTTCCTCGTCCTTTTGGGCGTTGGCCAGATTCCAGGCCTTGACGACGTAGCTCTGCGTCTTGTCGACGTACTTTTCGTTTTGCATCTGCCGGACGCCGACGCGCATGCCGTCCTTTGTGAAGACGACGTTCTTCTTGCCCATGCGCTCGGACGCGCTCTCGCGGATCTTGGTGAAGGAGAGGTAGACCTGGTAAAGGACCCAAGCGATGCCGCTGATGAGGGCGATGGCGATGACGAGCGGGACGACTTGGCTGTGATGCGCGCACAAAAACTGCTTGTTAGACGTCTTACTTGTAGGAGAGAGGATATACAGGCGATAAAAGGTAGGGCGTACCGAATTATGGAAGGCATGGTGTTTTTAATGGAAGTTGGTGTGAGATGAGATAAGATGGGATGAGCTGAGCTGAGCTGAGAGATTTGGTATAGATAAAAAATTGGGTATCTGGTTGAAAGAGAAGAGAGAATATGGAGAATATGGAGAATATGGCCTTGGCACGCGGTATCTTTGATTTACTGAAGCGGACTTATTGAATGAAGATTTGTGGCGCGCGACAGGATGATGTCAATTGTGGTGTTCGAAAATCAAAGGGACAGAGAAAGCTGAAGGAATGGCAGTCGCGCGACAGAAGAAGAAGATAGAAAATAGAGTAAAAGAATAAGGTAAGTAAAGAGCGCGACGAGATGGTAAAAAGTAAGAAGAAGTTGTTTTCTTGGCGTGCCTGAAATAGAAAAGAGAGGAAAGGTTTTGAGGATTTGGGATTGTAAAGAGGCGAAGCTGAAAGCTGAAAGCTGAAAGGAATAAATTGTTTTTTCGAGGGGGGGTGGGAGGTTGGACAGGGAATGCTGGGAGAATTATGGCCTAGGGATGGATGGATATAACCAAATGGGGGAGGCCTCTGCCTCTGTTTCCTAAAAAATAGGTGCAGGCCAGTTCATTTTTAGGTAGAGCCCACCTACCAGAAATAGCACTGCGAAGCGAACAGCACGCAGGGTCTGCCGTTACATGGTTTGCATGTGCCTTGCGTGCTGCGGTTGGTTCTGCTGTGGAATTCGGGCTCGGAACAAGCATAATTCCATGAGACGGCGCGCACCACAAAAGGAAGAGGGAGGAAATCTTCAATCTTCTTTTCCAAAAAAAAAAAAAAAAACCCCCCCTTTGCTCGTCGCGCTGCAGAGTTCAAGGTATGTAAGACCTAAGATGCAATATCGAGGGTTGCTTACTGCTGCAGAGAGTGCCTCGTTTTGTCAGAGCTGGGCGGGCTGCCGTTGGTGATTACTGAGGGTTTCCGGTGCCTGAATGTTTTAGTGGGCTCTGGAGAAGCGCTAATGCGCTGTGGGCACGGGCGGTGGGTTCTGTAGGCGAATGCCTGTCAGTATTGCTGCATGCCGTGAATTCAGATGTATTCAATGTTACAAGTCTGGTGTGATGAAATACTACTGGTAGCTATTCTTCCTCTTTCTTTTCAATGATACGTATATCATGTATAATAGCTTGATGAAATTTGAAGGATTCTAGGCTAATGACAATACAAGGCCGCCTAGAGATTTGCAACTCTACAGGCAAGTGGTCAACTAATACTAGCGACATGCATCGAGACCACCTACAAAACACATCAGGTTAAAGAAGGGAGATGTCAACCACTTGGATTGAAATCGGCGTAAATCTATACCGGCAATCAGACAGCCAGCCGTCTAATCAATGTCCCGTTTCGATGCAGTAAAATCCCCCGCAGCCAAGCAGCGTCCTAATCAGGTCACTGCAGTGGCGATGATTCAACAGGGGGTTCTAGTTTCATTTCGCTTGCCGGTTTCCGCGCTTCGTTCACTTGTTCCTACGCCGTATCTGGTACCATTATTTCGACCTACCCTGGGGCCTGAGTCGCTGCTCAGCAAAATGAATTAAATTTACTTCGTATATAAAATAGGTTTCTCATAAGTGAGCTGTTTTTCCGCATCTCGTCTATGCTAGTGTTGGATCTTTACGAAACCGACTTTATCCTTCGAAATACCTCGAGTAAATCCAGGCAATTGCTATGGAGGTATTGCAGGCATGTGGTTCGGCCTTCAGCAAATATTGGGGAGCCTGAATCGGTAGTGTGGCTGAGCCGAGCGTGCCAGCTTAACAACGGAGCATGCCAGCTAAACAACAGTGCTTCTGACTGGCACAGTGGCCTTGCATATTCCAGGCTGCACTCACACTATACCAATGAAAGATGTGGTTACGTGTCTCATTAACGGTCTGAGGAAACGTCGGCCTTTTAACAAACACCTGTCAAATTCTCATGTTTTTGCCAAGCTATAAACTCGACGTCTGCAACGTCGTCCAGAGCTGCGTCAAGCCGCCGCAAAAGCCTTCCTGCCTCAGCCACAGCGCCCCTCTCCGTGTGGCGCAGAGGCGGTCTACCGTAATAACTTGTTGATCCAAAGAGGACACACTGCTGAATCGAGGTACTACTGCACCAGCAGTGACAGCTGGCTCTGCCCACGATCAAACGATTCTTCTTCCATCTCCAGCTCATCAATCCGCCCGGCCGGCTGGCTTCAACGTCCAAATCACCCATATTTCGACTGTCGGACTCCCACTCGGTCGTTCCCTCTCCCTCACCTGAGCACCTAGCTACAGCTCTCTTTGTTGAGAACCCCCCACCAACCCGACCTGACCTACCTACATCAACATCCTTTCCCTTCAGCCGCGCACATAGCGACGCCCTCTGTCGGCCCTACATCATCATGTCGGCGCCGCCCAATGATGGCTACGGCCAACCGCTCGATCAAGCGCAGGAGCAGCCTTACGACGGCCAAGCCGCGCACCCAGCGCACCAGGAGGGAGCTGCTGCGGGCAAGAAGAAGAAGCGAGGATATGCGGCGCAAGCTTTCGAGGTCGGCACAGGAGCCAATGCTCTAGCAGGTGGCCAGGTACCAGGCGGACAGCCATTCGCCGGCGCGCCAATTCAAGGCGGTGCCGCTTCCTACGGATCATATCCTCAAGCCGAGCCTCAGCCCGTCGCCGGCGGCCCTGCAGCTCCTGGATACCAATATCCCCAGGCCGGTTATGGCGGCCAGCAACCCGTCGCGGCATCGCAGCCCGTCTACGGCGGCTACCAGGCTCCCGATCAGGGATACCAACCGCCAGGAGGTCAAGGGCCTCCCGCCGGCGTCGCTGGTATCACCCAGGGCATGGCTGGTATGCAGATGGGCAGCCAGCCTCAACAGCCTCAGATGGCCCAGGCAGCCAGACCCGCTGTCCTCAACCAGCTGTATCCTACGGATCTCTTGACTCAGCCATTCAATGCCACCGAGCTGGATCTACCACCTCCCCCGATTATTCTCCCGCAAAATGTGAGTGTATACATGTGCTTTAGTGATACGCGCGGCTTTAACTAACCAGCGCTTCTTCGCCTTTCGCGTACAGACCAGCGTGACCGACTCGCCAGATGCCAACTGCCCTTCGCGGTACATCCGCTCCACGATTAATGCTGTCCCCACATCGAACTCGCTGCTCAAAAAATCCAAGCTTCCATTTGCACTAATAATCCAGCCGTACGGAGCCCTCCACGACGACGAGGATCCCATACCAGTTGTCCAAGATCAGGTCATTTCTCGTTGCCGAAGATGCAGGACATACATCAACCCCTTTGTTACCTTTTTGGACCATGGCCACCGCTGGAGGTGCAACATGTGCAACCTGAGCAACGATGTGCCTCAGGCCTTTGATTGGGATGTCGCGGCCCAGCAAGCAGCCGACCGATGGCGACGCCACGAGCTCAACCACGCCGTTGTCGAGTTTGTTGCTCCTCAGGAGTACATGGTCCGACCACCCCAGCCTCTGGTGTACCTGTTCTGCTTCGACGTCAGCTACGCAGCTGTTTCCAACGGTCTCCTGGCCACGAGCGCCCGAACCATTCTCGACAGCTTGAATAGGATACCCAATGCCGACCGCCGAACTCGTCTCGGTTTCCTCGCGGTTGACTCTAGCCTCCACTACTTCTCTATTCCCAAGGACTCGGACGAGAATGGCGAGACCAGCATGCTGGTGGTTAGCGACCTTGATGAGCCTTTCCTGCCGGTGCCTCATGACCTCCTGGTTCCTCTGACCGAGAGCCGCCAGAGCATCGAGAAATTCCTCCAGAAGCTGCCGGATATGTTCCAGAACAACCAGAGCAACGGTTCGTGCATGGGGTCAGCTCTGCGCGCGGGACACAAGCTCATTTCTGCCCTTGGCGGTAAAATTGTTGTCCTCACTGCCTCGCTGCCCAATATCGGCGTCGGAAAGCTGGATATGAGGGAGGACAAGAAGCTTCTGGGAACTTCCAAGGAGAGCAGTCTCCTGCAGACTTCAAACAGTTTCTACAAGAGCTTTGCCGTCGAGTGCTCCAAGAACCAGGTTTCTATTGACATGTTTTTGTTCTCGTCCCAGTACCAGGACGTGGCATCACTGAGCAACCTGCCGAGATATACTGGTGGTCAAACTTGGTTCTACCCTGGCTGGCACGCCTCACGGCCGGAAGATGCGCTGAAGTTTGCCTCCGAGTTTAGCGATTACTTGTCGTCTGAAATCGGACTGGAAGCCGTTCTCCGAGTTCGTGCGACTACGGGTCTGCGCATGAACGCCTTTTACGGAAATTTCTTCAACCGTAGCTCGGATCTTTGCGCCTTCCCCGCTTTCCCTCGCGACCAAGCCTACGTTGTCGAAGTTGCCATTGATGAGAATCTCACTAAGAACGTCGTGTGCCTTCAGGCAGCCGTATTACACACCACATGCAACGGAGAGCGTCGCATCAGAGTGCTGACCCTCGCCCTGCCCACGACGACGAATTTGTCTGATGTGTACGCATCAGCGGACCAGGCCGCCATCACCACCTACTTCAGCCACAAGGCTGTGGAGAGAGCGCTCAGCAGCGGCCTCGACGCGGCTCGCGATGCTCTGTCGGCCAAGGTTACCGAGCTCCTGCAAACCTTCAAGAAGGAGTTGGCCGGTGGCAGCATGGGTGGAGGTCTGCAGTTCCCTGCCAACCTCCGCGCGCTCCCTCTTCTGTTCCTGGGTCTCACAAAGAATGTCGGACTTCGAAAGTCAACACAGATTCCGTCTGATATCAGATCGGCTGCCCTGTGTCTCCTCTCCACGCTCCCAATTCCTTTGTTGATCCGATACATTTACCCCAAATTTTACTCTCTACACGACATGCCCGACAACGCTGGTGTACCCGATGAGACCACTGGCCAGATTACGCTTCCCCCAGCGCATAACCTTGCTTCAGAGAGATTAGTATCATACGGCCTCTATCTGATTGATGATGGCCAGGTTCAGTTCTTGTGGGTGGGCCGAGACACCGTCCCCCAGCTGATTGCCGATGTCTTTGGAGTAGAAGACCGCACACAGGTTCATGTCGGCAAGGGACGAGTCCCCGAGCTTGAGAACGACTTCAACGAGCGTGTCCGAGCTGTGATCCAGAAGAGCCGAGATCACCGAGCACTTGGAGTGGGAAGCATCACCGTGCCCCACCTGTATATCGTGCGGGAAGATGGCGAGCCGTCTCTCAAGCTGTGGGCGCAGACACTGCTCGTGGAAGACCGAGCGGACCAGGGAGTGAGTGCCGCACAGTGGCTGGGCACACTGCGAGAGAAGGTATGTGGACTGGCATCATGACGATATATTTCTTTAAGAAGCGCAATACTGACATGAATATCAATCTAGGTTGTGCAGTAATGCTGAAGAGTGCTTGCACTTACGAGAATGTGTTATGGTGTTGCAATTATAATTGTATAGACTAGGTAGGGTACTAGTGATGGGGGGTTCACATGGTGGCTGGCCTGGAGTAAAAAGACAAAATGAGGATAGGAGCGAGGAGAAGGACTTGTGGCTTAAAGTACTATACAAGCAATATTTCGACAAAAAATAGTAATGGAAAAAAACGATCAACGAATTTTTTTAAAACCTTTATCCGGTTAGCCTTGATGCCATTGTCTTGATTTTCGGCTTACTCTCGTGCTCTATTGATTTTCGGCTTACTCTCGTGCTCTATATATGCGGATGACGGTGATATAGGCCCGCTGCACGGCCGTTAACAACAGCAGCTTTTGCGAAGAGTAGGAGTAGTATTTAGGGGCATGGGATAGAGTGGTGGCGTGTTTTTTTTGGCAGGTTGGTTGCGTGTAACTCCATCTTGTGAATGCGCCTATTTGACGACCAATGCGAAGCTCTAGAGGGCAGCTGTAAACATCAAAGCTTGTGACGGAGGCATGAATATTGGCATCACAGGAGCGCTAAGGCATGTGCGGCTCGTTTTCGTCACATTCGCTGCGGGCGTAATAGTGCTAGCAAGGGACTCTATTGTTTTCTTCACTAGTAATCCCGTGATGCGATTCAGCATTCTACATATTCTTTTTCTCTTTTTGCTATTGCCTGCTTATAGATTGTCTGCCCTGTGGTAGGACATCACAAGCGAGGATGCCGAAAAGAGACAAAAAAAAAAAGGACCCGAGTTTTTGAAACGACGCTTAGAGAAGAACTTCTAACGTCCTTGTTTGAGGTTGTGCGGCGGCGGTTGCCCCCTCCTCCGTGTGATTTGCGCCGCAGGTTGGGCAAGGGGTGGGGCAGCGGATTTTTTGGGTGATGAAACAGGCGAGGGGGAGACGCTTGACAGGCCAATGGGAATGGAGATTAGGCGCTTGGCACAGTGGTTGGAGGAGGCGAACTTTGGAGGGAGAAAAAGAAGGGTGAAACGCCGGGGAAAGGCTGTTTGGCCTGATTTTGTTTGGTGATGGCTTGGGATTGGTGTTTCTGGGAGATTGAGAGACGGAATTACTGGGAAATGGTTTGTTTTACGGCATGCCTAGGCAGGAAGACATGCACCGCACTGTGCCGCGATTATCTCGCAGCATGAGCATGAGTAAATAGCACTGAGCGGTTGTCGAGGGTCGTGATGTGAAGCGCCATTGGACCGCTGGCTTGCGCCTCTCAGCCTGTAAGATGGCTCAAACGCCCCTGGGCCACGATCCCCTCTCCAAGGCCCACCCGAGCCTCCTGCGCTATGGAACGCTTTAGCGGGCTCTAGCGGGCTAGTGGACGGCGCTATTGCTGGGTGAGGTTCTGCGTTAAGGGACGGGGCGAGGGCCTAGAGCTTGACTCTATCTTTGCGAGATGCTTGGGGATCATGTTGTGAGAGAAGATGGAGGAAGAGAGTGTTATTTCAATTTGAGCGAATTGTAAATATACAGTTTTATTTTATTGATTTGCTATTTGATCTATTCATTCATGACAACCAACGGCATATGCCTATTGTTCTATGCTTGTGTTGGATAGGTAGAGTGCTAGTATAGCTCCCTACTTCATCCGTCCTCCTGTTTGTTGCCTTGTAAACGCCGTCAGCCAACCGTTCCCAAGGCCAGCTGCAGCCATCGATGGGCTGCATTTCTTCAGTGACCCAATCCGGCCTCGTTCTAGACGGGGTTTCGTTTCAACAAAAGATCAATACAATCAAGGCACGTTGCACAAAGGGTCGCGGCAGGGCCCTCCGGCATTTCCCCGTCATCCTCTCCGCGTTGCAAAACCAAACCTTCCTCAAGCATCCTCAAGCATCATCACCTTATTCTCTGTTCCCTGTTGAGCTTCTCGACGTCTGAATAGAGCCCAGCCCGGCCGCCTGTAAAAAGAGCTCCAGCACTATCTGCTGCCGTTCAGCCTGGTCCATCTGCCAGGATCGGCGGGTTGTCACAGGTCGGGTTGCAAGGGGTCCCCCGAGCGGATCCTCGCCGTACGAACCTGTAACTCTCTCTCTTCTGCCTACCTTGCCATTCCAGCATCACCGTCTCCCCAGAGGCTGAAGAGACAGCTCTTCCGTTTGTTTCCTTTTCCTCAGCCGTCAAGAGTCCCCTGGCCTGGAGAAGCCTCCTAGTTCGTCCCCGCCGGCCCTCCTGAATTATTGCCTTGTGCCTGTGCCGCATACGAGCAGCTGGTAGCACGAGCAGCCTTTAGTACATAATACTGACCACCACTCAGCTGAAGGCAGCTTGAGATACAAAGGCCTTCCACCATCCCCCCCACTTGGCCCAGCACGCACCTTCGACCCCGCAGCCAAGCAGCTTTTTGGCTCAGCACACCGAGACTTCCATACAGCATCGCTTTATACGGAGCCGCCCTTATAGCTCCCCAAAATCTCACCCTCTTGCCAACGACCGGACTGGACTGTTTCTCCTACAACAACGTCTGCATCTTTGCGTGCCAAGCTCCTTCATCCTGTTAGTAGCTGTGTCGCCCGATTCACGTCCTCGATGCAAGAGAGCCCTCAACTGACCGCATTAGTTCGCTGAGTGGAGTTGCGCTTTAGATTGTCGACCGCTATCCGCACATTAGCCTGCGGGCATCGACGAGCAATCTACAACCAGACAGCCCACCGAACGAGGCCTTTGTCACCCTTTTCTGAACTCTGGTGTGCTTTTGCGTCTTTTGTTTTCCTGTTCGCCGCTTCGTTTTCGAGCTTTTCTGAGAAGCACGAGCGAGAGCCTCTACAAGCGAGCTTTCGGAATTGCCCTCACCTCTTCACAACCACAAAAACCACAACGGCAGTCGATTTAGGCCCAAGCCGCCAGCCCGACCACCATGTCTCGGTCGACCGCCCCCAATGCGTCAGCGTCGCGCAAGATCTCCTTCAATGTCAGCGAGCAGTATGATATTCAGGATGTAGTTGGTGAAGGAGCCTACGGTGTTGTTTGGTAAGTTTTTTTGCCTGTTTCTCGCCTGCTGGTGACGCTGGGACACGCCGTTTGCTAACACCGATTTGACTTGGATAGCTCCGCCATTCACAAGCCGTCAGGACAAAAGGTTGCCATCAAGAAGATCACCCCCTTCGACCATTCCATGTTCTGTCTGCGAACCCTGCGAGAGATGAAGCTGCTGCGCTATTTCAACCACGAAAACATCATCTCCATCCTCGATATCCAGAAGCCTCGAAGCTATGATAGCTTCAACGAGGTCTACCTCATTCAGGTATTTTATCCCCTGTGAAGCTCCGGGAGTCGCTGCAAGCTTCTGTCTGCTTGTTTTCTTCTCCCCCATTTCGTTTGGCACCTGTGCTCACCATCAACTTTCGCGTAGGAACTCATGGAGACGGATATGCACAGAGTTATCCGCACCCAAGATCTATCCGACGATCACTGCCAGTACTTCATTTACCAGACGCTGCGTGCGCTCAAAGCTATGCACTCGGCCAATGTTCTGCACCGAGATCTCAAGCCCTCCAACTTGCTGTTAAATGCCAACTGCGATCTGAAAGTCTGCGATTTTGGTCTGGCCAGATCTGCCGCTTCCCAGGAGGACAACTCGGGTTTCATGACGGAATATGTCGCTACGCGATGGTATCGTGCGCCCGAGATCATGTTGACCTTTAAGGAGTACACCAAGGCCATTGATGTTTGGTCCGTTGGCTGTATCCTGGCTGAGATGCTGAGCGGCAAGCCTCTGTTCCCTGGCAAAGATTGTAAGTGCCTGATCACAGATGGAGGCTTTGAGTCGAAGACTTGACCAAATGAACAATGCGCTAACACAAAGGCTCTTCTAGACCACCACCAGCTGACTCTGATTCTGGATGTGCTCGGCACACCCACTATGGAGGACTACTACGGCATCAAGTCTCGGCGAGCACGAGAGTACATCCGCTCGCTGCCTTTCAAGAAGAAGGTGCCATTCCGCACCTTGTTCCCCAAGACGTCTGACCTGGCACTCGACCTCCTGGAGAAGCTGCTTGCATTCAACCCCGTGAAGCGAATCACGGTAGAGGATGCCCTCAAGCACCCATACCTCGAGCCCTACCACGACCCTGAGGACGAGCCCACTGCGCCTCCGATCCCGGAGGAATTTTTCGATTTCGACAAGCACAAAGATACCCTGAGCAAGGAGCAGCTGAAGCAGTTGATTTACCAAGAGATTATGCGGTAAAATCAGAAAATTCTATTTGAAGGAAGGAGATTGATGAAGCACATGGTTGAGTGATGCCGTGTTGAGAAACTGAATTAAAGCGGAAGCATTTTCTTGAGGATATAGAGCAATTGAGACTGGCAAAGAACGGAAATATATTTCTTGGCTACAGTAAGCCGAGAAGGTGGAGGGAAAGGGAGGGACGAAATTTGAAATGAATCAATACACTGGCTTCGGGTGCCTCTACTTTTTATTATCTTGTTTTCTGTTTTAGTATATATATATATATGTATTCTGGTTCACTACATGCATGCAGTCTATATTGATTGTTGACACGGATGATGTAGTAGATGGCATGCTGTACGTTTGCGGAATCATTTTCGGACTTGGGTTAGAGGATCTACAGTACCTAGGACGGTAGGAGATGAAATGTTTGCACCGCGTTGGAACAGTGAGATTAACGACTTGTACTACGATAGATGTGTTCAATATCTATCTACCTATAAAGTAGGTAGTACTCAGTCAATGTTTCATCAGGTGTCAACGTTCAAAGATTGATACCGGTAGATTGCGCTCTGCCGTTGAAGCCGTGAAGGCGCCGTGTATATTTTTAGCAGCACGTGCTACTGCCTACAGGCACTGCTAGCGCGCCTTGCTGCTTCTGGCAGGTCCCACTGCAGCAGCCAGACAGCGTCAACTTGTTGGCATTCTAGTGGCCTGTTGTCACCATCCTCCAGCCACCACCACCGCCCAGGCACCTCTTGCGCAGGTACTTGCAGCATCCGCGCCGTGGACTCTGATCGCCAACCATCCTGGGCAGCATTAGATCAGATTGCCCTTGCCGGTTCTCCCTTTCCTTCTTCTCTTTCCATGGCCGTTCGGCATTTGTTCCACCGCTGGCGGGTCTCATCTTTGGATACGTCATAACGTTTTGGACCGCTAAATACCAGAGTGCGGAAGCTTTGCGTTTCCCCATACGGCCACGTACCTAATTACCAAGCTTAATATCACCACTACCACCTCTATCGTCAGAGTGGTGCTTTGCAATCAAGGGATAGCTGTCATTGCTTACGCCTGTTCCAAAGGCGGCTACACTGAAAAGCTCCAACGGTGGAAATACAACATCAAATCCGGCAGCAATGTGGAGTTTGATGCGGCGCTGGTCGACAGAGGAGACACACGTCCCCAGCCATCTCGATGAAGGCGAAGACCAAGATAACAACCCTCGCCGCGCGGCGACCCTGAAAGATGGCATTAACGATGTCTACACGCCCATGATCCGCACACTGAGTCCCTTCCGCCCTCCGCCGCTGGATCCAGTCATACTCCACGGATACAAGGACAGCACGCCCGCGGGATCGAGGCTGCTGACGACGGTGGTGGCGGAGGAGATTCGGACCATGGTGCCGGAGCGGCTGCGCATCACCGAAGACTGGCGCTTGGTGTATAGCATTGAGCAGCACGGCACGAGCCTGACGACTTTATACCAGAAGTGCAGGCAGTATGAGGGCATGAGGGTGGGCTTTGTGCTGGTTGTGAAAGACCAAGAGGGCGGGGTAAGTTTTTTGAGAATTGGCAGATGAAGTTGAAAGAGGCGTTTCCAGTGTTTTGTTCTGACTTACCTATCTACCTATTGATCTAAGCGGTACGTTGAGGAATAATTGCTGACAAAAAGCCATTAAACAGACATTTGGCGCCTATCTCTCCGAGTACCCTCATCCGGCTCCATCCTATTTTGGTAACGGTGAATGCTTCTTGTGGCGTGCCTCGACATTGACGTCTCTTCCGCTGCCACCGTCGGCCGACACGACGTATTTGACGCGCAGTACGACGCTCGCCCCCCCGCCTCGATCTGGGGCTTCGACACCAAGATCGATAGATACGACACCTGGCATTCGCTTCAAGGCGTTTCCATACAGTGGCCTCAACGACTTTTACATCAATTGCGAGACAGGATTCTTGAGCGTGGGGTCTGGCGGTGGACATTATGGCCTGTGGCTGGACGACTCGCTTGATGTGGGACACAGCGCGACTTGCGAGACCTTTGGAAACGAACCACTCAGTGACGCAGGGTCCAAGTTCAGCGTCATAGGCGTTGAGCTTTGGGTGATTGGTGCATGAAAGAAGAGTGCGGCTTCTTTTTTTTTTATTGTCTGGTCTATCTGGTCTACGGCTCTGGCGGGGGAAACACATCATTTTGAAAGGGCTTGATGCTCTTTCCACATCTCCTGGAGCTCCTTCTCCTCCGCTTCATCTTATTTATATTGGGATGACTCAACCAATTTTTTTTTTCAAAGTGGAATAAGCGGCGCAGTTTCACAGCATAATGAATCAACGGTATCAGAAGAGTTGAGGAAGTGCATCATATCATAGGATCTACGTCAAATCCGTGTATATACCATGCCAGAGCTCATGTCGAATGCGATGATGAGTGAGACGGAGAACAAGCGAAAGGCATATGAGGCTGACCATGGCCAGAAAGAGGTGGGGAAGAGTAATAACAATGCTTGATGCTTAGACAGACAGATGATTTATACTATGATACCCAGAAACCAAATTGAAAGAGCGCTATTTCCCACCATCTATGCCTCTCTAATGTCTACTCTTACAATGTTATAGTGCTATAGTCAGATGTGCCATGTCCAGCATTGGCTTTCCCCAAGCTTGTGTTTCCTCCTCTTGCTTGAATTACGTCTCGTCGTAACAGCTTCTCAGGAGGTTCTCTCCCGGAATGCCACTATTCCCTCCAACAGCCCCTCTGGTGTGGGCGTCTCAGCGCAGACATCAGGCTCAAAGTCGAATTTCTTGACCAAGTGGCTCCTAGTCGTAGGCCCAATGGTGGCTACAAACGTCTGCTCGTCCCGCCGTCCAGGCACAAATTTCCCCGTGGAGGCATCTAACATGCCAAGACCGCGGAGCATGCTGTCACAGCCCGTCGGCGAGAAGACAATGACCCACCGAGAAGAGCTGGATCGCGTCCTTTCTAGTACGGTCGCAAAGTCTTGAGGGAACGATTCTATCTCGCCAGTGCTGTAGACGATTTCCTCAACGATGGGAATCTGCTTGTTGTTAGGCAGAGAAGGGTCTATCAGGGTGCGCGGGATGATGTCCCTGCGCTGTTCGCCGACGAGGAAGAGCAGCGGGGGTAGGCTGGAAGGGTGATGATGCCACTCGGCGTAGTGGTCGAGGATGTAGTGCGCGAGGGCATCGCCGTTGCCCGTGTGGCTGCCAAAGATTTGGAGCGGGGGCTGTTGGGAGACGGCTGTGAGGGCGCGGGTGGTGGCGGGGCCGACGCTGTAGATGGGGATGTGTTGCAGGTGAGGCCATTCTGGGGAATCTGTTGAGAAAAGTAATTATTAAGAAGTTATTTTCTTTTGAATCCGGCAGTGTTGAAGATGGAATGAGTATACCTTTTGCTGCTTCGTCTTCGCGCACGACATGTGCAAACGCCTCCACTGCCCTCTGGGAAGTAAATATGATGCCGCCGAATTCGCAGTCCGGGCTCGTGCCGATGCGCTTCTGGCGGAGTAACGTTCGGAGTTTGTCTACCCCGGCGTCGTCAAATTGGTGTTGTAGGACTGGTACGAATGTTGGTTCGAAGGAGAGGCTGCTGCTGCTGCTGTTGCCATTGCTGGATGCTCTTGAAAAGAGCTCTTCATATGCGTCTGTTGGACTTGATTTCGTCTTGAGCAGCAGGACTGGGATTGGCTGCTCCGGATTGGACGCTGGTGGAGGTGACATGTTTGCGGAGAGCTTAATGTGGGATGATGGTGGTAGTTAAGGCAAAGGGCATTTGACGGTTGGTCAATTGGTGCTGGGATCTGCGTGAGGGAGTTCAATTGAGAGGCTGTCCGCTTTGCGCCGTTTTGAGCTTATACTGTAAGATGCTTGAACAAGATGGCCGACGCCAGGAAGGCTGTCATCATAGCTCAGACGAGATCCCGAATTAGAACGTGGGGCTGTTAGCGCAGTGGCTTGGAGGGGCATATCGATAAAGGAAAAAAGTGTCCCGGAGCTAGGAAAGCCTCAAAGGCCGTGTGGGCTGACAAATGACATTCAATCAATTGTTCAACTAGTAGTAGTCTTTAGTGTGGCCATTTTTATAGATCTCTATTCCAACCTTTCAGCCTTTTCTTTTTACGATTTGCTTGATGCTTACTTGGGGCTTACGAAGAGCGTTGTTATAGTGTGAGAGCGGGAACTCCTAGACAATGGCTGAGGCTTCACTTCGAGACATCACAACGGCGCTGCCAGCTTCGGCGCCCTCGGCTGCTTCCGATGCCGCCGACCAGCAGCCCAAGAAGTTTCCCAAGGGAGTGGTGCTGGGCAAAGATGGCAAGCCGTAAGTGCTCTCTATACTTTATCCTCCGGCTGTGTCTGTGCCTGTTCGAGCGCGGAGTAGCAGCAGCACAGTTGTACAGACAAGTCGAGAGTCTGGCATTAACAAAAGCGTAACCCTGTCTACAGATGCCGAAGCTGCACCTCGTTTGCTGCATGGGCCACGCAGGCCAAGGACCAGACCAAGAAGGACGCAGTTCCCGGCAGCAGAGCCGTATCCACCGCGGCCGTCGCCTCGGGCCCTCCAGCCGACTGTCCGCCAGATGTCGAGACTCTCGGCCGCAGCACCTGGACGCTGCTCCATTCCATTGCGGCCTCGTACCCAGAGACGCCCTCGCAGACGCAGCGATCCGACCTCCTGAGCTTTGTCGGGCTGTTTTCCAAGCTGTATCCGTGCTGGGTCTGCGCCGAGGACTTCCAGGGCTACATGGCACGGCAGAAACCGCAGGTGAATTCGCGCGACGATTTTTCGCAGTGGCTGTGCCGCGCGCACAACGACGTGAACAAGAAGCTGGGCAAGCCGCAGTTTGACTGTTCACGCTGGGATGAGCGCTGGAGGACGGGCTGGAAGGACGGTCGCTGCGACTGATGGAGTGGCTGTGAATTTTTTTTTTTCTCCGACTGTACGAGTATCATTAGATGGCGCGAAGCAAGGAAAACGAAAAGAAAGGAGGCAAAGTCTGCGGCAAGTGCATGCAGCAGTGTACGATTGTGAGCGAGGTCGATTCAGCTCAATTCTTTTGGCAGCATATACCGACGGCGTTATTTTCCCAGAAGCGTTGGGAATAGGGGCAAAATAGACAGATACGATGTCGTGTTGGGGGCATGGTACGAGGACGGGATGCGTTATCATGCAGGCTTGTTAGTGTGCGTGTACAAGTAGGCATGGCATGGTGGTGAGAGCCTTCACGGCGAAAGCATGCCACTGTGTTTGAACAGAAAACTCTTTACTCAATGCCTGCGACGGGTTTGGCCTATCGAAGCCTGTCGACTTATCAATTTCCACTATTCTGCATCCCTTCAGCGCATACGAAATACCGTGATCTGATCGGTGCTTGAAACAGGCCCGTCTGAGAAAACGACAGCGCCGGCCGTAATTGACCGGGCGGCTGCCGAGCAACGTTCCGATGGATCTAGATGGCCTGAAGTGCCCCTCCCAGGCTCTGCAGCGACCCATCGCCGATTGACGGCGGCACTAGCGGCCTGCATGGGCCAACTGTAAATCGCTTGATGGCCTTATCGCGGGCCTGCTGCCGGATTACATCACTATCACCACAGAGGCGCGTCTAAAGGTCAGATCATGCCTGCCGGTGGCATGAGCAAAACGTGCGCGCATGGTGGGGTCGTTTTTTTTTTTTCTATTACGGCGCTCAATGCCGATTGCTGTTCTGGGACAGCTTCGAGACCAGTGGGGGAAGCTTCAATCGTTTAGGTGTTTTTTTGCTGTTGCAGCAGTAATGGGAAGATATATATCGGCATTCGGCCGCTGTTTGGATGATGCTGCCTTGTCTCTCTTGTGCCCACAGACAACAATTTCCCTAGGACCACCTCCTGTATAGAATACATTCTACTCTACAAGTTGCCTCTTCAATCTTCTTTTTAGAGCAGCAGCATTGTCATTATTACCTACCTACTTACCCCTCCATCTGATACGTACATTGTCGCCAACACACCTATAAGCCTCAATACACAACATCTACGATAGCGACGCCCATTGTTTAAATCATGGCCAGCATCAACATCAGGGTGCAGAATCTCGAGCAGCCCATGGACGTTGCCGAATATCTCTTTCGGCGTCTCCACGAAATCGGCATTCGCTCCATCCACGGCCTTCCAGGCGATTACAACCTCCTTGCCCTCGACTATCTGCCAGAATGTGGCCTGAGATGGGTTGGCAGCGTCAACGAACTCAATGCGGGTGAGTTTCAATTGCATTTGATTTGATATGATATGGTGGTGTAGTAGCTATCCATATATCCATCTGAATAGCCATCCATTGAGGAACATTCTCTTGCTAACTGGTGCGACTTCTCCCAGCTTATGCTGCTGATGGCTATGCCCGTGTCAAGCAGATGGGAGCGCTCATCACCACTTTTGGAGTGGGAGAGCTCTCAGCCATCAATGGCGTTGCCGGTGCCTTTTCGGAACACGTCCCAGTCGTTCACATCGTCGGCTGCCCTTCCACCGTTTCGCAGCGAAACGGCATGCTCCTCCACCACACGCTCGGAAACGGTGACTTCAACATCTTTGCCAACATGAGCGCTCAAATCTCCTGCGAAGTGGCCAAACTCACCAATCCCAACGAAATCGCTACCCAGATCGACCATGCCCTCCGCGTTTGCTTCATTCGTTCTCGACCCGTCTACATCATGCTTCCCACCGATATGGTCCAGGCCAAGGTAGAAGGCGCCAGACTCAAGGAGCCAATTGACTTGTCGGAGCCTCCAAATGATCCCGAGAGCGAAGCATACGTCGTTGAAGTTGTTCTCAAGTACCTCCGTGCTGCAAAGAACCCTGTCATTCTTGTCGATGCTTGTGCTATCCGTCATCGTGTCCTTGACGAGGTTCATGATCTTATTGAAAAGACAAATCTCCCCGTCTTTGTCACTCCTATGGGTAAAGGTGCTGTTAACGAAGAACACCCAACATATGGCGGTGTCTATGCCGGTGACGGCTCACATCCGCCGCAAGTTAAGGACATGGTTGAGTCTTCTGATTTGATACTGACAATCGGTGCTCTCAAGGTACGTGCCCATGTCTGATGCTTTTGCCCTCCGCTTATTTGCCGATTATCTGACTTCTCACACTCTTACAGAGCGACTTCAACACTGCCGGTTTCTCTTACCGCACCTCACAGCTGAACACGATTGATCTACACAGCGACCACTGCATTGTCAAATACTCGACATATCCAGGTGTCCAGATGAGGGGTGTGCTGCGACAAGTGATTAAGCAGCTCGATGCATCTGAGATCAATGCCCAGCCAGCGCCAGTCGTCGAGAATGAAGTTACCAAGAACCGAGATAGCTCACCCGTCATTACACAGGCTTTCTTCTGGCCGCGCGTTGGAGAATTCCTGAAAAAGAATGACATTGTCATCACCGAAACTGGAACAGCCAACTTTGGCATCTGGGATACTAAATTCCCGTCTGGTGTTACTGCGCTTTCTCAGGTCCTTTGGGGAAGCATTGGTTGGTCCGTCGGTGCTTGCCAAGGAGCTGTTCTTGCGGCTGCCGACGACAACAGCGATCGCAGAACTATCCTCTTTGTTGGTGACGGCTCATTCCAGCTTACTGCTCAAGAATTGAGCACAATGATTCGTCTCAAGTTGAAGCCCATCATGTGAGTATACATCAGTACAAATACACACTTGCTAGCTGAACAGTATAACTGACTCTTTCCTTTTCAGCTTTGTCATCTGCAACGATGGCTTTACCATTGAACGATTTATTCACGGCATGGAAGCCGAGTACAACGACATTGCAAACTGGGACTTCAAGGCTCTGGTTGACGTCTTTGGCGGATCGAAGACGGCCAAGAAGTTCGCCGTCAAGACCAAGGACGAGCTGGAAAGTCTTCTCACAGACCCTACCTTTAACGCTGCAGAATGCCTCCAGTTTGTCGAGCTATATATGCCCAAAGAAGATGCTCCTCGAGCATTAATCATGACGGCAGAAGCAAGTGCGAGGAACAATGCCAAGACAGCGTAATGAGGGCCGCCATGATAGCTGGTTATCATCTTTTGGATTGTAATAGACCTGATACGCATAGATCAAGGCAGGTACCGATCATTAATCAAGCAGGTTTGGACGGGGAAGAATTTTGAAAATGAAGAAAACGACGGGATGATATTTGGATTAACTGGACATTATAAAGTACCTATAAATTTGAAGTTCAATTTTTTTTTTCTCATAACGTGCTGTTCTATCGTGTGAGTTGGTTTGTGAGCTGCTTTAGAGTACCCGAGTTGATGTGATCACGTGACGTTCACTCGAATCCGACTGTGAGAAGAAGTTCTCGGTACCATTCTCGTGCCTAAACCCGCCTCCTAAGTCTAGGTACCTGCTACTCTTTCGCCGTATCTAATCGCCAGGCTTCAAAATAAAATACACTGTCCTTGCGAGCTCATATTGCATCTTATACAAATTGTTTTTCACGCATTTCGTCCGGCAATTCTGACTAAGAGATCAATTGAAATGGCGGACACTGCATCAAAAAGAAAACAAGGCCCTGGGGGAGCCGACGGCTCTGCTTTCAAGAAGAGAAAGGTATATATCATGAATCCATGCGTCTTTCTTAGAGAAAATCTCGACCTCGTCTCCTATGTTCTGTATAGCATTACCATATTATGAGGCGAAATTGAAACTAACTGAAGCTACTGAAAAAGGAGGGCGCAGCTGGAAGATGGAAGACGCCGGCTCAAAAGGCAAAATATGCCGGCAGAGTGGAAATGGGCACCGCGCTTGACGTGGGCGATGAAGGCATTTGGGTCACGTATGCCAGAGGTATGAAGTGCAAGGCAGTCCGAGAGTTTACAGCCATGTGTGAAGAGGTAAGAGCGTTATTTGCAATTTCTCTAGGTCTTTGATAGCACGAGCTTTTTTTGCTGTTTGATGGGGGGTTTAACTAAATACATTGATTGATAGTATGGTGAAAAGATGTACGGCATCAAACCACCAGTTGACGCATCAGAGGCACAGGCTCAGTCCGGAGATGAAGCAGAAGACATTGAGACGTCCATTCAAAAGGAGCTTGACGCGATGAAGGAGTCTCGGAAGCCCAAAGAACGAAGGGTCTTCTCGCCGGTAGCAGTCGCGATCGAGTGCGTCTTCTTCATGAAGACGATGAAGCCGGTGGACCCGTATCAGCTGGTCCTCCGGATCTGCAGGGACGCGCAAGAGTGCCCCAGCCCCAAGGATCGCAAGTGCAAGTACATTAACCGACTGACGCCTGTGATGGACACGGACAAGGCGACGGAGAAGGGGATTCAGCGAGTCGCGCGCAAAGTTCTTTCATCGTTTTTCAGCTTGAATGACGAAGAAAAGGAGGAAGAGGACGAGGACGAGGAGAAAATGACAGCAGAAGGCTCAGATGAAAAGACGGAAGAAGTAAAAGAGGCGGCTCAAACGGCTGAGCCGGTGACAGAAGCCCAGCAAGCTGAGGCATCTCCCGCTTGTACTGTGAGTTTTGACTTGGGTTGAGAGGGCTTCTTACTCTTCTTCTCAAACAGAATTGTGACTGACGTGCAACATGAGCAGTATGCTATCCGACACACTTTGAGAAATCACACCATTCTCAAATCAGAAGCAGTCATCAAGATGATTGCCGGCATGGTCAAGCCCGAGCATAAAGTTAACCTCAGAACCCCAGACAAGGTTATCCTCGTCGAGATATTCCAGGTATGTCGCATCATTACTCCTCGAAACCCCCTTTTATTCGCTGATCACGGCGCGTGATGAGACTCGAGTACAATAAAAACTGACAATGCGTGAATGATAGATGTTTTGTGGAATCTCTGTCGTCGACGGCAAGGAGTGGGAGGAGCTGAAGCGGTATAACATCAATGCGCTCTATGACATGACGGGCGAGCAGAAGAGTGGCAACCCGGGGAAGGCCGCGAAAGAGGAGGCGAAAGAGGAGACGAAAGAGGAGACGAAAGAGGAGTAGATCAGATTCGAGCTCTTTGACGTGGGCTAATCGCTGCTTGTTGCTTGGGTATTGGCATCTTGGCTTCATTAGAAAAGAAGAGAAACATCATATTGTACGAGCAAGGAGTATTTGGTATAATTAGCTTTAGATATATGGTAGTTGTTTATCTCAATTGGTAATTCATATTGGCGGATATACCTTCTTTGATACGTAAACGCAAAGTTGACACTCTGATAAAGTCCGCATTACTTGGATGTAGTTCTAGTTGAGTTTATAACCTCTCTTACTCGCCCCCTTCGCTTCCACTATCCTCATCACGCGGCAGCTGGAAACCCATCAGCCCCATCAGATTTCCCGCGGGACCAGCCATACCACCCTGGCTCTTGAAACTCTCGAGCAGGTTTTTGGCCAGGTTGTAGTCAATATCGACCTCGTCGTCGTCGTCATTATCAGAGTCATTGGCTGATTGGGCGTTTTGTCCTTGCAGTGGCTGTTCTTTCTCCTTGCCCTTCTTCTCTGAGCCTTCTTTTGACTTAATGGCACGCCCAGCGGTTGGTGGATCGAGCTGAAGGGTGCCGTACTCCTTGAGTTCAGCCTCCATGCGAGAGGCGAGATCCTGAATATCTCTATCTTCTTCCGCTTCACTGTCGTTTTCGCTGTCAGAGTGATCTTCTGCAGCCTTGGTTTTACTTCCCTGCACTTCTTTCCTAGTGGCTGTCGTTGTAAATCCCATCATCTCCCTCATCATTCTAGCAAAGGCCTCCTCGTCAAAGTTCACCTCTTCGTCCTGATCATCTTCCTCCTCTTCCTCATCGTCGTTGTCAACGTCCATCCTGTCTAGCTCAGCACCATCCAATCCTGCACTATCGTCATTGAGGAAAGCTTCAAAACGCGAGACAATCTTTCGCAAATCTTGTTGAGTCTGTGACTCGCCGAAGCCAGATGCCCCCTTTGAAGATGCTTGAGCTTGTTTGCCCTCGAGTTCGCGCTCGAAATCCTCGTAATTAATATCAAGCCATGAATCATCGTCGTCCTGATCAACTCGATCCCACAGCTTGATGTCGTCATCAGATGGTAAGACTGAGCTTCTATCTTCTTGCAGGTCTTCTAGCATTATGGCCATCTCACGGACAACTCTGCTCTTGCTATTTTCTGCATCCTTGGCGAGCATCTCAAAACCACACGTGAGTTTCATGCCAGTCTCTAAGCGCTCAACCCTTTTCAGCTCTTCATTTGATGATAGATTCTCGTTTTTAGTACTTTTGAATACGGATTCCCATCTCGGCGGTGTATCGAATCTTTGAGATTTGAGTTGAGCGTAGAGAGTTTTGCTAAATCTCACGCTGACTGTGACAAAGTCTTCTGGGAGGAATTCTAGGGGTGTTGATGACGATAAAATAGGCTTTAAGGAGTTGGCGTCTCTCAGATAAAAGCTCTCGACAGCAGGAGCTATAGATTTTGGCAGAGCATGTACAATGGAGGCTACTGCTCGAGGAATTGTGACAAGAGAATGGTGGATAGAGTTGGATATTTGCTCAGGGTATTTCTTTAGTCGATGAAACGCTTCAGAGTCGATCGCAGGAATATGAACAAGTGCGTCTGTATTTGACCGTAGAAAGGTTACGGCTTGCAGGAGCGACAGCTGTTCTTCCTCTTGGGAACGCATAGAGGGCTCATCCTTGGTCTTGGAGTTGAGCGGAATGAGAAAAATCTTTCCGAGGTGAATCCATACACGGTAATGGTCAATCTCCGGACTTAGCCACCTGGGAAGGACATTGGCGGCTTCTACCAAGAGAAACTCTCCATCAGAGTCTCCGACTCTCACCCAAAGATCCGAATGGGCTTTGGATAATTCACAAAGCATATAGACGATAAGCCACTCATCTTCTATGGCATCTCCATAATCAGTATTGCCATGCAGAAATAGTAGTCCTAGAAGATCGTTGTTAGAACAGGTGACAGAATCGAGAGCTACAGCCATAGCAGGATTCGGACACTAACCATTTTCGCTCTTGAACGAGATCTCAAAGCCCTTGCGTTGCCAAATGTAATCCTTGGTGAGGGACTGAACGAGTTCTACCACAGCTTTTCGGATAGTTTCAAGGCGAGGGCGTTTTTTACGAGCTTCGGCTTGCTGGCTGTCTATCACAAAAAGCATGTACTCGACAGTGTTTTCCGGTAGCTGCCCAGCGATAGCAGCCTCCGTCTCGCCGACATTGCCGTCTGCAGACATGCTCACTGCGAGAAATTTGACATATGGATACTGAATGGCATCGACATGATGAAATGGTGGGACTTGCAATGGACGCAATGGATGCAAGTTTGAGAAGTGTCAATGTCGTAGTTCTTTCACGGAGTGCCTAGAAGAAGCCCCACGCTGGTAAAAAATCGCTGCACTTACACGGCCACTGACTAAACGGCCACTACTACAACACTTTACTGTTGGAAGGTGTTATTGCAAGTATCTGTTAATTTCCCCAAGGATATCTCTAGATTTCCATTCTCCGGAATAATTCCTGATCCATGTAAACTGCACATTTTCTCCTCGTAATAAATTGGCTTCTCTGACTTCACCCGGCTGATGATATCAGAGCTGCAAGGATGCCTTAGTCATGCAGCCACTAGTTCACTGACCCCACGACGCGCCCGTCGCGGTCAACGCGCTGCCGTAGAAACAAGTTTAATGGAATTTGGGAAGCCAGCATCGGCATATCGCGTATCAACCATCAACCAGAGGGGCGTGCAAGATGCACATGACGATGACGGGATGCGCTTCTGTTGATATTTCTCTGATCTCGACAATTACGCTCCTCTGTCTCTGATTGTCGCCAGCCCCTCCTCCATCATACGTACTCTACACATATCGCAGCCACCGACCATGGCCCCACGCAAGCGATCACGGTTGGCATCAGGCCTGGAAAATGGAGAAGATATTACCGAAGTTATTGAGGCCCGGGCATCGATGGCAAATGATACACAGCCGGTAATTACTTCGAATACGTGCTCAAGAAACATGGCGGGTGGCTGACCCTCGCGGTGATAGAGAAAAAAGGTGCGGTATTCGGCTGGCCGTTCAGCGGAAGCTTCAGGCAGCAGAGCAGCAGATGCAGAACAAGATGATGTCTCCTCGAGCTCTGCTTCCGACAGTGAAAACGGAAATGGCGACGACGATGACGACGAACTCCCCGCGTCCCCTCCTCAGACTCAGTACGAACTTATGAGAGACAATGGCTTCCGGCATCTCGAGAACACAGACTGGGACGACCAGCAAGCTACGCAGAAACTGAAGCGCCGCACCACGACACAAACATTTGACAACATGGTTGCCGAGAGCGGAATCATTGAGAGCATTACATGCTTCAACTTCATGTGCCACGAACGATTGCATGTGGAACTTGGCCCTCTGATCAACTTCATTGTTGGAGAGAACGGTAGTGGCAAGAGTGCTGTTCTGACGGCTCTTACTCTGTGTCTCGGTGGCAAAGCTAGTGACACCAACAGAGGTGGTAGCTTAAAGTCGTTTGTCAAAGAGGGGCGCGAACACGGAAGTCTGGTTGTCAAGATCAAGAACGCTGGATCCGATGCTTACCAGCCCGATACATACGGCTCATCAATCACCGTTGAGCGGCACTTTACCAAATCGGGCGCCAGTGGATTCAAGATCAAGAACGAGCAAGGCAAAGTTGTCTCAGTCAAGAAGCAGGAAGTCGAGGAAATATCCGAATGGTATGCCCTGCAGATAGGGAATCCTCTTACGGTTCTCTCGCAGGATAATGCGAGACAATTCCTGAATGCTGCAAGCCCGGCACAAAAGTACAAATATTTCGTTTCTGGCGTTCAACTCGAGCAGCTGGACAATGACTATAAAATGTCTCAGGACACGTTGGACAAGACTCTTATTCTCCGTGACGATCTTGACGAGAAGATAGATGTTGTCAAGAAGGAGATGGACGATGCTCAAAGACTTGCAGAGATCGCCCAGAAGAACCAGGGTCTTCGTGAAAAAGCAAGGCACTATAGGAACCAGCTTGTCTGGTCTCAAGTAGTTGAGCGAGAGAGAGAGTTAGAACAACGGAATGCTGATATAGTCAGACGCGACAAAGAACTCGTTGATTTGGAAAGGGGCACCGTGACAGCGTCAGCCAAACTCGAGGAAGCTGACGAAAGGCTTGCTCGGGCACAAGAAGCTCGAGAGGCTCTCAACAGTGAGGAAGAGACTTTCGAAGAGAAAATGTCAGCGGCAGAGATTGCATGGAATGACGCCAAAAGAAAACAGACGGAACTGCAGCGTGAAGAGCGAGATGCTCACATGCGACTCAAAACCCTGCGGACAGACATACAATCCTGCGAGAACAAGATCAAAGAGGAAGAAAATCGTTTGGACGGATCGACAGGCTCAGCGCGGACCCAGAAAGATCAAGAGCTTTCCGAAGCGCAAGCCAAAGAAAAAAATATCAACGAGCAGATCGCTGAAGCCAAGGCCAAAACGCCGGCTTTGAAGAACAAGATTGATAAAGCCAAGGAAGCTTGTGAACATGCAGATCGTATCGTGCAAGACAAACGTAAAGAGGTGGTTATGGCGCAAAAGGGCGTAAGGGAGCTGGAGCAAAGTAGTGGTTCAGCCTTTGACGGATACGACCAAGAGCTCCTTAACTTCGCCAGACAAGTTGAGAAAGACAGCGGGTTTGAAAGCAAACCGCTGGGACCCCTGGGCACTCACATTACCCTTCGAAAGCCAGAGTGGTCTGCTCTTCTCGAGAAAACCCTTGGAGAGACTTTGAACGCATTTGTTGTGAAGAGCAAAAGAGATCATTCAAGATTATCAAATCTCATCCAGCGACTGGGTTTGAAAAGGCAGCCACCCATCTACATTGCCTATGGTAGTTCAATTGATACTAGGGCTCAGGAGCCAGATGCCGAATTCGACACTATTCTCAGAGTCTTGGAATTTGACCATGATCTCATTCGGACACAGCTTGTTATCAATAACCAGATTGAAAAGGTCATTCTGGTCAAGGAGCGCTTAGAAGCGGAGCGAGTGATGATTGATAACGATGGTCCCCCTCGAAACGTGACGGCGTGCCTTTGTTTCCATGACGGCAGAGGAAAACGCGGCCATGGTCTAAGAATCACTAATCGATCTGGAAACATCAGCACCTCCCCTGTCACACCATATGGCTTGCGGCCTCGCATGCGTTCGGATTCAGCCCAGCGGTTGGTTGTGCAAAAGGAGAATCTCAGACAGCTGGGCTTGGAGGTGAAGGAACTCATGACCGAGGAACGTCAGGCACGTCAACGACTAAAAGACTATGAGTCGGAGCTTTCGTCGCACAGGAGCGAAGTCAACCAACTAGAAAGCGATTATCGCCGAGTCCAGGCGGATATACAGCGGATATCACTTGACCTGGATGCTTTCGAGGGTGTTGACGGACGACTGGTTGCACTACGGGAAGAGCGAGAAGCAAAGCGCACCGAAGAGGAGCAACTTGGTCTGCAGTATGGTAATCTGAGACTTGAAAAGCGAGACCTGAGCCAAAAAGCAGAAGAGGCCAAAGCACGTCTCGACGCGGAAAAGGATGTGCGTAAGGACCACCAGAGTCGCGTCGCGAAAGCGGACGATAAGGTCAAGAAGTATGAAGCAATGCGGAAGATTACAGTCGCTGAAAAGAATGCCGCCTTTGAGAGGCTAGATATTGAGCGACATGAAAGAAGACGAGCAGAGATGAGGCGCGATCAGAAGGTTGCAGAGGTGGCAGATTTCATCCAACAAGCTCAGCAGGCATCACCGGATCGCGTTCACATCCCTGAGGACGAAACGTATGAAAGCCTGGAGATCAAATACCAAAGGGTTTGCGAGCAACTTGCACAGCGAGAAGCTCGACAAGGAGCCACGGACCAGCAGATTTATGACCGAGCCATTGAGGCCAGAACGAGATACGAAGATGTCATGAAGAAGACGAGGGACGTTGACGAAACCATTTCAAGCTTGAAGCAGGCAATTGAGCACCGACTTCATCTATGGCGACAGTTCCAGAGGCAAATTAGTGCTCGAATACGTATCCAGTTCAGCTACCTTCTCAGTGAGCGTGGGTTCAGAGGTAAGATCGATCTCGATCACAAGGCTAGACGCGTCAACATCCAGATTGAACCCGACAAGACTCGGAAACACTCGTCGGGACGCAACACGAAGACGCTGTCGGGAGGTGAAAAGTCGTTTTCGTCAATTTGTATGCTTCTCTCTGTATGGGAAGCCATTGGTTCGCCGATCCGATGCTTGGATGAGTTTGACGTCTTCATGGACAATGTCAATCGAGCAATCAGTACGAATATGCTGGTATGTCATGTGCTGCTGAAATCGTAGAGATTAGAATGATGAAAGCTAATGATTTACACATAGGTGGATGCCGCTCGTCGATCAGTGTCCCGACAGTATATTTTGATTACGCCGAACGCCATTGAGGGTCGAGCCAAGCTTGACAAAGATGTCAAAATCATCCGGTCAGTTTTTATCAAATACCTTCTTTTCTACCAATGTTTTGACCTTCTATGACTAACTGATTGTCACTTTCTACAGCTTGACTGATCCCCGCCAACGTACCCTCATCTAAGTCAACATCAAGGTGTTTGGAAACAAGCGCCACTCAAAAACATATCAACGAGAAGCATTAGCTAGGAGTTTGTGCATCGATGCTAGGACGCCATTCATTTTTAGAGGCAGACTAAGAGGGAGAAATATACATATAGTAGACAATAGTATATACATAAAGGCTGGTAATAGTGTACATGATCTTTTACGGCTTTTAGGCAGTTAGAAGACAACAGGGGCAAGGCTATGAGAGAGAAGGCATACATTGCCTCATACAATCAGATAGGAACTCCTTTGCTTCTCAGGACGTTGATGCCCGCATTCAGCGTGAAGCCGGCCCATTGTCCCATGGATGCTACAGTTCCTCCAACGGACTGGACCTCGTCCAGCCTCCTATCCAAAAACTTTCTGGTTTCCAAAAAGGAGGGCGATGTGTCATTAGTCATGAACAGCTCGCTGGAGCTGTAGACCATGGAAAGGGCCGCCCGCTTGGTATACCATGAAGGGTCGACAGCCTTGTCGCCGGCCAGGAACCAGATGTCGTCTGACAAGGTGGCCAGCTCTGCTAGCGATGTAGGCATATGGCTTGGCTGGGCCATGATGGCCAAGGCCTATGCGAATTGTTAATAGAATGATTCCCCATGCGACTCAATTGAGCCTGAGACACATAGACAGACCTCTTGCCATCTGTGTATAGTTTCCTTATTGCCCATCAGCCGCTCCCAGGTCAAGGCGGCGACTTTGTCATTGACGCTTGCCAGCGACTCATCCTTGAGAAGCTCTTGGCTTTTCTCAGCCAGTCGCTCGCGCTGCATGACGAGATGGTAGTGGATCAGGCTGAACTGGCCATCGGGTAGGATGCTGGAGCTGATGTCTGGGTATCCGGCATCGCGGGCACCGAGGCCAATGGCGCGCAGGGAGAAGCCATGCTCGGGAATGTGCTTGTAGGCGGCGGCGAGGATGGCCCTGTCGACGGTACCAAAGGGCCCTGGCGGAGGAGGGTGGTCGTAGGAGTGGTAGCAGCTCTTTTGCCAGATGCGGGACGAAGGTGTCGGCGCTGCGTGGCGGGCAATTGGGCGGCGAGCCGATCTCGCCAGACGAGCTGCGGCCCTGGGCAGGGAAGACGAGGAGGACATGGTGGTCGGAACTGTGAGCTTCAGCCTGTGAGCTTCAGCCTGTGACGGATGCTGATGATGCGCTGTCGGTCGAGGGGTCTGCAAATTCGAAGCTCTGGATCAGCCCGGAGAGTGGATCCCGGCGGGAGCCTTTGAACTACTAGTAAGGTCCCTAGAAAAGGTACGCCGAACTTTCAAGGCCATCAAAGCGACAAATCAAGGACATGCGCTTTCTCTTCTCATCCTCCACTGCCTCGTCAATTGTTGCCAACGCAGCATGCGCCGTGTAACTACTGCAGCTGGGACACGGCATTGCTGCTGGCTGGCCTGTATGTAGCAGTGATGCGGCATCAGTGTATGTGTATCAAATCGTTCAACCTCGTTTAGTCAGCCCTGTAGCTCCAATTGGCCCTGATGGGTGTTTGCGCATCCTGGAACCTTGTCTGGGATCCTGGGATTGCATCATACATGAAGCCATGCATGCATCTCTGGGACAACTCAACAAACTGCTGCTTGGCTTCAAGGGCGGATCCTGGCAGACGAGTTGCATTGCTCCAATCGGGCACAATTGCTGGCATTGGCCCGTTGGACAGCCAATACCAGTGCTGAGGACCGGGACATGCGCTTTGCAGTATCATGCTTTGATGCTGGCCCCATCAATACGAGCAAGGCCCCCAGCGCCATACTTGCATACCTACCCAGCAGCAGATGGCAGGATCCGGCGCCTGCTCTGCTCTGCTCTGCTCTGCTTGCTTGCTGTGCAAATCACACGAGCCTTTTGCCCGCATCCGGCCATTGGAGTTTTGTAGTCCATGTACCCTGCTGGCCCTCACTCACATGGCATGGCATGGCACGGGCCTCAGATCAGAGATGCGCAGAGCAGAGCCTCAGCGCTGGAGAGAGGCTGGCCCTCACCGATCGTGTCGGGTAAAGCACCTTAGCATCAAGTTAGTTGCTTGAGCGGAACTCGATTCGATCCACTTCCACTTCCGGGCTCTGCTGCTCCCGCCGTGCAGTAGCACGAAATGTGTCTCTAGCTCAAGGTCCAGTTGGTGTGAGCAGCGGCTTGTGCCTTAGAGTTCAGGCACTAGTACAGTTCTCGCTGCAAGCAGTCAATACCTGTTTGTGCCCAGGTGGTCAATATCAAATTGCTCCTGCCGCCGTAGGTGCTTCTTTTGCGTAGCTCACACGTGCTGCCATCAGTACCTAGGTACCTAAGCCTTTGCGAGATCTCGGCGTCTCTTTTCCCTTTCCCTCCATTTCATTCCATTGCAGGCATCGTCGCCTATCCCCCACGGAGTCGCACTGCTACGACGACTCGAAACCTAGACGAAGCACACCGGTCCAGCCCAACCTTGGGACCCTCCAATAGGATCCTCCCCGTGACCCTGGCCTCGCATCCGCAGCCAGAAAAAAAAAGGCAAATCCCCAAAAAACTTCAAGGCTGGTGTGAGGAGCCTCCCCCTTGACGCACGCAAGACAAGGTGCACACCTGTGACCGGCGCTCTCCTTGGCCTCGGAACCGAACGGCGCCATCGTGGACGAGCAGATTTTCCCGGCTTCAATCCACGCTAAAGCCCACGTACGTACGTCCCTCGTCACTGTTGGTGGCCACCATCACGTCCGCCAGCATCCAGTACCAGCGCCTCAAGCTCTCCCCGTTCCCACTGCAGACTGGACGCAATGAGCGACGTGCATGCAGCTGCTGCTACCACATGCTGCGCGAACTTCCCTCCTGGCCTGACTGGCCCAGGCCCGACCCCCCTGCAACTCATCACTCTGCTTGGCTGTTTAAGAATTTTTCTGGTTTTTTTTTTTTTTTTTTTTTTTTTTCTGTTTTTTTTTTTCTTGCTTCTGGATTCCTCTCTCCCACTCGGCCCCCATGAGCTCATCGTAGCTTACGGGTGTTTGTGCTCGCGCTAGTAGTTCTGGTAGCAGTACCTTACCTTAGCCTTGTCCGGGCTCTATGCTACATCCAGCACTGGCTCTGCCCAGCACTCCCAAGTACCTGCGAGTACCTCCCGGCCTTGCCCAAGCTGTCCTTTTCTGCGCTACAGGTGCCGCTTTACCTCTTTGTGCCTTTGCCTGGTCGCGCACTGCCCGCCCTCCCCGTACCTGCGTTACCTGACCACCGGTATCTCATCCATGGGTTCGTAGGACTGCTAGGCACCTTGTTGGTTCTGACGCAACAGAACGGGAGCTTTGACGGGCGCTGCTGAGCTGCTGCTGCTGCTCTTGTGGATATATGGGCATTATATGGGCGGGCAGTTTACCAGCATCGCAGCAGACCTCTATAAGGGCCTCTCTGTACAGGTACCTCTGCAAGAAGGTACTCGCAGGTACTCCCTGGCTTGGGTCCCAGGTAGCGGTACTCGTGCTGTAGCTGCCACAGCTCTGCGCCTGCACCCACCCCACGCCGCCTTCAGCCTCTCTGCACGCTCATTCGTCGCCTGCTCCCCTCCCTCCAGTGCGCGCGTTCTTTTTCCCTTCTCACCACCAGGCTTGACAGCATGCCATGCGCCTCCGTTGTGCTACCCCCTCCCTCTAATTGCCCAATTGCGACCTGCTGGTACTTGCAGCCCCTTCTATGCGAGATCCGTTCTTCCTGTGCTGTGCTGTGCGTTGCTGACTGCTGTGCCGTGGCTTGCCCTCTCGCCAGAAGTCGCCCATAATCCTGCCGTCGTCGCGACCTGGCTCGAGCTGCCCTCCAATCTGTTGAGACACCCGCTCTGCCTCTGACTGCACGCGACAAGGCTCAAGGCACAAGGCACAGAGCCTTTCTCCTCCTTTGTATCGCATAAATCGCCATGGGTACGTCTTCTCTTCCATTGCACTCGCTCTCGCGCGCTTTGCCTTGCTTTGCCTGTCCTCCTCAACCTCTGTCTCTGCGTTGATCTGCAGCCGATTCGTCTCTCGATTCTGCTCCCGCCATCTTGCTCCCAGAGCCTTTGTTTCTGGCCGACAAGACGCGTGCTGCGGCGCCATCTCATTCTCTCTCGCCGAGCAGTCCAGCCTTGACCTTCCCCCCCCCCCCCCCCCCCCCCCCCTCCCCTCCACTCATTCTTCTCTCCTGGCTCCTGGTATTTGGAAGCCGCCCTCTTCTGCAAGAAAGAGAGACAGAGAGAAGCAGAGACGCCTCTGTTGACTTCATCCACCGTGATACCACCTTGGATGTAACTTATTGCGCCGTTGCCGGCTGATACGTCCTCCTCGGGGCTTCTCTTCGACTCACCTCTCTCTGTACACTGCATTATCATTGACCCCCCTTACTTGCATGTCCTCCCGCCTTGCTACTCCGCCGGCCTCTCATCTCTTTACACCCCACCACTACCTGGGTACATGACTGTTGTTTCTATTTCAACCAAGCCTGCCTTTTCCCTCCATCTCCTTTGGCACAACTTGGCCATTTTGCTTTGCCTTGCCCGAGGGCTCTTTCAACGCCAGTCTTCTAACATTTTCTCTTTTAGCTGACTCCGGCGATAACTACCGACCGGTAAGTTTCATCTCATCTACCTGACCTCTGATTTTCCATCTACTACATGCGCATTCACTATACCCACCTTGGTTCTCTTCCGCTTGACCTGGAGGAGCAAATTCTACGCCGCCACCCCGCAGAGGCCACTTTGTTCACTATGCCGTAACCCGTGGATACGTCACTGGCATGTGTCAAACTTATCATACAAGGCTGTCCTTGAGCTGCCAAGGCCGTCTACTTCATTGCTCGGCTCATGGCGGATGAATGGTTCAGTGCAGATGCGTTATGCTTCTCTGAGGGATTCTCCATGCTCGGCTTTAAGGGGGTAAAAAAAAAAGAGAAAAAAAGAAAAAAAAAAATAACCAACCGCCATACCAAGTAGCACTATAGGCAACTCGTGGCTCAACTACATTCATTCATCCAACCCGGCCCTACCGTCGTCACATCTTACATACTCATGCTGAAAAGATACTGAGATGACGAATGCTAACCACCTTGTAGCGTGAGAGGTCTCGATCTCCTCGCCGACGTTCTAGGAGTCCAGGCCGACAGTCTCGTCGGCGGTCCTATTCACCTCGCAGCAGATCAAATAGTCGAGACGACTATCGCCGGGGCCGTGATCGCTCCCCAATGACTGGGTCAGGACAAGCGCCCGCCGGCGGCAATGCTGGCAACTATGGGGGACAGGCACCCCATCGATCCTACGAAGACCGGGCCGCTGCCCGAGAGCAGATGATGAGCAACATCCGCGAGACCTCGCAGCAGGACCGCCGCGTCTATGTCGGCAATCTCTCCTACGATGTCAAGTGGCACCATCTTAAAGATTTTATGAGACAGGGTGAGAACAAGATTCTATCAACGTGGACAAGGTCGCAGACGGATACTGACGTAGAATTATTTCGACACAGCTGGAGAGGTACTCTTTGCCGACGTATTATTACTTCCAAATGGAATGTCGAAGGTGGGCTTCATCGCGTAGCTTTTGGTTGGCTTTCTTTTGTAGTCTTCTTCCCTTTCTGGTTTTGATGGAATGGTTGGGTTGACGGGTTGGGACGATGTCCTGGGTATAATTGTAGGGATGCGGGTAAGTTTCCTCTCTTGCAGTCCTGTGCCTAATTCTTTGTGGCTAACTCTTGCATGACAGAATTGTGGAATATGCTACAAGGGAGCAAGCGCAGCAGGCGGTTGCTCAGCTCAGCAATCAAAACCTAATGGGTCGCCTTGTCTACGTTCGAGAGGTTTGTTAACAACTTGTTCTCACCCAGACAGGGAGACGCTAACCTGATGTTTTCTTCTCCAGGATCGCGAGGCCGAACCTCGATTCATCGGTGCTACGGGGGGTGCCAACCGTGGCGGATTCAGTGGTGGCGGCGGCGGTGGTGGTGGCGGCATGCCCGGATTCAGCCATGGATACGCAGGCGGCCCCCCTGGCGGGGGAGGCGGCGGCGGCGGCGGCGGCGGCGGTGGCCGTCAAATCTACGTTGCCAACGTTTGTTTACTCTGGTCCAAATTTCCCATCGTAGGATAATTTCAACTAATCCTCATTTAGCTTCCATATACTGTCGGCTGGCAAGACTTGAAAGATCTCTTCCGACAAGCAGGCAAGTACTCGCTGCTCTATCAAAGGGTACAATTTTCCATATAGTTCATCGTTACTAACTCCTCACTACAGCCCGAATCGGCGGAGTGATGCGTGCTGATGTGCATCTCGGAGCTGATGGTAGACCTAAGGGCTCTGGAATTGTCGTTTTTGAGAATCCCGAGGACGCACGAAACGCCATCCAACAGTTCAACGGTTACGAGTGGCAAGGTCGTCTACTTGAAGTTCGCGAAGACCGCTTTGCTGGCGGCGGCGGTGGCATGGGCTTCGGTGGTCGTGGAGGATACGGAGGAGGTATGCGTGGTGGCTTTGGCGGCCGTGGAGGCTTCGGTTTTGGTGGCGGCCGCGGAGGCTTCGGCTTCGGCGGACGTGGGGGTTTCGGCGGTGGCGCCCCTGGAGGTGGCCCCGGAGGTGGCCCTCCCGGTGGTGGTCCTCCCGGTGGTGGTTTTGATACTTCTGCCGCGCCAGCAGTTGCCCCGAATGCCTTCACCGACAACGCAGCTCCAGGGACGGAACGAAATGAGATCATTTATGTTCGAAATGTAAGTCTTGAGCCAAGCCCCCCCTGGGAGTCTGTCATTCGGCTCTTATATGCAAGGCCTAGACTAACTTGCATGCAACAGCTGCCATGGTCAACCAGCAACGATGATTTGGTTGAATTGTTCACCACAATTGGCAAGGTCGAACAAGCAGAGATTCAATACGAACCCAGCGGCAGGTCTCGAGGCAGCGGTGTTGTCCGTTTTGACTCAATTGACACCGCCGATACGGCAATTGCCAAGTTCCAAGGTTACCAGTATGGTGGTCGGCCGCTGCACCTGAGCTTCGTCAAATATCTGAACCAAGCCAGCGGTGACAGCATGGAAACTGATCCTCACGCCGGACTGACACAAGACCAGATTATGTAATTCATTTTCGGTCTAAGACTCTCAAACTTGGCCCAGTTCTTACTTGGAAAATGGCTACTGACCATTGCCTCGTTTGAAACCTGTTTCTTTTTCTTTGACAGCTGCTTTTCCTTCTTATGAGTTATTTCTGTTTTTGTTTTTCCGTTTTTGCGTTCGCATATTCATTCGTCTAGGGCTACTGAAAATTGATTTGCGGGAAGCTACATCCAAAATCGTGGGAGACTTTACTCAACATCGCGGGGAATCTTTTGACACTGCTGCCCATAGCTTGGGTTTCAGCTGTCTGGATTAGAATGTCACTTATGGAATATGGGGAAAAGGGGAACTTGATTTGTTTTCTGACGTATAAAGTCTGGGAAGGAGACGAGGCGAAACGTTTGCTATTGACTTTCTTACTTTTCTTTCTTCTCTCTTAATCTCGAAACGGTGCGTAGGAGAGCGTGGTGAAGGTGCGAGTTTTAAATATGACGTGATTTGCGGACTGGATAGGTGGCGAAGGAGGCTGCCGCATAGAACATAACAACCATGGCATTTTGTAGCCTAGAGTTTGAATCTTGAGCGTAAGATAAATAGGCAGGCGACTAGGATGACGGACATAGTGGTACACATGATATATAGGTACTAGACTAGGTCTGCAACGGAGGCGAGATAATAATGGCTGGAAGATGGGTTATAAAACCAACCGAGCATATAAGATATGGAACAAATCCGCCTGTAGGCTCGCACAGAGAGGCCACGGCTCAGCATACGCGCGTCAAATTATTCTTACACTTTCTTCTTCCTAACAATGGTGCCTGATAACATCATCTTTAGCTAAGATAAGTAGTAAGATGCCGAGGAACAAGAATAAGGACGCCCAAATGGATGTCGTTGTATCGGGCTTCCAGAGTATATACGTTGGTTTAAATAATTAAGCACATGCCGTATTGTGGAGGCGAGACCGTTATGACAAGATATAACACCATGTACTGGAAATTCTGAAGCTTTGCTGGAATTATCAATGAGATCCTTTGCTGCTTGGGGTGGCCACAGCGCGGTATCCCCATATACATATCAAAACAGATCTTGGAAGCGCGCTCTTCGCCATTATAACCTCTGTATGACTCTCCTGTATGTATATATGTATACATATGTTTTTCATTTCATTTTTGTTTCCTTCCTCTTCCCTCTCCTTACCCTTACTCCTATGAAGTAGCCTTCTTCTTCTTTGCCTTTGCCTTCTTCTTGCTCTTGTCCCTCGGCTTCAACAGTGTCATTCCCGCCTTGCAGACGTCGGCATACCGGACGTAGAAGGCTTCCAGCTCGTGGGGCTGAACAACGGTTGAGAGCTTCTCCTTGTCGGATCTATCGCGCTTCGACTTGCCGTTTGTGGCCTTGATGATGATTGGGAGGGGCTTGTCGGGGAGGAGGTCTGGGAAGAGCTTGGCGGTTGTTGATTGTTCGCTGGGGTCGTATGTGACTAGATTGGGTAAATGAGTTAGAGAGGGATCCGAATCCAAGTGCCAGAGGATAGTTGTAGCCCCAATTGGGTGGGATGTGGTGGTGTCTTACGTCGCTTTTGTGTTAGGTAGATGGCGCCATGGTCGCTGCTCTTTCTGTGGTTGAACAGATGGCCGAGCTTGTCGAAGAACTGCGCAGCGCCAGGGGTCAGTACACTTGCGCGTTTTACGGCGTCACGAGCAGAGGAGATGCTATATAGATGCTGACCTCGTCTTGGCTAAGATGCCCTGAACTCATCCTGGAGGCGGGAGTTTGTGCTGGCGGTTTTGGCGAAAGAGCTGCCGTTGAAAGTGGGATGTCGCTAGTTTGAGGTATGGATCATCTATCTAATTCTGGAGTAAGATATCGATAAGAGAACGGGTTTGGCGTTAGCGCGGAATTCATGATCTGCTTGCGCGATGGTCTGCTGTACAAGTGCGATAATCATGGCAAGTCGTGAGTATAATTATTGATTTCTTGCCATTTGTGTAATTCAGATTGTGCAAATTGCAGAAGAACTATGTAATAAATTTCATACTTAGTCCGACAACAGTTGATGCTTTCGTATATTTTGCTTGCTGCTGATGGTAAATCCTACCTATGGAAGCTCAATAGTTCGAAAAGAGCTCCACTCCAGTCCAGATTCCATTGAAAATTCGAGATTGTGCTTCGCCATGTGTAACATACACTTGGGTAATTATTTCAGTTATAGCATATCGTTTCGCTAATGCATACTGCAAATTATCAGTACAGAATCCATCAGAGAGGCTATTGGACACAAGGCCACAGGGCGCAAACAAGTACCTGAATGGAAGCACAAAGTACACGGCGAGGCTAATGCACCCTAGCCCCTGTAAGTTGTGAGATCCGTGCCCATGCTACTCCGTAAAGGACAGCATACCCTCTTTTTTCGTCCCCTGCCGCTCCCAGCGTTGGAGTTACGGCTTCCGTTTTTGCGACTCTCCCCCACATGTCACGCCTGGCTAAAGAACAGCGTATATAGATTGCGGCTTTCTTGACACGTCTCACTCTTCCATGATTCGAACTTCTCTCGCCAACTTGCTGGCGCCCATTGTCCCGCGACGAGATCCCATGCTCAACTTGTCTTCTCTCCAGCGAGCTGCTCTTGTTCTCTAGGTCGAGCACCTCTGGCAACCCAAGATGCGCTTTCACTTGCCAAACCTGCTTGTGACGGCCGCACTTATATCGGCCGGCGCTGTGTTGGCGCAAGACATTCCCACAGATGTGCCCGTATCGGCGCTCCTGACTTCGGCGCAAGAGCATCTCACAAAGGGCGAGACCAACGAAGCGCTAGCCTACTACGATGCCGCCATCGCTCGCGATCCCACCAACTACCTGTCCTTCTTCAAGCGAGCCACCACCTATCTGTCGCTCGGTCGCGCAAACCTGGCAACTGAGGACTTCAACAAGGTGCTTGCCCTGCGACCAAACTTCCCGGGCGCGCACATTCAACTCGCCAAGATCAAGGCCAAGGCTGCTGAATGGGATGGCGCAAAGGCCGATTACGCGGCGGCGGGCGAGGCCTCTGATTCCCCCGATGTGCTGGCCCTAACGGCGGCGGAGGAGGCAATGAAGCTTGCGTTGGCTGCCGAAAAGGAGGGGAACTGGGAGGAGTGTGTCAATCATGCGGGAGATGCCATCGTCGTCGCCTCGAGATATGCGCCGTTACGTGAGGCGCGGTCGCACTGTCGCTTCGAGCGCGGCGAGTTGGAGGAAGGCATTGGCGATCTCCGCCACGTGCTACAGATGCGACCTGGCGATATCTCTCCCCATGTCGTCATCTCAGCTGTTTCGTTCTACAATTTGGGGGATCTTGACGCTGGTGTCGGGCAGATTCGGAAGTGTCTTCACTCCGATCCAGACTCGAAAGTCTGCAAGAAGTTACACAAGCAAGAGAAAGCCGTTACAAAGGCCTTCAACAAGGTCACTGGTCAGCTTAGCAAGGGACAATACACCACTGCAAGCAGAGCGCTGGTCGGAACGGAGGAGGAGCCTGGGCTTCTTGCAACTGTAGAGGGACAAGTCAATGAGCTGCGCGAGGAAGGGAGAATACCTGCCAAAGGGAAGGTCTTTTTATACGAACAACTGGTCGAGATGGTTTGCCAGGCATACGTCGAGGTAAGTAATGTTAACGCGCAGCCCACCACTTTCTTTTTCCTATTTTTTTTTTTTTTCTTCTCTTCAATGGTGCTACCGGACCATGTGCTAACACTATTGTGAAACAGTCAGCTAGCAAACATGCCGATAAGTATTGCGATGAAGCCATTCAGCTAAATGCAGACTCCTTCTGGGCTCTTCTACATCGCGGCAAGACGCTGCTAAAGAAGGAAGAGTTCGAGGCAGCTATTCAAGCATTAGAAAGTGCAGCGAACGCGCATCCTGATAAGAGAGACAAGATCAACCCAATTCTGAACAAGGCACAGATTGAACTTAAACGGAGCAAGACAAAAGACTACTACAAGGTTCTTGGTGTGGCCAACGATGCTGATGAGAGACAGATCAAGTCTGCATACCGCAAGGCATCCAAGCAGTACCATCCAGATAAAGCTCACAAGCAAGGCATTACCAAAGAGGAAGCGGAGAAGAAGATGCAAGGCATCAATGAGGCGTACGAGGTGTTGAGCGACCCTGAATTGCGCGCCCGGTTTGACAGAGGAGACGACCCCAACTCCAACGAAAGAGGAAGCCCATTCCAAGGCTCGCCGTTTGGTGGCCAGCACTGGGCATTCCAGCAGCCCGGTGGAGGTGGAGGACAACAATTCAAATTTCACTTCAACAACGGGCCATTTGGATTTTAAAAGGAGTATTGTTCACAAGGGATTTTCTTCCCTTTACTTTTCATTTTTCTAGACAGTGAGTGTTGGAGAGCGAGAGATGGGTATACATCACTTTCAGCATCATCATATGAGTATACTATGCGTAGCGTATATATCATTAAAGCAGACATTTTCTTGGCCTCTTGTTTTCCTCGGCTTTCCATTTTTTTCCCATGTCTCTTACTGTAACATGACGAAATGGTTCCTAGAGCAAAGGCGAATCGCCTATCCACGCCAAATGACCAAATATACACACAGGCATATTTCAAATATCCACGGACATTGAAGCCATATCCAGCCTAGGTTGATTTACTCTCTTTCTCCCATGTAAAGGTACGGTGTCAAATCTCTTTTAGCCTTGGAGTGTATGTCTTCACTTTTAATGCTGCGTAACACTTGCAGCTATACCGCTCTCAAGAAGTACTTGTGTTAGGTGAAAGCAGAAAGTACTGGTACGCCTTGAAAAGAGCGCTAAAGTGCTTTAGGCCAAATGCAGCTTAAATGTCCGTGGATATTTGGAATATCTATATCCGTGGTATTTGGAAGTTCGGGCTTATCAGATTTTTTTTGGCTGCTCGGGAGTCGGAATGGCTGCGCGCATCTCACATCTGATATCCCGGGATTAGTCCGCAGCAGCGCATGGTGGGGCTCCCACTCGCACCTCGCAATTGCCTCCCGGACTCCGAGGCCGTCAACGGAGACGAGCTGGAAATTTTTATAGACCGGTTCACAGGCTCCGCTCTGAAGCTGCCCGGCTCGTGGGATTCTGCGAAAGGCGAAACATCCATCTTTACTCCCTCACTCCTCTCGCTGCTCTCTCCAGTAACTCGCTTCTGCTCGACATCTCAGCTGCCGATTGCTCGACGACGACGATCCTGCCCGCCCATTGATCCGACCCTCGTCCTGGTTCTGCGACTCTGCGCCCTTCTCCGCACGAAGCTCTCAGCGGCCACATCAGCTACAAGCAATCGGCTTTGAACTGTGAATTGCGCCCTACTTCGCCGACAGCCCGCAAAAGTCGCCGCGCTTCTGCTGTCGCTCTCCTCTCCCTCCCCTCGACACCAACTTCGACACCAACTCCTCATATTTCTACGCCGACCGTGCTGCCTCAGCACGCTGCATCTGCCAACCTGGCTGCCATCAATTCCAAGACTTTTGGCGTAGCTTCTGACGCTGTGGCCGAGATGGCCCAGCCGCCAAGTGGCAAGCCTGTGGTGGAGGAGGAAGAAGACTACGAGTGAGTGATGCTCTACGTGATGCGACTTGCGCAAACTGAGACTGTCTTTTGGAATACTTTTCTGACTTGCATAGCTATGAATCTCTCCCGCCAAACTTTTCTCTGCTGCAGAACATGGCTGCCGGAGCATTTGCTGGCATTGCTGTAAGTGACTGATCTCCTGCTGCCGAGGTGCCGCGGGCGACAGCTCGGCTGTTGACCCATTACTGAATGTCTACTGACCAAGATTCAAGGAACACACCGTCATGTATCCGATTGATGCGATAAAGGTAATGCCCGCCTGGCGGTTGCCCCTCTGCTCTGCCACAACCGTCGCCATCCTCTTCCGACCTAATACTAATGCCGAGGCTCTCAACGGTATAGACGCGAATGCAAGTTCTCCAACCGCATGGAACCACAGCACATAACAGCGTTATCCGAAATACATTTCACATTACGCGAACCGAGGGTGTATTCAGTTTATGGCGCGGCATGTCCAGTGTCATAGTGGGAGCTGGTACGTTGGTCTCATGCATCCAGGCTGCATTATCCCTGTCTCTTTTTTTTTTTCTTTTTTTTTCCAATATGTGGCCCATCTTCTAACCAGTCTACAATTCATAACAGGTCCTGCCCACGCTGTTTACTTTGCGACGTATGAAGCCGTCAAACATGCCATGGGTGGCAATCAGGCTGGCGTACACCACCCTCTTGCTGCCGGTAAGATTTTTTGTTTCTGCCGAACATCGTTTGCTCTCTCCTTGACTAACTCGATGCCCTACAGCTACAAGCGGTGCCGCAGCTACGATTGCCAGCGATGCTTTCATGAATCCATTCGATGGTACGTAATCACCATAAACATTGAACCTGTGGATGCTGTGCGTATAGCTTACCGACGAATATCTTTATAGTTATCAAACAACGTATGCAGATGCAGGAGTCTCGAAAGATGTATCGCTCCATGGTCGACTGCGCCAAGTACGTCTACCGAAACGAAGGCCTCGGTGCCTTCTACATCTCCTACCCAACCACGCTCTCCATGACCGTTCCCTTCACCGCGCTCCAATTCCTCGCATACGAATCCATCTCAACCACGATGAACCCGGAAAAGACATACGACCCCGTCACCCACTGTCTTGCCGGAGCCGTTGCCGGTGGCTTTGCCGCTGGTCTCACCACCCCCATGGACGTTATCAAGACGATCCTACAAACGAGAGGCACATCCTCCGATCCGCAAGTCAGAAACGTCAGCGGCTTCACAGATGGCTGCAAGCTACTGTATAGGAGAGAGGGCTTCAGGGGCTTTTTCAAGGGCGTCAGGCCCAGAGTTGTCACAACGATGCCAAGTACTGCTATTTGCTGGTCCGCCTATGAATTTTCCAAGTAAGCCGCCACCTCTCTGTCTCTCTCTGTCTCTCTTACGCCCCGTGCCGAGCATAGCCGAGCGTAGGTAAAAACGAGCAAAAACCACATTCATGCTGACTTTGATTGCTTCCTTAGAGCGTATTTCATTAAACGAAACGACAATTTGTAAAGAATAATTGCGATGAATAGTAATTATAGAGATTATACCGAGTACAGAGCCATAAGCTATAATTACACACAATTTTTTTTTTCTAAAAAAAAAAGTTAAAGTAAATAGACGATGTTTGAATATAGTATTTTCAGATCAGCATTAGCTGTAGTTATTTCTCTCGTGGAGATTGCATGTATATATAAAGTGGATATATTCTTGTTGATGAGGCTGTGAATATTGTGAGGTATGATGTCGATCGCCGCTTAAGAGTAGCGGCTCGTTACAGTGTTTGGCGGCCTTGTGTTCAGTGCGTAGCAGTGAATGCGACAGCGGCCCTCTTTTTCCTCCCCCTCCCTAGTTACGCTATTTAGCTTTCCCTAGTTGAGATCTGGTATCGGCAGAGCTTAGATCATAATAGCTTGTGGTTACTCATCCGGTGACGCCCTCTTCTATCCACCAGCAGCCACCTGACGTTCAGGCAGTAACAACTTAAAACCACAAATCCAGCACCAGCTGACTGCCTTCGCATCACGCCTCCTCCAACAGGATCCCTTCTTTCTTTGGTTCGGGCATATGATTGATATGCACATCGCTGGCACATTTGACGTTTACGGTCTTTGGCCTGTTCCTATTCTCCATCTTACGAGCGATTCTAGATGATCATGCTTGGTTGCGCTTTGCCATCAACAGAGCTCCGCGACTGAGCTTCCAACATGGCGCCCAAGATTTTTGGACGACTTACCGCGTCGACGCAAGGCGGTCGATCGTTTTACGAACAGCTGCGAGGCTACGACGATGAAGCAGACTTGGACACGGAGGCAGGGCCGTTAATGGCAGACCACGACTTTATGCCTACGGCCAGGCATCGCAACAACACCGACAGCGTATTATCACCAGAAGCGGACAGCGTACACGGCGGAGCCCAGAGAGCAGCTGCCGATGGCCGAAGCTCTTCTCTAGGGTGGCCACACGATGACGAAGGCGATGAGGACGTGCCTGCTTCCCTCCTCGTGGAGCCTAATAAGGCGACGGCGAATCCAGGCCTGGCTCGAGCAGAAGCACCGCATGAATCCCAACATTATGACAGCCCTAATCTCTCGTCAAGCCACAGCCACGCCCCATGGCGGCCGCCGGCTGACGAAAGGAGGCACGAAGTTCCGAGGCCAAGCACACGGCCGGCCACCACGCCTTATATACCGTCAATAAACGCCGGGGCATCGTTCAATCGGAAGAATACGGCGCTATGGAAATGGGCGAATGTCACGAATCTCGACAGCTTTATGAGAGATGTTTATGACTATTACGAAGGGGGTGGGATGTGGTGCATCATGGTTGTAAATGCTCTGTGGCTACTGTGAGTTACAATCATGGGCTTTGAACCAGCTGCTGTGAATACGGCAAGAACTAACACAGAGAGACAGGGAGACTTTGTTCGTGGCCGTCTTGTTGACCTTCTTGACTCAGTGCGTCAAGTACAGCAGTATACCGCATAGCCACTCGCTGGGTGAAGTCGTCATACCTCGCTGCACCCAGAAAATGTCGGGATGGTGGGCGTTGGGAATATGGTTCTACTCCTTCTTCTTCATCTGGAAGTCTGTGCAGTATTTCTTTGAAATTCGCCGTTTACTCTTCGTTCGCGAGTTTTTCATTGTCCTTCTCGAGATTCCCGAACAGGATATGCAGACCATCTCTTGGCAGGATGTCGTTGCTCGAATCATGACTTTGCGGGATCAGAACCCCAGGACGGCCTCAGATATACCGCAAAACCTACGACGCTTTATTGGCAGCCAGTCGAAGGAACGATTAGACGCTCACGATATCGCCAATAGACTGATGCGCAAGGAAAACTACCTGATTGCCATGGTCAACAAAGATGTACTAAATTTATCGCTTCCGTTTCCCTTTCTCCGAGGACGTCAGTTGTTTTCAAAGACCATGGAATGGTATCTGCATTATTGCATCCTTGACATGGCTTTTAATGAACTCGGTCAAGTCCAACAGGATTTCTTGCGTGCTGAACGAAGGGGAGTTTTGAGCCAAAAATTGAAGCAGCGGTTTTACTTTGCTGGCTTTCTGAATCTTCTATTTGCCCCCATTGTCCTTGCGTATGTCATCATCGTTTACTTCTTTACATACTACAATGTGAGTACTGCACTTGCTACGAAACAAATCGTATAATCATGACTAATTAACAATGTGCAGGAGTATCAAAAAGATCCGAAGCTGGCTGCGGCTCGTAAATACACCTCACTCGCCGAATGGAAATTCCGCGAATTCAACGAGCTGCCTCATATATTTTACGAGAGACTTCACATGTCATTTCCATTTGCGACCCGATACATTGATCAATTTCCAAAACGCATGACGGAGGAAATTGCGCGGAGTATCTCATTTATGTGCGGAGCTCTCACTGCAATCCTCGCAGTGTGCACGCTGCTAGATTCGGAACTGTTCCTATCATTTGAGATTACAAAGGATAGAACTGCTTTGTTCTATCTGGGAATTTTTGGAGGCATATGGGCAATCACTCGAGGCATGGTGTCTGAAGAGTCTATGGTATTCAATCCCGAGTATGCCCTAAGGAACGTGATTGAATATACCCATTATATGCCCGACCACTGGCAAGGAAGACTGCATAGTACCGATATCAAGCAGGAGTTTTCCGAACTCTACAAAATGAAGGTGGTCATCTTTTTGGAAGAAGTCTTGGGCATCATAACAACTCCCTTGCTGCTACTTCTATCACTACCCAAATGCAGTGATCAGATCGTGGACTTCTTCAGAGAATTCACGGTGCATGTAGACGGCTTGGGCTACGTCTGCTCATTTGCTGTCTTTGACTTCAAAAAGGGACCAGGCCATCCCGATCGCCAAAGAATTCCTCAGGATGTCCGTGAGGATTACTATGCAACCAAGCACGGCAAAATGGCTGCATCTTACTATGGATTCCTCGACAACTACGTTATTAATCCAAAGACTGGTATCCCTGGACATATGCCTCCAGGATCGCAGCAACCATTCCATCCTCCGCCTGCATTTCCAAATCTGAATTCACCTACTCTGGCAGCAGATATGCAAGCTTCTCAAGCAGGAATCACAGAAACGGGAAGGAATAGAAGCCGGACCGTTGGACTGGGCACGTTTCCCAGAGGAGGGCACAGCATTACGCAGCCATCCCCTATGGCGTCTATGCTGTTGGATCCTCGCCACCAGCCATCCATCACAAACTTTGGAGCAAGAGGACCGCATAAGCCGCGCCCTTCGCGAGGAGCGCACCGCGCTGATGGACAAATCCCCGAAGAGCCATATGAGGCTGATGCGGATGCGGATGCAGCTGGACTGGGAGGCGACAGCTCCGAAGCCGGAGCCACGCTCGGAGAATCCATGTGGCAGACGTCACCTGGCAGGGAGCTCAGCAAGGAGAATAGCATGGCTAACTTCAATGAGCCAGAGGCTGGTGTGCTTGGACTGATTAACCAGTTTCGGCAGGCACAGCATCACCGCCGGGGAGGGGTCTTTTAGATCCTACAAGGGGGAACGGGAGGAAGGATTTTCTTACTCTTATTCTTTGGGCAATTTGCAATTTTCTTAGAATCTGGATTCAGAAGGGTTGGAATTGGGGCGTTTTTTGGGCGTTTTGGTTTTTTCCTTTTCTTTTCTAAATGGTAACACGCTTGGAAAGGCGTGGGTATTAAAGCGTTAGAATTCTTTGTCTCTGTCATAGTATGGATAGCTAAGCGCTACAAAGCGAAGTTATACATGAATTTACTCAGTATATATTATTCAATCAGCCACAGGTTCTATGCATGCTATATCAGTGTGGTGCTACTTTGCTTTGCCATATCAGAAGAGTCTAGTGATCTGGTTCGTAAATACGGCTTCTTTTTAGCTTTATTATTTTATAATATTGTACAACTCATGAACAAACTCGGTGACTCTACAAATAGATCCAGCTTAAGTTTGACGCTTCGCCTCCTTAGCAACCCTGGGATATGCAGCCATGCTTCGCTGCTGCATCCCCAATTTCTATCTAGTTTCTTTCCTTTTCTCGTTTTGTCGCTACAGATGGCCTGTTGGTCGAAAAGACAGCTTTCCCCCCAACAATGCCATTTCATTCGTCAACCCCATGCCACACTAGACTTGGACCAGAACGACGCAGCTTAGAAGTGCAGGGCCTTGGCGTAAGTGGCCATGGCGGCCTCCTTGAAAGCCTCAGCCAGAGTGGGGTGGGCGTGGCAGGTTCGGGCAATGTCCTCGCTGGAGGCACCGTACTCGAGAGCCAGGGTGGCCTCGGCAATCATCTCACCGGCGCCAGGTCCGACGATGTGGGCGCCGAGCAGGCGATCAGTCTCGGGATCGGCGAGGATCTTGACGAGACCCTCAGAGTCGAGGTTGGTCTTGGCTCGGGAGTTGGCGCTGAAGGGGAAAGTGCCAATCTTGTAGGGGATGTTCTGGCTCTTGAGATCCTGCTCTGACTGGCCAACCCAGGCGACTTCGGGGTGGGTGTACATGACGGACGGGATGCATCCGTAGTTGACATGGCCGTGGCCCTTGGAGATGTACTCGACGACGGCAACGCCCTCCTCCTCGGCCTTGTGGGCCAGCATGGGTCCAAATGTAACATCACCGATGCAGCGGATGTGGGGGATCTTGGTTCGGTATTCAGAGTCGATGATGACGCGACCTCGCTCGTCCAGCTCAAGGCCGATGTTCTCGAGGCCCAGGCCCTGGGTGTAGGGTCTTCGGCCAATGGCGACCAGAACCACCTCAGAGTCCATCTATGACGCACGTTAGCACCGATGCTGCTCGAACATATTATAACTGCCATTTGGTAGGCTACTTACGCTCTCAGGCTTGCCGCCCTTGGCAGCGTCAATCTCCAGCTTGACAAGCTCGCCGGAGGTATCGCCGCTTACAACCTTAGTGTTGAGCTTGAATTCAATACCCTGCTTCTTGAGGATCTTCTGGGTAGCCTTGGAGATCTCGGTATCCATGCCGGGTCCACCGATCTGGCCGAGGAACTCAACGACGGTAACCTTGGATCCCAATCGTGACCAAACTGAAGCCATCTCGAGACCAATGATACCACCTCCAATGACAGTCATAGTCTCGGGGACCTTCTCCAGAGCAATAGCGCCAGTGCTGGTGACGACGCGCTTCTCGTCGACGGTGAGGCCAGGGAAGGGAGTAGCCTCAGAACCGGTGGCGATGAGGATGTTCTTGCCGCGGAGGACGGCTTCACCGCCATCGTTGAGGTCGACCTTGATTTCGTTCTCGTTGATGAAAGAACCAGTACCCTTAATATACTCGGCGCCGTTCTTCTTCAGGAGGAACTCCACGCCCTTGGTCAGGCTGTTGACGGAGGTTTCCTTGGCTTTCATGAAGTTTTGCAGGTTCAGCTTGACCTCGCCGACCTCAATACCTCGGTTTTTTGTGTCGTGGAGGATTTGGTGGTACAGATGTGAGTTGTTGAGCAGAGATTTTGAAGGAATGCAGCCGACATTCAGACAGGTGCCACCAAGGGTGCCTCGCTTCTCAATGCAAGCAACCTATTCGCAGCAACAAGTTAGTTTCTAGATTTTGACTGCGCAAGGCAGAGAAGGAGTGAAAAGCCTCAATTTTTTTTTCCCCTTACCTTCAAGCCCTCCTGTCCAGCCTTGATAGCTGCAATATATCCGGCAACACCACCACCGATAATAATCAGATCCTTCTCCTCTAAAGTCCCCCCTGTCAGCACGTGTATCAAATCTTGCGCAAGCCACGCAGCAGGCAGGATACGGGCTACAAACCAGAAGCAGAGGCGAATCCTCGGCCCCATCGTGACAGAACTGGCGCGGCGACGGGAGACCTGCTCGAAAAAAAGATGCGGGTTAGCTACGCGAGAGATTTTCCACAATCGCAGATAGAGCGACTGCTGGAGGGGAGCCGGGCACTCACGCCAATTGCCTGCTCGGCAGCGTGCGGATGGCACTTCGGGGTATCAGGCGGCTTGCGAGCATGCTGGGCAGCCGTTACTGGGAGCGATGTGATGAATTGATGGAGAGGATTGTCGACGGTTTGGAGATCCGAAAAGAAGTGCATCGGCCTGGGCCTATAGCAGAGCCGGCCGGTTTTAGGGAAGCTCCGCTGCGTCCCAGCGTGGTTTCCACGCTTGATTACCTGAACAATGGGGACTGGGCGCTGTCAGGCAAACAAACGGTACTAGCAGGATACTAGCTGGGTACTCCGTTCGCTGAAGCCAGTGCTGCTGGGCGAGCAGCGCAGCCCCACGACTCCAGCTTTTTGTCCTCGTTTTTTGCCCCTCGACATGTCGTCACGAGGTATCGCTGCGTACCCCTCTTGTTCAGCGGCGCAAATCGGCCTCGATCGCTTAGAGGCGGGACGCCCCCCGGAGAGCTGAAGTTGCCTAACAGAGGCACAAAGGAGCATCTAGCTGTCTCAGTACAATAATCCCGAGCGAGATGATATCAACAGGCCAGTGGCCGCCCGTGAAGGGGGGAGCCCAGCCTGGCAGATCTTTGCGCTTCGGCAAATTGCCACTGCTGGACGAGGATTCGCCGGGCAGACCGGGCAATATGGTGACAATATTAGTGTCTCTTTTTAAATTGTCGCGCTGGTTCCTGGCAGTTTTCGTTGAGCATCCCTATCCTCGGCAACCTGGTTTCAAAAGGGGCATTATACTCCGCCTGCACGTCCAAGCAGCGACCAATCTATGTACGTACTCTATATATAGGTATATCCGTGATTCCTATTATTACATGATTTGTATGACCCTAGTAAACATCCCGGCGAGACCAGTTCTCTGGGTTTCCCTAGACTTCTCGGGCTGCTTGAGCCTGCACAGTAGCCTCAGCCTTGCCCCTGACTCTTTCCAGCCTCTTCGCCTCCCGTGGCGTTAACAAGTTGCTTTTCCGTAGCTTCTTTCGAAGAAACCACTCCAAGCCGGCCACAAGTGATGGCACATCTGCCACCGCGCCAAATATCTTGGCCACCCTAGCGCTCTCTTTGTCCTCGTTACTGCCTCGACAGGCCTGCAGGAGGCTGACTATGAGCTGCTCAACAAACACAAGAGTCCAGGAGTTCAGCCTAGAAAGATGCAAAGGCTTCAATATATTGATGTTCAAGGCCCCATTAGATATCAGAGTTGCGTAGAAACGGGCCACATGGCCAAGGCGACGCTCGTCTTTCATCTTTTCACTGTCGGCAGTCTCCTCCTCTTCTGCTTCTTCACCAAACATAAGCTCGCCAAGGCTCCGGAAGATTCTCCAAAGCCTGTCTTGAAAAGCAAACCTAATCTTGTTGTTGATGCAGGCTTGTTTGCCCACGAGTGCATAGTATTCGTTGTAGTTTGCTTCGCTCCCGACACATTGTACAAGAACACGTGCAATCTCATTTTGATCGTCTTTTTTCAGCTTGAGGTTGGCATATTGCCGATATCCATGTTCATAGTCTGTCGCGGACATGAGGGCCGTAAATATGGCTATTTGTGCCGAGGTGTGAAAGCCTTGGCCGCGAGCCTTCTTCGAGTAATCGGGCAGCACAATGTCCATATCCTCGTCGTCTGTCAGATCTTTATCATTCTTTTGTGGTGCGGACTTTGTCTCCTCTTCCAAATCCTGATATGTTTCCTTTGCTGGCACACTTGCTCCCACCAGCCACCATTTGCCTCGTGTGTCTGCTTTTTCTATGTCTTGCAGACTCAAGCCCATGGGTGCGAGACCATCGAGTCTCCGAGACTGTGATTTAAGCTCACCAAGCTTCTTTCGAATGCGGAGAACGTGATCTGATACGATACCAGAATCCAATCCTCGAGCCTTTGGTTTGCTCTTACCAAGATCATTAATCGTCTCGACTATGAACTTTGTACGTACAGACAGGTTAGCGGGCCCAATTTCGCCAACTGCCTTGTTCAATATGGATGTAACGTGCTTGAGCGCATTTGGGTCATCACGCCGAAGAAGGCGGCCCGCCATGCGGCAGATACGTAAAAGGAGCTCAACGTTTAGCTCGTTCAACTCTGAGAGAAGTCTCTCCATATAATCAAAGATGATTTTGCAGCTCACAACTTCGAACAAGTATAACTGTGTGAGATATCCCAGAATGTTTGACGCTTCTTTGGGAATTTCTGCCAAATGAGCCCCTTCCTGCATGATGCTCTTGTATGAGCCTTGGAAGCTCACTACCACCTGCTGCGTAAGGTGGGATCCAAAGCTAGATCCAATCACTTTGTAAACCGCGGCGGAAAAGCCACCTGTGAGAACCAAGAACTGGTCTGGGACACTTGAAGACTTGTACATTTGCGCCAAAAGCGTACTTGTAAGAATCTCGGTTATGTCGCCACGAGCGTTGTTTTGGTAAAGCTCCTCGACAGATTTGACAATTTGTAGGATATTTGCTTCCGTCAGACGATTCACCAAACCCTGGATCTGCTTCTGTAGCCGCATGATGATTTCTGAATCTGAGTTGGCGGCTTTTCGCAAAGATGGAGGCACATATTTGGCGACTACTGCTCCCGTGGTCGGAGCTACATATGGATTTTCCTTCACCCTGGCATGCGTACGATGTGATGAGCCTTCCTCTTGGTTGTTGTTTTCGCTTCCATCGTCTGAAAAATCGAACCCGTCTTCGTCTTCGTCTTCTGAGCCGTCTGACATATCAGAGTCACCCTGGGCAGCTGAAGCACCCTCTGCTTTTCTCCTTTTTGAAGCTAGCCAGTCGTCATACTGCCTCTTTCTTTTGAGACTGTCATCGGCTTCTATTGTCTCAGATTCCGCCCCAACGTCGCCCAAAATATCATCGAGCCCATCATCTTTAAACGACTTCGGCAGCGATGAAGATCCTTTCTTGATGCGTAGTTTCTTTTCAAGTTCCTCAATTTCCTTATCATCTTGAGCCAATTGTTCGCGAACCCTTGAAGAGACTCCCTCGTACTTTGATGATCTCTGTGCCTCGTCGCTCTCGGTACCGCTATCCGCATCGCTCTCGGCATTACTGTCGCCCTCGCTCTCGTCTTCTAAGCCAAAGTCGTCTCCGTCTTCAATTTCAGAGCCGTCGCTTTCACCATCATCCTCGACTTCTCGCGAGAAGTCATCTTCTTCCTCGTCAGTCGGTACTTCAGAGCCCTCGTTGTCGCTCTGGACGTCGTCTCTTGGTATTGGTTTTGCTGGAGGACCTTTCGAGCGTTGTGTGTTTCTATCTGGGCGAGTAGAATTGATCCCATTGGCTTTTTTTTTCGCAGGAATAGCCTGCCTCGGGTGGTGCTGTGTCCTTTTTTGCGCTCTTTCAGCTTTCCGACGCGATACTTGGCTGAAATTTCCCTTGATCGGTTTGAACGGGCGCCTTGGTGCCTTTTGTTTGTCTTCTGGCACACTCAAGCCCATGCGCTTGAAGAGCTTTTTTTGAAGCTCCGCAACGTCTGCGGACGGCATGACAGCGAGAGGAGAGCAAAAAAAAAATAGAATTATAATGCGATGTTTTCCTTTTTTTTTTTTTTTTCTTTACATAGACATTACGAAGGCAAAGCTTGATTCAGCTACAAAGGCTGCTTTCATTAGACGAGTGTCGCGGCAAGAATATGGTAGCAAAAAAAAATTAATGGAATGACGTACTAGGCCTAGTAAAAGCCCAGGGGTCTCGGCCGCTGCAACGGAAAAATTCAGCCGCCAACAGCCTACGGCCGGAGGGAACAATAAACTCCTACTGGATTTAGCAGGACTAGAGAATTTTGTGAAGGGAAAGGACTTCCAATTATCGAAGTTCAATAACAAAGCATAATAAAGCTCAGTTTTATAGTGACTACACTATGTCCAAGGTAAGCCACACAGAGAGATGCTAAGTTAAGCTCATAATGTAATTTAAATATATACGTGCATATGTGATATAATATCAGTTGTAAAGAAATTCTATTGATACAACGGTCTATTGTGTTTTAGTAGCATTATAACCCCTCTTAGCTGGCTATTGTTGTTTTGCTACGTACACTATGTCATTTGCAGAGTAGGGCCCTTCTTTTCCCGATATGCATCTGCCGAGGATACGTACATTTACGTACTATTTTTTAATTACGCAGAACAACACCTCTCGTTCTCCTAGTCTCCCGTGAACAACCTCACTCATCCTGCGCTCGACCAAGCTCGCCCATCATGCTGTCTCGAAGCATAGCCTCCATCTCCCGCATTGCGCCCATGCGCGCTTTGCGTCCTTCTCCTGTGTTCCGCCAAGGACTCCCAAGCCTGATGCGCTTCTATGCCGACAAGATCATCCAGGTCCCGGTGATGGCCGAGTCTATATCTGAGGGCACTCTCAAGCAGTTCTCAAAATCGATCGGCGACTACGTCGAGGTAGACGAGGAGATTGCCACCATTGAGACGGACAAGGTATGCTGCCATTGACCCTGCACGCCCGACCTGCCAGTTTTCTCACCCTTTGCGCCTACAGATCGATGTGGCCGTCAACGCGACAGAAGCCGGTATCATCAAGGAGTTCTTCGTCAACGAGGAGGACACCGTTACAGTGGGCCAGGATTTGGTTCGTGTTGAGCTTGGTGGCGAGAAGCCAGAGTCTTCAGGAGAGGCAGAGAAGCCCAAGGAGGAGTCTAAGCCCCAAGCTTCCGAATCAAAACCTGCCGCCGAGCCAGAAGAGCCAAAGTCACAACCTGCGCCCAGCGAGAGCAAGAGCGAGAAACCTGCGCCGTCCCCCAAGAAGCCTGAGGAACAGCCTCAGAAGAAGAGCCAGCCCGAACCTGCCGCATCGTCAAGCTCTCTCCCAACCCCTGGAAACCGCGAGGAACGCCGTGTAAGTTTTTGATAACACATGCCGGTACTTGCTCGAGCTCGTCTAATTAAAGTTGCAATTTAGGTCAAGATGAACCGTATGCGACTACGTATTGCCGAGCGCCTCAAGCAGTCTCAGAACACTGCTGCCTCACTGACGACCTTCAACGAGGTCGACATGTCCAACATCATGGAGTTCCGAAAACTTTACAAGGAGGAGACCCTGAAGAAGACTGGCGTGAAGCTGGGTTTCATGAGCGCCTTTTCCCGTGCCGCAGTTTTGGCCATGCGAGATATTCCCGGCGTCAACGCTTCCATTGAGGGTCCCAACGGAGGCGACACCATCGTATACCGCGATTATGTCGATATCAGCGTTGCCGTCGCCACGGAGAAGGGTCTGGTTACCCCCGTGGTGCGAAACGTCGAGTCTATGGACATGATTAGCATCGAGAAGTCCATTGCTGACATGGGCAAGAAGGTTGGTAGTCGCAGCACCACATGTCAAACTGGCGGTTTTGCTAACTGAAAACTAGGCTCGCGACAACAAGCTCACTATTGAGGATATGGCTGGCGGTACATTTACTATCAGCAACGGCGGTGTCTTTGGCTCGCTGATGGGAACGCCCATCATCAACCTGCCCCAGAGTGCCGTCCTGGGTCTCCACGCCGTCAAGGATCGCGCCGTGGTTGTCAACGGAAAAGTGGAGGTTCGCCCGATGATGTATCTGGCGCTTACATATGACCACCGTCTGCTCGATGGAAGGGAAGCCGTCCAGTTCCTTGTCAAGATCAAGGAGTACATTGAAGACCCCCGGAGAATGCTCCTGTAGAAGCTTTTCCTCCTCCCAAACATTACACACCTTACCTAACGATGGCGGTAAACTCTTTAATTAGAAAATGTTGTAGTTAATACAAGCATACAAGACATGTGAATATAGGCTGTATGCCGAGGCACCTTGACCCAGCAGCATTCATAAATCCACGTTTGCGTAGAGATGCATAAGCTACATAGGTAGGTATCAGGCAAGTAGGCAAGTAGCTAATACATACTTTGCCATCTAGGAGGGTGAGCTCTGCTTAGCAGAAAACAATCCTTTATTCTAACGTTTGAGAAGCTCCTTGTCGATAATTAATACCGGGGTAGCTACTGGTTAGACAAGGGTGTGCTGCTAAGGTAGCATGATAATAAGCGTCACCCAAAGTCGTATGTTGTAACACTTCAACAACGGAATAACGGAATACTGGCACAATATGGCCCAATAATAGGTTTAATGTGATTGGAGCGCACAATGTCGTTCTTTTTCCTCTCTCAGCGTCTCATCCGCGTATTGTTTGTACTTGTATGTAGGCAGGTCTTATGCATGTATATCAAGGTTGTATTCTACTAACTAGAACTAGACAGCGTGGTGGTTGGATCCAGGCCCTGAGACAGAAGAGTGAAGAGAGAAGAGTGAAGAAGGCCACCCTGTTTCTACAAAGTTCAAGGCCAAACATCTACAGGTAAGTAGGTACCTACCTTATTCAAGTCTCCCCAAAGCAGCTAGGCTTATTTGCTCTTTTGTTTTGCTCGAGGACTGTACCTCTTGTACTGTACGAGTAAGATTCAAACTATTGGAAACCCATGCATCTCTTTAAGTGATGACGAAATTCCTCTCAGAGCCGCAATATCCACGGCCTGGCCCTTAGTAATCCAAGCCACGGAGAAGGACATGGAGATTGTCGGGCGAAACGCGGCAATGTCCGCGGGTATTACTTGACACTTCGTTCTTACTTACACGCGGAGCTCGGGATGCCGGGCGCGAGATGGAAATTTTGCTCGTGGGCCGCGAGCAGCTTACAGGATATGGCTAGTCGTTGGAAATTTTTAGATGCTATGGCTAACCATGCCAATCGTAGCCTGCAGGCCGGTGGGGAAGGACCTTGTCCATCTCATCGCACAATTCGATGTCGGCACGGCTTTCCACGTTGGTAGGGGTCACGCCACCATCCCGGCAGTGGGTTGAAGAAGGATTTTCAGGCTGCAAGAGCGGAGAAAGAGACGTGCGGAGGGATACAGTAAGCAGACAGGACAAGACAAGACAAGCAAGGTACGGAATAGGTAGTCGAAAACGAACGAGAGGAGCAGAAAACATGTGGGTTGGAGGGGTAGTTAATATGTAAGGAAGAGAAGAATGAAGGTGGCGGCGTAGCTGTGAGATCGTTTAATCAGCCGTCACCAGCTAGACTAGCATCTGGGCGCAAACCGTTTTTCTCACCCGCTGCGTAGTAGGCCGAATAAGCAATAGAGTATCTGGCTTGGCTGAGATACAGCCGAGGGCACTAGAAGGCTATTGCACAGGTATTGATTTGATGCCTTTTGCTTCCGATGCTCGGCCAGTGGGTGATGACACCAGGAGAAAACAGGAAAGGATAGGAGTTCACCGGTTGCAGCAGCAGCCGCAAGAGGAGGAGTTGCTACTACTTTAGCATATAAGAAGAACAAGTTACAGATTACAAAATACACCACCTACCTAGTAGGTAGTGCCGTCATATGACCCGATGTGGGCAGCAAGGGTCGCAAATTCTTCTTTTTTCTTTGTGCCTCTCTTATAAACCAAACCCACATGCAGCACATCAGTCCCGGAATCCCAGCGCGCCAAGATGCCTGAAGGTGGGGAGCTCGCAGCTATCCAGCCATTTCGTCACAGCGTTTGGTGGGGTTCTCAGCCGATGGTCGCGCTCCGTTATCCGATTTCTGCTCCGGAATCACCGGCGAATAAAAGCTGCGATGAGAGAAAAAAAAAAAAAGAGAGAAGAGAGGTGAGAAGAATAAGAAAAGAGATGTAAAGGGGACTATAGCTGTGGAGATGGAGTTTTTCTTACTTAGGTAGCTAGGAAAAGTATCAAGTCTTGGATACTTGCTCGCCACAGGAGGCATACGTGCACGCTTCATGCGTATTGCGTATTGCGCTTTGCGTATTAGCTGGAACATGAACCTCACTTACACGCGTTCAGTTGCGACAACTCCGTGCGCCGCTATCTCGGCTACCATACCCAACCAATGTTGTGGCATTTCGTACTAGGAGCCGGTAATGCTATGCGAGCACTGAGACGCCGAGAGGCCAGCTCACCTGGATCTGGCCTCAGTTGTGAGTACCGGTACATGTCGATGAAGCGCATCGCGATGCTGCATGATTCTGCATTGCGACTCAAGGCGGGTCGGCTCCGTAATAACGACCAGTGCTAGCTGCGTGAAAAGCCACCAGGAATCGGCCTGGGTCTTTGTGTTATCGCTAGCAAGGCTGCGACTAGGTACTGCTACCGCTGCCGGGTCGAAACCCAAGATGTCCATATCATGGTACAGTAGCAGTCGCTTGTCGTCGTGCAGGCAGCCGAGCCGCGCCAGGGTTCTCCAGGAATCATGGACAGTGCGTCATCGCACTGCGCCGGAGCTGGTGCCGCCGCCATTGCCTATTTCCGCAGCTTTCAAGCTCTGTTTGGCACATTCAGCTTCCAGCGCCCAATGGCCAGCAGCCAGTCGCTGCACGGGAGAGACATGTGATGGACTAGAGGGCCCAAGGATGGCAGTAGATCAGTTCCCAGGTGATGGCCAAGGACAGGCAAGCGTAGCCGGACTGACTCACAGCTGATATCTCGTAGCTACAGCAGCAGCTAGGGCAAGGCAAAAGACGTGCCAACCACCCAACCACTTACACCTCGGACAGGTGGAGGGCAGTTTCTTTAGGCGCGACCCGGCAGTACATCAATCCATCAGCCGTCCCGATATTCGCTCAAAGAGGAAACAGAAACCCCACCCGGCGCATCCATTAGTGGGGATGTGTCTTTTTTTTTTTCTTGCCTTGTCCACTTGAGCTTCTGCCACCTTAGTAGCTTGGCAGCCAGGCTGGAACGCTTCCTGACCGCATCTACACCCCAAGTAGCAGTACACGCAAGGCGCGAGCGTCGGAAGCCTCGGAGCTCGACCTCATCTTCCAGCGACAGCAACAGCCCACAACCAAGGTAACTCGACCTTTGACAGCCGATATGACGATTGTCAATCACAGCCCGAGATCAATGCCGCTCAGGTCCCGCTGGCGGCGGGATGGGGCGGCTTTGTCTAAGCTGCCGTCGAGTCGTCTTTTTAAAAGCCAGCCACCCACCCGCCTATGACATGTGTAGATGAAGCTGAAGTTTTTCTTGTATACCGTCTTCCTCTTGGTCGCAGCAGTCTGCGTACTCTCTTCTCACGTCGAAAAGCCATATCTCGCTCTGGTCGCTGAGTGAGGTGGTCCATATATGTATCTTGTCTATACGCCTTGATTGTCACCCTGAGGTCTCTGCGCGCGCAGAGCTTTTTGCTGTCGGTTGATTGTAAAGCTTTCGCATCACACGGCGCTGCCGCTTAAACGAAACGACTCTCCGTCTCTCGTTCCTAGATCCTATACTCCTTTAATATCGTTGGAGAGAACAACGAGCTGTACAGCCAGCTACACCCATGAAATCAGCTGCGTTCGGCAGTAGACTCGCCGGCATTGCGGTGCTTGGCTTGAGCTTTGCGCTTCCCGTGATAGCTGCCAATGGCCGCCGCCATGGAGGCGAGATGGAGATGGACGACGCTCCGCCAGACGACACCGAGTATCCTCCCACCTACTTTGCGCATCCGGAGCACCGCCAGCTCATGCTTGCCCACATTGCACTCATGACACTGGCCTGGGTGATGTTGCTGCCCGTTGGTATGTCATATCTTGCGCCTGGCCCCCGCCGATGGAGCTCTCAGAAACGCAGAGTCTGTGCTAACACGACCTTGTTTAAGCCGTCTTCTTGTCGCTGGCCAAGTCCCGCTACGTCCTGCCCGCGCAGTTTGTCTTCCTGGGCACCAATGCGCTGGGCCTGATCCTGGGCACCATCTACAACGCCTCGACGCCGGATCTGTTCCCAAACAACGCCCACCACCGCATTGGCTGGATCATTACCTGGGTCATCTCGGCGCAGGTCGTGGTCAGCCTGCTCCGGCGCGTGGGCGGGGCCCTCAAGGGCGCCGACAGCGAGCTAGCCGAAGAGCGCCGCTCCTTCATCCCGCTGCCCACAGACGCCCCGGAGGCTAGGGGCACCTACTACGGCGATCGCCTGTCCAACGACAGCGGCCAGGGCTCTGAGCCGACCACCGAGTCTCTGCGCAGCAACTCCATCTCGACGCTCGGCGACCATGAGCACCAGCCCATGTCCACGTTCAACAAGGAGCTGGACGAGGAGGATGATTTCGATGGCCCGATCATGCCCATGCCCGAGGCGAAGCCGCAGAGCAAGACGACGTTGATGGCAATCAAGGTCTTGTCTTCCAAGGTCTGGAAGTACATCGACTTTGGATACAAGGTCGTGGACCGCATCATTCTGCCCTTTGGCTTTATCGCGTATACTTCTGGAATTGCCACCTATGGACGACTTTTTGTGCGTTGTGCCCTTTTTATTCTTCCCTGAGAAACAAATACTGATCTTTTCTTCTTAGGAGGGCTCTGCGATTTTCAGTGGACTTGCTCACTGGATCAAGGGAGGCATCTTCTTCTGGATGGGTCTCCTGACTCTGGGTCGCTGGGCGGGAAGCTTCTACGAGTCGGGCTGGTCATGGAATCTGCGTCGCCAGAGAAGAGCTGGCCAGCGCTGGGCTCCGTCTGCAGAATTCGTCGAGAGCGGCCTCATTACCTTTTACGGCGCCACAAACATCTTTTTGGAACACCTGGGCAGCCGAGATGGCGTCTGGAGGCCCAGCGATCTGGAGCATCTCTCCATCACCGTTCTTTTCCTTGGAGGTGGTTCGGTAAGCGTCACCCGAATGCGATTAACTGCATCTCCTTCTCTTTGGCAGTCTTACTTACTGACCCTGCGATAGGCCGGCTTACTTGTTGAATCCACGCGAATGAGGGACTTGCTAAACACAATGGTGACAATCGACAACCAAGTCGAGCCGTCCGATGAAGAGCGCGCAACCCTTGAGCCTCCTGCGACTTATGAGTTCTCCAGCAACCCCATTCCGGCTCTCATCATCCTCTTCCTCGGCATCATGATGGGCGGACACACTCAGACTACAGGCACTGGCACCATGGTTCACAAGCAGTGGGGCGATTTGCTGTTTGGCGCTGCATGTGCCCGAATGCTCACATATGTCATTATGTGGGTGAAGCCGCCAAAGTCGGTTCACCCATCGCGACCGCCAACTGAGCTTCTGGCTTCATTTGGCCTCATTGCCGGTGGTATTATTTTCATGTATAGTGTAAGTGTAACGATTTTGTCCATTTCTTTATATGAGCGGAAACTAACTGTAGCAGAGCGCCGATACCGTCAAAGGCATGCTCCATTACAAGATCGATGCTATGCCCCTCTACACGATAGTGCTGGGCGCGACGGGCTTGTTTATGGCGTGGGAGCTTCTTGTTCTAGCTCTCAAGGGATGGGCCGTTCGCAAGGAGCGCAAATCTCGGACGCCGGCCTATGCCTAATTTGACTGTTTCTCTTCTTCCAAGGAGATCCTGATCCTACTCGCTATACACAGTGTTGATGTTCAACATACAAAACACCTAGTACCGAGACCCAATGCCCGGTTTCGGTGCTGAAACGATGCTTATTTTTGGTTGATCAATCCGGCCCTAAATTCGCAGTGCTTGGAAAAGCAAAATCTTCACATTCTATACGGCATTGGTGCAACGGCTTTTTTTTTTTTCCTTTTTTTTTTTCCTTTTTTTCTCTAATTATAGATACCCTTTCATACATATACTTGGAGGCGAATCGGTTACTTTTAGCTTTGATGATACCACACGTTCGTTTATAGATCTAGTAGATAGTTTTATGAGAGGAGACGCAGGGATGTAATGCATTTGATGACGAAGCATTGGCCTAGACTTTCAGGCCTAGACTTTCAATCGCAAATATGACATCTAAATCTGACATTTCGTCGAGGAGATATGAGTTCATGGCATATTCGTATTTCCATCTATTTTCCCTGGCGTAATTTTTCTTTTATGGGGTATTACGTTGAAAAGTTAATGTGTAGCACAAGTAAGGAATCATTATTCTTCATATTTTCAATACAAAATCCAATAGCCAAATAACCAATGCTCCCGATATTGTTCCATGCTGTTTAAGCACGCAAGACACGCTATGCGATGAATATATATGTGAGCTTTTTCCGGCTCTATAGGGTATCTTGCGTCCAAAGCGTTAGCTGCGAATCAAGACTTATCGCTGATAAGATACCACCTCGTAGAGAAATTTACCGTGACGAGAGAGTGTGTGTGTGTATAAGAGGGACAGCAAACGTCAATTCTGCACCGGAAAAGTTCAGCCTTGACGGCTCTCAGAGGTCTTGAGAACCGCGCCCTGCTGCGAGGCTGAGAATTGCTGGGCGCCCTGCTGTAGCGCGTGGACAAGAAACGGCACGGATTCGACCTTGAAGTCGTCGGCGTTGCGAACTTTGTCCAGGTCCTCGGAGAGCTCTTGCGTCACTCTCTGGAGGTAGAGGGCCGAGAAGGCCTGCTGGCTTTGGGTTGAGTCTTGGGGCATTGTTTTCTTTTCACCGAGAATGGGGAAGAATAATAATTGACTTATAAAAAATAATAAGCTTGAGAATTTACGAGATAAGGCTGCGCGGTGGTTTATCTACCGCTACTGTAGCATTAGCACCTAAGCATGATGACAAAGGCGGATTTACTAGGCCGGGGTAGCGCTGGGGATTAAGAACCACATGATATTGGCGTCAATTTTTGATAGCCCGTAGCATCACTGCTGCCGCTGCTACAGAATGTCCGTACATTTAGACAAGATATATATATTCGTATGCGCTCACCTATTCAAAATATTCATCCAAGCAGCCGTTCCAGCACATCAACAAGGCCCCTTTGAAATTACCCCCAAAAAGTGCCAATACACACCATGTTATTGGCCGCTAGCAAAGTATAACGCAGGCTACTAAGGCAAGGCACGCACTCTATTATAGCGCACGCTATGCGATCTGCGGATACGCTACAGCGGCTCTTCCCAAGGCACAGCGCGTGCGACCCCGGATCCAGTCTTGGATTATTACGTCTTACCTGCACCGATCGATACCCTTTTTCTGCTCAACAAGGCTTCTCCGCCACCTTATTCCAGCAATTCATACCAGTATTTTACGATTATACTCGACGACCATCCACACAGGACGCAGAGGTTCTTGATTGTTCAGCCTCTTTGCAGACCATATCTCGGCCTACGTCGATTGGCGCGTCGAACAGATAGAGAGAGAGGGAGAGAGAGAGAGAGCCGAGATCCCATCATATCCATTCCCATACAGTCGCCATGTCCGCTCGACCAGCGACTCCCGCATCGCCCAAAAATGCAAAGATCAAATCTCCCTCGCCGGGCAATCCAGTATTCGGCTGCGGTGCGTCGAATGCGTCAAATAAACCAACAAAAGACTACATGTGCTGACCTTGCTTCCAGAGCATGTCCAGCTCCTTCTTTCGCAGAGCCAAGAAGTTATGAACAGCTCCATAGCTCATTACAAGATGATACTTCGAGGAATCTTCGACACAAGCCCCATCATTCCCCAGACGTCAACGAACCCGGAAGGCCGACCCGTTACTTCGCTCACCTCGAATTATCTATGTCTACAATGTCCTGTGACGGTGGAGGAAGCCGATCGACTAGACCATGGGACCGAAAAACTACATCGATTCTGTATGTGACGGCTTCTTGATGTGGTCACCTTGATACTGCCATTGCAGTTTTTTGGTTTACTTACTTACAAGTACAGACGTTGACTCTCGCAACGGCTCACTCTATTGTCAGATATGTGATGACTTTGTTTGGGACCCTACGTTTGAGGAGCTCAGAGTGCGAAAGATAGGAACTGGGACATTTTCAAGTACGTTCGTGTTGAGCTGATATCGTTTAACGAAGCCTTTCCTCCATATGACCGCCATTTGATAATCTCCCTTTACCTGACATGTCATCTTAGTGAACCGAAAACGAAAGCACGACGAACTATTTGCAGACTCGGGAAAAGAGGATCCTCGCCTCATCTCGGCCAACACAGTCGCTGCATCATGCCGCGCAAGTGGACTTCGTGGCATCTACAACGCAGGGGCAACCTGCTACCAGAACGTCGTGCTTCAGAGCTTCCTCCACAATCCTCTCCTGCGCAATTTTTATCTTAGCGACGGACACCAGAGCGGCGACTGTAGCATCCCGTACTGCCTAAGCTGTGCTATGGATGACATGTTCCAGGATTTCTATGCTCTGGAAAGTACCAATGGCTATACAGCGGCCAGTATCCTCTCTGGATTTTGGATTTCGGAGAAGAAGGCTTTTGAGAATCTCGTCACGACCAAGGAGCAGGATGCCCATGAGTTTTTCCAATTTCTGGCAGAAGAATTGCACGAGCGAAACGGCGACGGCAAAAGGCCACAGAGTGGAAGTGAGCACACATGCAGTTGCATTATCCATCAAACATTCTACGGCAAAATGCAAACAACCACAACATGCCAGAATTGTGGCGGCCAGACACATGCTGTCCAATCGTTCCTAGATCTCAGTCTAGGCGTCGATACTTTGGCACAGAGACGAGCCAAGAAGACGGGACAGAAGCTGCCTGCGCTGACACTGAACGACTGCTTGGACGAGGAGTATGTCAAGTCGGACAAGTGCGAGTACAGGTGCCACAGCTGCGCATCAATACAGCAGGCACGAAGATATACCAACATTAAACGCCTACCAAACGTGCTGTCTGTCCAACTCAAGGTAAGTTGTTTATCCCTTGGTGGATAGACTCGGGTATTAATTCCAACATAATAGAGATTCGAGATGAAACAGGGGAAACACGACCGATCTGCCTCCAAGATTGACAACACTGTCCGTTTTCCACTACAGCTAAATATGCTTCCCTACACCAATCGTGCTCGCAGTCGTGATAGTCGCGAGAATATGGAATTGGAGAGATCATGCACATATGATCTTTTGAGCGTCGTTGTTCACGTTGGCGAGATTGAGACAGGACACTATGTGTCATATTGCCGAGTTGGAGACCAGGTACGGCTTGCATCCCTTGATGTATTCTCTGTGTGTTTTCTTTTCAACTGACGATATCAGTGGTTCAAATTCAACGATCACAAGGTAGAGTTGGCCAAGGTATCAGATGTGCTTGGGGCCCAGGCATATTTGCTATTCTACATAATTCGATCACTGGCTTAAGCTGAAGCATTGTTGTATAATATATCAAATAATGTGCTACACGATACCTACCACCTTTGGGTACGGGATGAATAATGAATTTGGACACAATGAAGCTAGTAGATGGCAATACATCCATCAATCGAGATTTGTGGCAAAGTCAGTACAGCATTCGTCCTATCCGTACTGCTCAAAATCACATCCGAATATGCGTGCACCTGTTTTTGTCAAGAAAAGTATATTCTTTTTAAGAAGACGTTTTCTACACCATCTCCGCCTTATCGCCAGTTCCAGTTTGGGCACTCAAAATTGGCGTAGCAGTAGAATTCGTTGCTGAGACCCCTTGTATGTTTGGGCTCAAAAGCAGCCGTCTTTATTCCGAGTGCCTTGTAGAGCTTGAGAATCAGATCCTCCATTCGCTCTCCAGTGCAGACGATGAGCCGAGGCAGCGTATCGGCGTTTTTGGGCTTGAGTAGCCAGCGTACAGTCAAGGCGGCTATGGAGATGAGCATCGTTAGTTTTACAAAATCCCAAGAAGACGCGCTGAGAAGGGTATACATACCTTTGGTCTGGCAATCTTCGCTTAGGAAGGGCGGATCACATATGACTCTGTCAATAGACCCTTTGAGATGACCTGCGTGGCACAATTTGGTTATTCCAGGCTCTCAAAGGACTAAATATACATATATCATTCAAGATATAGCATCTTTTTATAGCAAATGTTGGCATCATACCTGGCAATTTGACTGGCTGCTGGAAGTCATAGAAGTAAAATTCTGAAAAGACGCCAAACCGGTTGTCGTGTTCTAGGAGGACCAATTTTGGCTTTTCATCGTCACTTCGATCTCGCTGGAGAAGATAGAGAATGGCTCGCGTCAGCAATCTTCTTTTTCCCAGAAGCTATCAAGAGAATCTTATGCCTCCAAGGGTTTCCAAACTCTGAGATGTCTAGTGTGGCATATGTGATTTCGCTTACCAGCATGTTCTTGAGTGCAACGAAAACGCTCGGGGCTGAGACGACGCCGATTGTCATGTCGCTTGTGGCATCTCTAAGAAGCTCTGTTGCCAGCTTATTCGCGGTATCCTCTGAGTACTATATGTGGAGAGGGAGATATTTCTTTAGTGTTAGCTAGGGACTCGAAAGTCAAGAACAAGCACAACTATTTAGAAGAAGAAGAAAAAAGACAAAATGCAAATCATGTTTCCAAATGAGGAGTACAACGGCAAAAGATGCCTTGTCTTGGAATGAGGTGTAAAACACACCATGTACAGGTAAGAAGATACACGCAGAGGAGAGAAGAGAGAGAGAGAGAGAGTGTGTGTGTGTGTGTGTGTGTGTGTGTGTTCAACGTACCCAAAACTGAGACTCATTCCAATCTTCTGAAAAGGCATCAATGGACAAAAGCGCATTGCTCTCCGCCTCATCCTTGAGTCTCTGAAACTTGGCCTGATGCTCGTCTTTTTCGGCTTCGAAAGATTTCAATGCGGCCAAGGCGTGGGCTGAAAGGGTGCTGGTGTGGTGGTTTTTTTTTTCTAGTCAGCTTTGAAGACGAAAGCGTGTGGAGGAAGAGGAAAAGATTGAGATTGTATATTTACATAGGTTCGTCATCGCTGTCAGACATCTTTTATCCTTTTTAAACCCGTTTTTCTTGCTCTTCTTCTTTTTAACTTTCTTGATGTTGTTTATTTTGTCAAGATTGGGGCGAGGGCGGGGTGCACGTAAAGAGAATGGCAAAGAAGAAAAAAATTATGCACTCACTTGATGATGCTGCGAACATGGCACCGCGTATGTCAGTTTTTCTTAAAAAGTACATGATAGTACATGATATCAGTGGATCATCATGTATATAATTCGCTTAAAAGCTAGTGATTCTACCTCAGCTAAGTACCTTATAAGTACACTCGCTGCTAGTAAATTGGCCGCTTAGTTCGTCGTCAAACCCATATTCCTCGTCTTAATAGCAGCGGTGATAAAGATGTCTAATGTTTTCTGAAAGAAAATAAATCAATTTTCATTCTACTCAAATAGCATAACAGCTCATGCAAAATTGCAAAAATATCCCAAATTATTTTCCACAGCTTCAGTTCTATGCATCGCTCTGTCTTTTATCCATAGCAAGGTACATACTAGCTCTATACATCTATGTGCGTTTTAAAATCTAGATATCAAAATTCTTTGTCTTGGTGATAGTTTCTTGACACTTGGAAAAGATGGCGGCTTGTTGAGCGACCTCTGCAAGCCTGCCAATGACTTGGCCATTGGCTCTTGAAAATCCATAATATGCGTAGGGAATGCCCACGTCTTTGCAAAATTCGATAATCATTTTCTGTGCCTCGCGCAAGTTATGACGTGGCAGGCGAGGGAACATGTGGTGGATGGCTTGGAACTGCAGGCCTCCGTGAACAAAGTCCAGCCACGGAGGGCAGTCAACGTCCATTGTTGTCCTGAGCATCATCTGCGGGAACGACTCCTGCGGCCCCAAGTCGGCAGTGCTCATGGCGAAATGTGAGAGCACAATCTGCACATGCAGGGGAGACGACGCAATATGGCTCACCATGACGAAAACAAAACGCGACCAGCCATCGGGTATCGATTTGTACACAATGCCATAGCCAAACCAAGTCCAGAAAAACAGCTGACCGATCAGCTCGATCCACCGGTGCTTTGCAGCCTGGCCTTTCCGAGGTCCCTTTCCGTTGATGATAAAGTCCCATGATAGAACATAGAGATTGAAACGGCCAAATGCCAAGAACGGGTAGTAGGTCCAGGGTTGGATACGCAACAGGATTTTCGCCGCAGCATCGAATTTCATAACCCGTTCGTAAAAAGTAGAACGTAGATCACCCAAGAGCCGGTGAGAAACGGCAAAAAGAGGCATGTGCTCGATATCAGGGTCGTGTTCAGGAGCATTCGTCACAATGTGGTGAACGTTGTGGTTGTGCTTCCACCAGCCGAGGGAGAGGCCGCCAACAAAATCGGCAATGAATATTCCAATAAACGTGTCGACATAGTAATTGTGCGTAATACCCATGTGAGCAGCATCGTGAGCCGTGAAAACCAGCTGGTGCCACATGAAGCCAAGAGACAAGGCGCTGATAACATAGTAGCCATAGTGAAGGGTGATTAGCATCGTAAAGAAGAGAGAAAAGTATCGCAGGCATTCCCAGCCGTACGCGGAATAGTTGGTCTTGTAGAGGCCAGCATCGATGATCCTTTGGTGCAGTTCACGGTATTTGACGACAATGTTGGCTTGTGTCGCTTCGTCGACAGCAGGATAAGCCTCCAGGTCAAGGCGAATGTGCTCGCGAGTGACAGTGTCTAGATAAGACATGCCGTCAAGCGGCGCCTTGTCTGTGGTTGAATTCGATGACATTGATCCTGATCTCGCCAATCCACTTCCAGCGGCAGTCTTTCGACCCCGCAGCGCTCCCGCATCAACATCAAATACCGGCGAAGGGGCTCGAGAGCTGGACGAGCTGGCATCGTCTCCGGCCGCGGCATTGTAGTTGCCTTTGCTACGATCCGCTTCGATTTCCGCCATGGTCCGAAAGACGCCGCCCTGGATAGGTGGTCTGAAGTTCAGCCAGGAGCCCTCAATTCGTCCGATGCGGTACCGCGGCATTTTCTGTTTTGCTTCTTCGGAATGTAGACTGTAACAATGAAGCATTAGCAGTCTATATCAACGTAGCGAGTGTCCGCTTGAGGCATGGTTCACATACACATCCACCCAGTCAGTTCCATCTCGACCAACCAAGTGCATGATGGACTTGGCACCTCCCGGGTGGTATTTGAGCCATGCATCAAGCTTCAAGACATATCCGCGGTGAATGATGATATGTCGTCCGTTGGCAATCAAGTCCTCGATTTCGTCGCGGGACATCAGAGGCAGGGATTTGCTTCCGCCCACATCCTGCGCCTGTTGGCGGGAGGAATCATTGTCGGTGGCCATCATGGTGCTTAACGCATGTCAAGCCGTGCACAAGGAAAGGACACCAAGTTTCGAAACCCGGTTTTGAAACACAAAAAGATTGAATTAGAGCGAAGGTAAGTTGTCAGGGAATGTGAGACGTGTGAAATTTAGCTGGAATGGAGATCGGCTTAATCGCGAATTCACCGCCCAAAGCCACGCAAGCCGCTCAGCTATTGTCGAACGACTTTGATAGAGAGGTAGGACGATTTGAGACACGGGTATACCTGTGCTAGGCAGTTCCGCCAGCCACGTTCAAGTGTTAAACTGAGTCTGGTAGTAAAACGCTAGTTATAGGCAGTTCGGCTGCTAGCATTAGCTAATAAAGAATGCTGCTAAGAAATACTGGAGCTCCAAATAGCTATCGGAGCAAAAAGGCGTGCGGGGCTTCAATTCAATGTTCAAGCAAGACATTGGAAACTGATGAATACAAAATGCCACATGTAATATATTTTGAAATGAAAAAATATCAACTCAATTCAATTGACAAATGGCAAAGTTTTGGATATCATTTGAAGTTATTTGTTTCTTTCTTCAATCTCTTGCAAAGACGGAAGGCTACAGTGAAAAAGGATATATAACGCTTGTCAAGCATGTGTCGTTGAAGCTATGCTGTATTGCATCATGGAATCCCCAACTTCAGACGCGCCACACCATGTTTGTACATTGATACCTCACTTGCAGTTGGAACAGTATGTAAAATAAATGGTTAAATGATTTTGAAGTGCATCGAAAAAACCCTAATTGATTCATTGATCATAGCCGTGGGGGATTAATGTACAACCCAGACGTACAAAAGCAACCGAAAACCTTATCCCTGGACCCCTTTATGACAACCAAAACGACCTCGAAAGAAAGCAGCAAAAACGACAGGCAGAAATTACAATTCTTGGCTGGAGCCCTTGCCAGCCTTACCCGATGTCTTCTTGGGGAGCAGGTCTATGAAATGTTAGCGTCCATGTGATTTGTTTTGATTTGCCACGCGTCTTACTCTGGTGAATGTTGGGCAGAACACCACCCTGTGCGATGGTGACGTGTCCCAGCAGCTTGTTCAACTCCTCATCGTTTCGGATGGCGAGCTGAAGGTGACGGGGGATGATACGGGTCTTCTTGTTGTCGCGAGCGGCGTTGCCAGCCAGCTCGAGAATTTCGGCAGCGAGGTACTCGAGGACAGCGGCCAGGTAGACGGGAGCACCGGCACCGACACGCTGAGCGTAGTTGCCCTTTCGCAGAAGACGGTGGACACGACCAACGGGGAAAGCAAGACCCGCCTTGGAAGAACGGCTGCGATGGAGTCAGACTTGCTATGTCCAAGTAATGTGATGGAAACAGACGCGTGAATCGCGTCAATCGAGTTTACTTACGACTGGGAGTTCTTGGAGCCAGAGGCCTTGCCACCAGATTTGCCGCCGCCAGTCATTTTGAAATAAGTTGTATGTGGTAAATTAACGAGAAAAAAACTCGAAGGGTTGGGCGAGAAAAGAGATGAACGTTGGAATGGTAATCGTGCAGCGTGGATAGTTGAGAGACAGTGTAAATGAAGAGGATTGAATTCGGCGGGGGGAATCTCAGTTAAGTAGTTTTTGGTGCTCAGCGCGCGCGATCACCAATCACCCTCCCTCTGCGGCAGCTCAAGCGCTAGTCTTGTTTGGGAAAATTAGACGTGTTCCGAGCACAACAAACTGCCATCGCAATTGCGGGGGGGTGTGAACAAGCAAAGTACAGCGGAAATGGATACAAGGCTCATGCAGCTAAGTGCTCGCTCCAGGTACCTTGGCGGTACATCACTTTTGGAGCCGGCACTCAGCGACTTCTCCTGCTCTTCTCCACGCTCGCTTCCACATCCGCGCTACATGATAGCCTCAGTGTGGCTGCTGCTGGACACGCCACTGATGATAGCAGCAAGCAGCAACGCGCTGGATTACAGTATTGCAATTTTCTGGTGCCTCATTCTCGGATCCCAAGTGACGCTCAGCACCTGTGCTGTATAAAATACACTGCCTGGTTGGTAGTAGTAGTAGTATTCACCCTTGTAGAAAAGCAACATGTGCATCAATTATTTTATGCTCTTTGATTGGTCCAATTTCTATACATCACGGTGCAGAATGGGATGCTGCCTGCGAAAGTCCTGCCTTGGTTTAAATGAGGGCTGTCTATTGGACGACCAGATAACACTGCTGAGTCCTGAGCTCTGTCTGCTGATTGTAGTGACTGGCCATGGAATAGCACGCTGAGCTTCATTGCTCTGGTTCGAGTTATGTAATCTCGTGTACTCGGTATCCAGCCATCGCCAGATATTTTGAAAGATACGCGCAGATCGTGCGGATGCAATAAGCGTTTTTTATATCCACTGTAAGTTTGCTTAGTGGTACTAGTATTGTTCATAGTGGGTAATGTGAAGCCATAGTGTATGGTCAGAACAGTATCATTTCAGATTGCTTTGTTGTTTTTGTTCTCTCGTCTAAAATTGAGCAACGCGTTCATGCACAACGGCATTGCACGCTGTTCTACCCCTACGTCTCCGCAAGCTGCAGCGTATTCTACTAATTTGAAGATAAAAAACAACAAGTTGAAAACCAAAATGACTATAGCTGGAGGAAATACAGATATTTACGCTGAAATCATTCAAAGTGCGATTCTATTCTAGATTACAGGGTAGGCTGGCTGAAGCTGATAAGGCCATCAAGGCCGCTCTTTCAACGGGCGGTGTGGTGGCACGGCGCGCAGGGCGAAAGGCGGGAGGTACATCACAAGCCGCCCAATCGCAAGAGGGGAAAATGGTACTGAATACGTACCGGTCCTCAGCTGGAAGGGGACTTGGTGGGGTGAAAGGCTTGGAGAGATAAAAAAGAACAGATCTGGCCAATCACATGGCGCGCTGGAGAAAAAGAAGTCCTCGAAAAAAGAATAACAAAAAAAAATCGACGCGACTGGGAGCCAAAATACAGACCCCCGGTCCAGCGAGGCAATCGCAGGCACTCGGCCCCGTCGCACTTGGCTCAGCAAGCCGTGATTGCGACTGAGCACGCCTTGCCGCGAACCGCCTAGCGCGACATAGCTGTGCTGGAGCAAGGGGTACTTCGCCAGTACCTGGAACGTGCCCAAGATACCGCGCTACCTGTACCAGTAGTCAGCCAACTTTTTTTTTTTTTTTTTTTTTTTCCTGCTTTATTACTCTGCCACAAAAAAGGCCTAGCGCCGCCAGCAGCCAAAAAGGCAGCAAAGAAACAAAACCACACGCACGGAGGGGGGGCGTGCACGCGCGACCCTTTTTTGCTCGCGCCACGCCTGGCGACTTTGGCTTCCCAGCCAAATCAGTAACCCACTTGCACCAACGCGTTCCCAGCTACAAAAGCCCAGCTCATCCCCAAGACCTCTTTCCCGCACCATTCACTTTTTCCATCATCACCCGCTGCCAGCCCGCCATTTTGCCCTTTTGATTATCCAACCTTCTTAGATTTCACTCGATTTTTAATTCATCTTCAAAAATGCCTCCCAAAGCTGCCGACAAGAAGCCCGCCGCCAAGGCCCCCTCAACTGCCAGCAAGGCTCCCGAGAAGAAGGATGCCGGCAAGAAGACCGCCGCTTCTGGCGACAAGAAGAAGCGATCAAAGACTCGCAAGGAGACCTACAGCTCCTACATCTACAAGGGTTTGTTTACCTTATTTGCTTTTTACTTTGCAACTTTTTTTTCTTGTTTTCTAATACTAACTTTTGGTTTCTAGTCCTCAAGCAGGTCCACCCCGACACTGGTATCTCCAACCGTGCCATGTCCATCCTGAACTCGTTCGTCAACGGTAAGCTCCAATCGCGTCTCATTTCATCAAGTATTCCTTTTCTAACTTCATTAGATATCTTCGAGCGTGTTGCTTCCGAGGCTTCCAAGCTGGCTGCCTACAACAAGAAGTCCACAATCTCTTCCCGAGAGATCCAGACATCCGTCCGACTGATCCTGCCGGGTGAACTGGCCAAGCACGCCGTCTCCGAGGGCACCAAGGCCGTTACCAAGTACTCTTCATCGACGAAATAAGCGGGGTCATGACGATGACTAGTTCTGATTTCGTATCTGAAAAACTTGGGTTTTTGTTTGCGTGACTTTAGTGTCTTTACTCGAGACTACAGGTGATTGTGTTTCGCCTTTGGGATCTCTTAATGCGTTACGGATGGTTTGCTTTATGGGGGCAATGTCTTCACGGTCAATGGGGTTTGCGGTTGTACAATAGCTATCGAGGATATCTCGAAGCAATGGTTTCTGCACATTATGCTATTTTAAATTTTCTGCATCAACAATTACAGAATCTCCTAAAACACATGTCTATGTCTACTGTCCAAGTCCTGCTCGGGTTCGTTTCATTGTCTGGCTTACAGGATGAAGTATACCTTGATTGTCACTCGTTCCCAGAGGCGTTCCAGTACTCCATCCCATTTTCTCCAACATGGTTCGACCGCGATTTTCCGTTCCCAATTCCGGGGCAGATGCGCCGATGACCTCACCATCCTGGTAGCTGGCTAGATTATGCCGACCTGACGATGATTGCTGTTTGTTTTTAGATCTGCCTCCGCCTCCGCCTCCACCTCCGCCCCCGCCTCCTGGCTGAGAAGAATAATGCCGTTTAACTCGCGACAATGCCTGGTCAAAAGCAGCTTCTCTATATGTCGTCTTTTTTGTCTTTTGTAGAATTGGCCGACGTTGACTTTCAGCACCAACTGACTTGGATTTGATGCTAAACTTATTTGCTAGCTCATGGATCATTTTCCTTGTTCGCTTATCCATCGGCGGTAGATTTAATCTGGTAAATAGTCAGTAAAGTGGGTATCCTTTGACAGGGTTGTGTTATACGTGCGTTTGTTGAGGTCCGGCAAGGAACGTTTTTATTTCATCCACAGCTTCGCCTGCTGTGATGCCTGTCCGGTACTTGGCTAGGAGGTCTGGCTGGCTTCTATTGCCAAGCATCCCTGTCGCTCGCAACTCTTCCCTCTCCCTCTTACGTTGAGCCTTCCTCTGCCGATCATTGCTGTAGGCGGCTTGCAGTCTGTCTTCCAGATCCGAATCGATATCTGAGCCTAGAAGTAGACGTCTCGCTTTGCCCCCTTTTCGCCTTACGCTAGGTCGTTCCCAGTCCATAAAGTCGAAGTCCCCTTGTTCCTCGAGATATTCAACCTCGGTGAAAGAATGCATGAAAGTGCCCGCGGGGCCTTTGATTGCGGCTTTCCCCTTGAGCTTCTCTTGTGACGATGGGCGAGGGATGGAGTGTGATTCGCGTTTATGTAAATCATCATCAGGTTCATCGAACAGTGACTTTTGAGGCTGATATTCTGCCTCCGAATATATATCGACGTTTTCCTCATCTTTGAGGCCTGAGGGCGCCGACAGGTGGTCTCCAGCGTCGTCACTGCTCGAGCTTCCCGAATCTTCTTCAGATGTTTCGCCCATCATCTCCCCATTTTGACGCATGTTGGCAATGTAATCGGCGAGTATGGCATCCTCTTCGGAGTCTTGTCCCCATTTCTGTCGTCCCCGTGACTTATTTGACTTCTTCTTGGGCCAAAAAAGGCCATCAGAATCTTCCTCATCTTCATCTCGCACCCCCTCTTTGCTTGCTTCGTTGTCCTGGGTACGAGGCTCTCTCGGTTCATTGGATAGCTCTCTTTCAACCGCTCGGATTTCAGTCTGTATGGACGTGAGTGTAATCTCCTGAGCATGAGTTGCCTTGAGATTGTGGGATGCTTCAGGACTATGCGCTGCCTCAGGATTATACGCTGCCTCAGGAATATGCGTTGTTTCAGGGGTCTGCGTTGCTTCAGGGGTCTGCGTTGTTTCGGGGGTCTCTGTTTCCTCAGGAGTCTGCGTCTCTTGGGGAATTTGTATTTCTTCGGGGACTCGCGTTGCCTCAGGAGTTTGAAGACCCTCAGGAGCCGTTTGAGCTATCTCAGGCGCTTGGGGTTTCCGCTTCATGTGATTTCGGCCCTTAAAAACGATTACTTCTTCGCTAGAGCTGACATCATCTGGTTGCGGTGGTTCTTCATTTGCGGCCGCAGGCGTTTCGGTAGACTTTTTCGAATCTTCCGTTTCCTCTGATTCGACTTGCGGCGAGGTCAACGGATCGTGAGAGCCAGAGCTAACGAATGCCACAGGCTTCTTTCGAAGTTGTGTGTTTTGGCTCCAGAATGAAGTATCATGGCTTGATGTCTGTCGAGCTTCATCGAGCAGGGTAAAGATTACTGGAAGAGGCTCTAGTTAATTGTGTGCCCAGCTGATACGGGCTTGGTTCTTCGCGAGGACATACCGTTGGATGGCGTGGAATGTCTGCTACCAGACGACTGCTGCCAACCATTTCGTTGCTTCTGCAAGGCACGCTTGCGTGGCTTCATCTTGGAACTGATGGAAATCAGTCAGCGCCAACAGTCTGCATGGTATGCTGTGGGTGGGATGGCATCTACCCCGGCCAGTAGACTAAGATGCTAAACGAGTGACACGCTCAAAGAGAAATATTCGTAGAGACGCTTGGGATGTACTCCGTACAGGTATTAGTGCTATTGGCAAGTCAGCGTTTGGCATTGGGTGCGATGATGCGTCTCCATTTAAAAACAACAGCCTAGACACTTCAAGTTACTTGCCTGATCTCAGCTGCCTTTCAATCGGTACTGGCCAAGCTGTTGGTACTCAAATGAGGACGGAGGATAGAAGGAAACAGAAGAATTTGTTTTTTTTCTTATCGTATAAACAGGCACGTCTGCCGACTCATACAGGTATGGTTGCAGCTTTGTCTTTATCGTTTACAGCAAAACCACAGTGCCGATCCTGGGTTGCTTCACTCTTGCTCTTTGTACTCCGTATCCCCTTCATTTGTAGACTGTGCCTAGCGGAAAAACCAAACAACGAAGCACTACACGCAGCCCTAGTCTACATTTAGACTAGCTCGCAAGAGTAATGAAATGCACTATTTCGGCATGCCGCTTCAACTGTCTGGTCTTGGTGGGCAGGGACAATATAGAGCATCAGCAAGATCTCGAATTGGCCAGCCCAACGACCTCACCAGCTGCTCCCTGCTGTTGAACCGGCCAGAATGATGCTCACCCTGCTCTCTCGGAGAGCTCTCCGCTGCTCCATCTCCGCCGGCGCCAGCGGCAAGCGATCCCTATCAGATGTTGCCATCACACGAACTGGCAAAACTATTCTACGATCAGAGGGTGGCCGGTAAGCGATGCCCGCAGCTGATACATTGAGAGAATCCAATTAACATTATTCTTTTTAGATCTTCCCTGGGAGGTGCGAACACACAACTGCCCACTCGAAGCTCGACAGCTAACCGACATAGGCCATACCGCGACGGTATTCGGCGCAACGGGTCAACTGGGTCGATACATTGTGAACCGCCTTGGTATGTTTCCCGCAGATTCAGGTGTTGGAGTGCGTACAGCCGACCTAATCCCTTTCTTCAGCCCGCCAAGGATGTACCGTTGTCGTCCCCTTCCGCGAAGAAATGACAAAGCGACACTTGAAGCTCACTGGTGATCTCGGCCGCGTTATTTTTGTTGTATGACTGCCCCCCCCGATACACCCGACGACTTGTTTCTGATCTGGATGTAGGAGCACGATCTTCGCAATACCGCTTCTATTGAAGCAAGTGTTAGGCACTCGGACGTTGTTTACAACCTGATTGGACGAGATTATCCTACAAAGTACGGGCGACAGACCAACAATCCCTATCATGAAGAATCCTACTAAACTTTGATAGGAACTTCACTCTGGAGGACGTGCATGTGGAGGGAACCGAGCGTATCGCCGAAGCTGTTGCAAAGTACGACGTTGACCGATATATTCATGTGTCGTCACACAATGCCGACGTCAACTCACCATCCGAGTTCTTTGCGACCAAGGTATGCTTAGAGCTGGAATTCGCAGGAAAAGTACCGGGTCATGCTAAAATACCCTGCTATAGGGACGAGGTGAACTTGTTGCCAGAAGCATCTTCCCCGAGACAACAATTGTGCGACCAGCACCCGTTTTTGGCTTCGAAGATAACCTCCTGCTGAAGCTTGCTTCGGTGCTGAACCTGTTTACGGCCAATAACATGCAGGAGAAGTTCTGGCCAGTCCACGTAAGTCGTTGAGAAAGATACCATTAAAAATGGCTATTTCGTAACCTTACTGACATATTCGCAGTCTATCGACGTGGGCGCTGCCCTGGAGAAGATGCTGTACGACGACTCCACCGCTGGCAAGACATTTGAGCTCTATGGACCTAAGCAATACAGCTTGGCGGAGATTGCAGCCTTGGTAGACAAGGAAATCTTCAAGAAGAGGCGACACATTAATGTGCCCAAGGCAATTCTGAAACCAGTAGCGAAAGTTCTCAACGACGCCTTGTGGTGGCATACCATCTCCGCGGACGAGGTTGAGCGGGAGTTCATTGATCAGGTTATTGACCCTGAAGCCAGCACATTCAGCGATCTTGGTATCGAGCCCGGCGACATTGCCAACTTTACATACCACTACTTGGTAAGTGATGCTAAATGATATATGGCAAGCGACTGGGTATCTAACTTCCGGTGCAGCAAGGATTCCGAAGCTCCAACTACTACGATCTCCCCCCGGCCACAGAGAAGGAGAAGAGGGAAGACAAGAAGTACATCCACGTCCTGGATGAGCTATAAATATTTTGCGAGGCATATATGTATATGTATTTACAAGGGAGAGAGAATATATAATACTAGAGCCTAGAGCCTAGAAGAAAAAAAAAGATTGTTCTAGATGTGCTTATTTTTTTTTTTTTTTTTTTGGATTTTTACACTTGATTTCTATTTCACACTAGCAATTACCACTTACCAAGCTGAAAGTACGGTACAGGAAGCATTGCTTTGGTATTACTTAGCCTAGAATCCCCAGGTAACCACTTGAGGCTGACTTAAGGTCTAAAATATGCTAATTCTCTCCGGTACTTACTGCCTGGGTGTTTATCGGCGATCTGCCATGTACCTAGCAGGCATTAGCGGTTTAGACTGCAGAATACGACTCTCTAATGTTATTTGCTCCGCATTGCGCTGGATCTCGGGATAAATGAGCCTCCCGCAGTCCTTCTCACAAGTCCGCACAACTGCGAGCAAATCACCGATTCGCACATGAGGCCTCCCGCAAGGCAGTGCTTGGAAGTGACATCTGGCGCATCGCGGCTTTTCGCACTAGCATCGCAGAAGGGCACGAAATTCTCCACGCCGCGCCTATCGATTGCAGCCTCGTCTGGAAGTTCAATTGACTCTCGCGCGTTTACATCGCGGGCACGTGAGATCAAGCAGGCCGTCTCAAGCACTTACACTTGCGATCACCCGGCTCAAAGAACAGCCTCACGAGACCCTCATAGCGCCGTCCCTTCACCTTTGCGCAGAACGAGCCGGACGAGCGATAGCGTCGACCTTCGTAGTGGCTTTACATATACTACCGGTGTCGTAGTTCTTCTGGCTGTTGTCGCCATCTCTTGCGCTGCGACAATAGATTTGCGCGAACATCCTGCGATTGCGACTACGGCAACTACCACCGATTTAAAAGATACTCTGGCCATCGCCTCGCTTTCTGACAGCATGTCAACCCAAATCGCACCGGGGCACGTGGGCAACCTCACCCCAGAGCAGGAAGAGAAGCTGCGCCAGCTGTGGCAAGCTTTGTTCCAGATCTGCGGCGTTGCTGCTGAAGAGACTGGCTCTGCCGGCGCTGATGCGACATCCCGTGGAAAGCCGGAAGCAGCGGAAGCAGACGGGAAGAGGAAGCGCTTCGGCGTCTTTAAGAGAAAGGCTGACAAGCCTTCGGCGAGCGAGGCTGACGACGACAAGTATGGCCAAAACAAGCACTTCCAAGAGGTGCTTGCGAGCCACAGTCCTGAAATCATTCGCGAGACGTACTGGGCCATGGTAAAGCATGACCACCCCGACGCCCTCGCTTTGCGGTTCCTTCGAGCCCGCAAGTGGGATGTGGAGAAGGCTCTGGTTATGCTGGTGTCTACTATGAGCTGGAGGCATACTGAGATGAAAGTGGACGAGGATATCATGAAGAATGGAGAAGAGGGAGCTCTTTTGGATGCGCAGAATGGCAAGGGCGACGCTAAGAAGGTTGGTGAAGACTTTTTGGCGCAGCTCCGAATGGGTAAGAGTTTCTTGCACGGAGTGGACAAGCAGGGCCGGCCAATTTGTGTTGTCCGAGTGCGCCTTCACCACCAGGGAGAGCATTGCGAAGAGAGTCTGGAGCGATGCACCGTCTTCCTGATTGAGACTGCGAGAATGGTGTTGAGACCTCCTGTGGACACAGCTGTAAGCCATTCTATTCTATGGACTGACGGGCAGGATGTACTTTGGAGAAAATTTACTAACGGTACTGGGTAGACTGTCGTGTTTGATATGACAGGGTTTTCCATGGCGAACATGGATTACACCCCTGTCAAGTTTATGATCAAGTGCTTTGAAGCCAACTACCCTGAATCCCTTGGAGCTGTCCTCGTCCACAACGCACCTTGGATATTTCAAGGTATGAAGATGAACTGCTCTTGAAGGATAGAAAAGAAACTGACTTGTGGCGTAGGAATTTGGAAGATCATTCGCGGCTGGTTAGATCCCGTTGTGGCAGCCAAAGTCCACTTCACAAATAACAAGAAAGACTTGCAAGAGTTCATCGAGCCTGCACATGTCCTCAAAGAGCTTGGAGGCGACGAAGACTGGGAGTACAAATATGTAGAGCCCGTCGCGGGCGAAAATGATGCGATGAAGGATACCGAGACCAGGGGACAACTCATTGGAGTCAGAGAAAAGCTGATGAAGGATTACGAAGAAGTGACTATGCAGTGGATAGACAAGGGCGACAGCAAAGAAATCGCCGACAAGAGGGGCCAGCTGGCGACGCAGCTCAGGGAAAACTACTGGCAGCTGGACCCGTACGTGCGCGCGCGATCCCTCTACGATAGACAGGGGATATTGCAAGGTGCTGCTGTGGCGAGATGGTACGATCCCCCGGCCTCTGATGGGAAAGGCAATCTAGAAACATCAGCCGACGATGTAGACTAAAGAGACAGCTACGGATGCCAAGATGAATAAATGTTTGGATAGACTGGGGCACTGTATACGGTATCTATGGAGGATAGACATATTGCACAATGCTTTCACTTCCCATGTCTCTTGGGCAAACCATAGCATCATATTCCCACTGGCCTAGACCCAAGCCGATGTGCAGGTTAGACCAGTGCTACCGTGTAGCCAAAATTTACATCCTGGACTTGATCTCCTCGGAAAGTGCTTTGAGCTTTTCCATATCGCCAGAGGTCGTAGGCCAGCTGATGCCAAGGCCCTCTGTCTCATTTGGCTTCGGGATCTAGTGAAGAGTTAGTATGGGGGACTAGGATGCTTTGCTGCGGCCAGCGTAGACCATCATACCATGTGAAAGTGAACCTGTTTCAATCAAAGTTAGCTTTGCCTTCACCCAAGAATCTCAAAGTGGTAGTAATGCTTACATGATGCACCTGCTGGTGAGCGATGGTTCCGTTATTCTGAAGAATGTTGTAATCGGTTGCTCCAGAAGCTACCGCTAGCTTCTTGAGAGTAGGCTGTTGGATGGGCATATCTGGTAAGTAGGGATAAATCAAACCAAAGAACAGAACAGCACGGGTGTGTTACCAGAATCTCAGAGAGCTGATCATCGGGGATATCAGCGAGCTTTGCGCCATGGAACTTGGGGATGACAAGCTGGATGAAAGTCGTAATGTTAGAAATTTACAGTGATTGTTCCAGCCAGGCAAGAAGAGAATTTACAGCGTGGCCCTTGCTGAGGGGCCCGACATCGAGAAAAGCCAACGTCTTCTCGCTTTCAAACAGCTTGAAAGACGGAATCTCCCCTGGTAGAACACGCAGTCAGTATACCGCAAGAAGCTGTAAGAGAGGGGTAGCTTTTCTAAGTGGCTGCATGGTTTGGTAAACGCCTTCCCCGGAACGAACCTTTGATAATACGGCAGAAAATACACGATGCCATTTTCACTGTGATGGGTTGGCGATTGAAATGAGAAATGCAGGCTATGAATTGGGGGCTGCAAGAGTAAAGGTCTTGGTTGAAGGGATCAGAATCGCGGCAGCCGGTATAAGAAGTATTAGTGACATTTTGCAGGAGGGGCTCTGTATGCGCCTTATTACATCACGCCTCGCCAAGTACTCAGTAGCTGAATACTACCAGGGATAGCAATATAAGATCTCGCTGCCTATTTGATAAAAGTAGAAATAATTCATTGGTTTTCGAGTGAAGAAAACGGAGCTCTTAATTTCTTCAGAAAATTCTAGATTACAGTCCTGTACTCCCTGATTTGAGTATATATATATATTCTTGATCCCTTTTCTTGCTAATTGACATATCACATTCACACCCTTCCTCAAGCTTGAACCTTTATTTTATTGGGAAATTTTGATTATATTTTGCTATGTACTGGAGGTCTGTGTTTGGCGCAAGCTGAGGCCTTAATGATGGTCTGCTCGATGAGGAGGGGCTGTCAAAACGATTAGCAGGCGTTACAGGTGTTACAGGCGTAGCAGTCGTAGAAGGGCGTTGACTCACGGTCTAGAATCGGACAAGGAAGGTTTCGTTCGAATTTGGATCCTGATCAGTTAGCTTCTGCCGCCCAATGCGGATTGTACGTGCAGTCTCACCTCCCGGGGCTGTTGGCGGAATATACGGGTCTGGGTGCTTCCAGCTCTCTAGTAACTTTTCTGTCTCTGCCAGTAACGCCTATGGCACAATTAATGCCGGTTGTCGATCGAGATGGAGGGGAGAATGTACTGACCCTCTGTTGGCGAGGGTCTGAGACCTGCCTGTTGGCCTCAAATAGAGATCGAATATAGAGCGCTTGGCCTCGCCATAGATGGCGATGGACAGCCCAGTCCAACGCAAGCTTCAACGAGCGACGGTACAGCGACCTAGAAGCGGGTGACTAGTGATTAGAATCGAATTCGCAAACGGTCGTGAGTCTGATTGGTGTAGATACTAACAGAGCAGCTTGTCGCGTCGTCATGTTGGGTGATTGTCGCCTTGAAAAGACCTTGGGTGCGATTGATAGTAGATCTCCAATTGGTTAACTACCGGTCCGGATGTGGTATTTTCTGCCTTACGCTACGCCAACTTTCTAAGGCATCAAGGGGGACTGCACTTGGCTATGTATTTTTTTTTTGTTATTAAAAAAGCAAGCAAAATAACGTTTATATAAATATAGATATTTTGATTCCAAATCTAAACCATCTAATAATTTGATTTTAAATATTTCTCATTAGTATAAATATACTGAAATTATTATAATAAAATTTCATTTCTTGGTAGGGCGAATTCATACTGCCTTCGCTGGCCCGAGCTAGCGCAACGAGGCTTACCTGATCTCTGCCTACTAATTTACTGGGTCGCTTTCTGGGCGCAATTGTGCCAACTCTGTACCGTCTTCCAAGTGCCGGATGCTGGAGACGAATCGACCGGCGCACGAGCAGCGATGCCGAGTATTCAAGGCTTCAGCACCCAGAGGGCAAGATCATACCTCTTTCGCTTGCCTTTATTTACCCGTGCTATCCTCCTTAGCATAGCATGTTTCTGGCTGGCTACCCTGCCCGGTCTCTGGGATGTCCGGGTCTGGGGCTCTCTGATCCCGGACAAGATCTCTTTTGCGTCAGGTAACCAATGTGCCCCGAGCAGATGACGAGTTGGCTTGCGGATGATCTAATGATGTTTTAGGATATCGGCTGAACACCTTTCCTCTCATTCACCTGAACTTCATCCATGCCCTCCTTAACGCTATTGCATTGACGCCGTTGATGGAACGATTCGAAAGCGAATATGGAACCCTGACGACACTGGCACTCTTTTTTGGACGTATGGATAACAATATGCATTCTGCTTGTGTGCCATTGATCTAACGGAAGCAGCTCTAACCACGATTCCTGCGGTTTTGTATCTCCTGATTGAGATTCTCGTCCTTAGAGCTAATAATGCTGTTATGGGCGCTAGGTAAGAAATACCCAGCCATTCGGATATTCCTAGTCTTGGGGACTGGCTGCTAATATCAGAATTCGTTGGGTAGCATGTGGGTGTTTTTGCTTTTGGGCATGGAGGCAATCCGAACATACAAGACGAACCCGTATCTGGTCATTGGAACATACCAGCTCCCTACCTGGACTACACCATTGCTTATGATAGTGGTTGTGGCTGCATTGATGCCAAGCACTAGTTTACTGGGCCATCTCTGCGGCGTTGGAGTTGGCTATATTGGTACAGTGAAACCACCCATGTGCTATCGATTTGACTGCTAACACATGCTCTCTCCTTCGTAGCTGGCCTTGGCTATGTAAAGCTGCTTGCCCCTCCGGAATGGGCGCTTCGATGGGTCGAGTCTCGCTTGAACCTCCTTGCGATATTACCGCACTATGTCAGCGTTGATCAGAAGACGTACGGAAGATTTGGCGTTTTGCCTACAAGCAACCGCGGAGCAGGGTCCGCACCGATAGAGCTGGTAGGGGGAGTTGGAAGCAGCTCTTGATATAGAGATGTTTTCATCAAACAGAACTTTATTTGGATGTATATTAAGCGTTGTTTGGGTTGAGCATGTAAATGCTACGCTCACCTGATGGTTGGTTAACACATTCATAAAAAACGATATAATAGCGGGATATTTGAAATTCTATATAGTACTACTGGGTTTATATAGGTAGCTTATGCCGCTCACGATTGATTCCACTGCTATTATTACACCAAGCTAAAACGATTGGAATATCCTAGAGCCTGGCGTGATTCAATTATAATAGACAGTATTTTATAAATATGTAGTACATATATGCTTTGAATTGATGGATGTTTAGATAGGTAGGTAGGTAGGTGATACCATGGACATCAGATGGGTACTATTAGCAGCGAGTTAGCCGCGCTGCGGCAGGTCTGCGCTAAGGCTGGCAGTGCCTTTCGCGGAGTTTTACACAGCCTATTGCATCAAAGCACTAAGATATGGAAAGCAGGGCGCCTGGATAAGACCCATCAATTACGCCTTCCGGGAAGCGCCCGCTGCGTCGGTGCTGCGTAAGGCCTGTCGCATGTCACTCAAATTCTCCCCAGCACCTATTTCGGCGTAACTAGTTGGACCGCCCGTATTTCTGCGACGTCGTTTGTTACAACGCAAGCACGACAATCACATTTAGCCGGTTCACCACGCACGCACCTGGGATTTCGACGCTCCACTCATGCAATGCTCAGCAATAAAGATATTACTGCCCTTCAGAAGACCTACGATAACAGCTACCTCAGTTGCTCAACAGCGGTTTACTATGAGGGCCAGGTAAGATGATGCATCGTCGCCAGCTTCACATACTGATGGCTTTATTTTCCCGACTCGTGCTCATTCGTTTGAACTAGGGCGATGAAGGCGAAGCCACTCGATATTGGAAAGCCGCTCTTCGACGCATAAACGAATACTACGCGTCGTCCAGCGCACCGAGAGTCTCTGAATCATATACCAGCTCCGACACTGTCTTGATCGATGCGCTGAAAGAGCTAGAGCTGCAATGCAAAGAACGAATTGATCTCTTGGAAGCCCTGAAACTGTCTCGGGAGGACAGTCTCGTCTCGACCGACTATAACGACTCCATTTCCCCCGGAGAAGCCAGCGGCAGCACCAGCCAGGCCACAGGGACCATTGGAGACGGCACCATTCCAGCTGTAACATATTCCGAGCTTTCACGTCCCGTCTTCCCTTCAAGAGCATCTCTGGATGCAATGACGTCATCTGAAGAAGTGATTCGGAGGATTCGCAGTACCCCTACCGAATCTACACGTCCGCGTCTTGATGGGAGATCCCTAGATTCACCAGACGCGAGAGGTGACAGGTCAAGCCGCGGCACAAGTCCCGAAAAGCGCACTTTGAGGACTACACTTCGATCAAAGAAACAGAATGATCAATCACCTACTGCTCGCCGGTCGAGCAAGCCTGTGGTAGATGGATCAAGCTTGGCTGCAACTATAGCCTGGGGATCCTCAGGATCTCTAGGAGCCCGAGACAACCTCCTACGGCCTTATCCCATTGAAGGGCGCTCAAAATCAAGTCCCTCCCCACGCCCTTCTCCGCGCCCTTCTCCGCGCCCATCACTCGAACGAAATTCACCTAGTTCGCAAAAATCAGTACTATCATATGACGTGAAAACTCCGCGTACATCGCCTAAGAAATGGAGCGTGGTTCCTCCGTATGATGAATCCCGTCTCCCACAGCCTTCGGGTTTGTCTATTAGCGCAGCATCAAGCGCTCTGACCTCTACATCAACCCATCAAGAACCCTCCATATTGTACCAAACACCGAGTAAATCAGAACAACATACGATGCCTCGGAAGCCCCCAGTTTCTGAAGAAATGTCGATTCAGAGTAAAAGAGGCAGCGTGAAAGCTTCCACTAGTAACAATGCTGGGACCCCTGGAGGACAACGAAATTCCAGCATAACGAGAGAACGCCCAAGCGATAAGACATTTGGTGCAAGGACCAAGGCAGAAATCCTGAAGAACCTGCCACCCGGTATAGATGAGGGTGCGGCCAAGCAAATCCTCAATGACATTGTTGTCCAAGGAGACGAAGTCCACTGGGACGATATTGCGGGCTTGGAAGTGGCCAAGAATTCTCTGCGGGAGACAGTAGTCTATCCATTTCTACGACCTGACTTGTTCATGGGCCTACGTGAGCCAGCTCGTGGAATGCTCCTGTTCGGACCGCCAGGTACTGGAAAAACAATGCTGGCACGCGCAGTAGCCACCGAATCTAAATCTACTTTCTTCTCCATCTCTGCCAGTAGCTTAACGAGCAAATATCTAGGAGAGTCGGAGAAACTAGTCAGGGCCCTTTTTGGTCTTGCCAAAGTTCTCGCCCCTAGTATCATATTTGTTGACGAAATCGATTCGCTATTGTCGCAACGATCTGGGTCAGGCGAACACGAATCTACAAGAAGAATCAAGACGGAGTTCCTTATCCAGTGGAGTGAGCTCCAACAAGCTGCGGCTGGTCGAGAGACGACTGGTAAAGGGAACAAGCGTAGCGATGCCCAACGGGTCTTGGTGCTGGCTGCTACGAATTTACCATGGGCCATAGACGAGGCTGCGCGGCGACGATTCGTGCGCCGACAATACATTCCACTACCAGAGCCACAGACACGAGAGACACAATTGAGAACACTGCTACGGCAACAAAATCACAGCTTGTCGGATATGGAAATAGAAAACCTCGTACAGCAAACAGATGGTAAGTCCTGTCTCTGTCGCCTTTCTGGATCGGTCAGCTAATAGCTGCTCAATAGGATTTTCGGGATCTGATATTACGTCTCTTGCTAAAGATGCGGCCATGGGACCATTGAGATCTCTAGGGGAAGCCCTCTTATACATGGCAAAGGAGGAAATACGGCCCATTGATATTTCAGATTTTGAGCTAAGCTTAAAGTCCATTCGACCAAGTGTGGACAAGAAAGGCATACGGGAATATGAAGAATGGGCCGAAAAATTCGGAGAGCGCGGTGGTTGATCTGAGCTGATCTGAGCTGAGCTGCACATGCGCACCCAGATACAGCATACAAACAGCCCTTTTCTGCTTTGAGCGATACATGCAAAATTACAGCGATACAGGATCAAGACGTTATTAAGTAGCGGCTGCAGCGTGCGAGCTTCGTCAAATCCAGTCGACGATCGAAGCGCGGGAGTTGTTCATGAGCTCTATATTGCTAGACTCTGACTCATTTGGTGGGAGCAGCTTTTGAGTGTCCCTTTGCTATTAAACAATGTAAGGGCGCCTCTTGGGAAAGAAGCTGCCCGATCTATTCATACAGCCTTGTTGCATTTTGCCAATTCGGATTCGTGGTTTATTTCATCTTGTGTGGTGTCTTTATCGTGTCGTGTTCCCCGTCATGTTACTCTTTCTGTTCCCCCTCGGTGCGTGCCCTGCGTTCTCTTTTGGCAGCTTGCTGGGCCTCCCGCTCAGCAATCCGCTCTTCTAATGTGGGAATCGGTGGTCTCTCCTCGGTTGGAGTTCCGTACGGCGCAATGATGTTCTTGACGACGTGACGCTTATGTTTTGATGTCGGCCAGCCGGGAACAATGGAAACGACATCGCCAGTACGCAAGGAGGAGTTGGGGTCGTGCACGAGATAGTGCTTGGGGTCTGCAAACCACTTTTGGCCGGGTTAGTTGAGGAAAATGAAGTGTAGTAGATTCGCACATATATATACACACCTTGTTGATGATTTTGTTCCATCGTTGACCACCGACTCGGACCTTTACCGTTTTTTGCATCAGACCAGCAGATACAACTATGCCATGGAGCTCGTGGGTCACCCGACGGGCGGCCTTTGCAACCTGTGAGGACATTTTGATATTGCGAAGGCGATGTGAACAATTGGCAGGCAATGCTAGCCATCCATCATGGTCTCGAAAATCATTCCTGGGTGGGTCTCGGCTTTGCGATTGGCGCTGGATAAAGTGTCAAACAGCAAAGAATGAGATGCCGAGGTTGATCCGACCATTGTGTCCAATCAGGAAAAAGAACACCTCGAGGACGCTATAGCGGGCTAAAGTGGGTGCAGCATGATACTAAGCTCGCGCGCATTTCGATACAGCAGTAATGCGATCATAGCGGCAGCGGTATTATTGGTATAGGAAAATTGCTTCTGCTGATGATTGTATATTCCTATGAACGCTCCGCGTATATAAATTTGCAAACGTTGATAGATAGGTCTAAAACTATAATGACAGCGCTTACTTATTTTTCAAGAAAAAACAAGCATATAAGTAGATAGATGCACATGGCGGCCTTGTCTGTCAAGCCTATGCATATCTTTGGTATACTATTCATTTACATTTTCATTAAACGCTTCAAGCTCCGTGGAAGAGATCCCAGTCCTTAATCACAAAGGTTTCCCAAATGCGTGCTGCAATCTCCACTGCGTCGCCGATGAGCTTGCCCTGCTTGCCCAGCTCCAGGTCGACCTCTTCGGCATCGTACTCGCCTTTAATGTGGGGGACGTTGATGGTGATGAGTATGTCAGTCTTTTGCTCTTCAAGACGGAGGAGCGTCATGGTGATGGCTGTGAAGTCGGGTGCCGAGTTTAAGCCGTTGGAGGGGAGTTTGGGTGTCTGTGTCGCGATGAGGGTATATGAGGGGTGTTTCAGGCTACATCAGGTTGTATATTTCGTTAGCGGGCAGCTATTTCGCAGTGAATGGAGAGAAATGGAGCGCATCGGGAAGGGTTTGATTTGTCATACTCGCTCATTTTTGTGAATTCAGTCTCGGCGGTGTTCCAGATCTTCACTGTATCGATTTCCGATCCGACCATGTCTTCCAGATGTGTGGTCATGGCACGGCCGTCGATCTCGGGGCTCGAACCAGGACCGCCAACGCGCTCTGAGATATCAAAGATGATGCTTGTGAATCCATCTTTATCGATCCATACCTCCTGGTTGTCGGGAACCTGTCTCAGCTTGCTGCAAAAATGGATGTTCGATTAGTACAGGTACAGGGCCATGAATGCGATTGCGCCGCGGGGTTGAGTCGCAAGTTTTGCGCACCTTACGTCTGCGAAGTGCTTTGGCAGGTCGCAGGTGATCGCTCCGCCGTACAGGGGGGTGTTTCTGTAGCTGGCCATGGCTATATCGATATGATTGTTGCTATTTCTGGGTTGTAACTGGGACAAAAAGGCTGCACGGCGCTTGGCTGGCTCGAAATCATCCACGAGGCTGTCGCGCAGCTGGCGATGGGTAGCTTAAATACCACAGTGGGGTTGCGAAATGACATCACAAGGAGCTGCTCCGCCCCTCCATGCGCGACAGGGCGGTTCAGCCTGGCAAGGAGCCTTGGATCTTGCGCCGGAAGGAATAGCAATAGCATGCTATATCTTCTACTGCTACTAGTAGGTCTCGATCACGGCCTATAGGATGCTGCATGCTTTGATTAGGTACGCGTATTTATTTTGCACGCTTATAGAACAAATAGAGGTAAACTTTAATGTCCCTCTACAGCATCCCAAGTACAGTGTGCTAGTACAGTAAGTGACGTGCATAAAACTTTGACTTGGCGCACACCGTAGAGAGAGCAGCGAGATTGACAAAATGATGCATACGTTGCATTTATTGATTTAAAAAGTGTTGGTTATCGTAATCGAAATCGAATTATTCGAACTACTGTAGTTATACCGTTGCAAGTGGGCAGCAGGTTTTCATATAAATCTAATGACTCATTTCATAGGGTCATATCTAATTTGTTCCGATCTTTAGGCCGAGTGAGTTATATAGAAGACCTCGTCTCAAGCAAATTCGGAAATCTCTACTTATAGCTGTAAAGACAGGCAGCACCCAAAACTGCCCTCTTCAACGCCTGAAATTGGCCAAAACTCGGAGGCGCCTGTTTCTTCCACAATGCCTGTCATTCCGCTGGGCGAATCTATCCCCCAGGACACTGCTCATGTGCGTTGCTTTTGGACTCTTGTATTGCTGCAATGATGAGACGAGCTACTGACACTGCAGCCATCATTATAGGCAGTCAGCGTCTCGCTACCCACGTGGCAAGCCAACATCGGCTATGAAGAAGGCCAAGATTGGGTGACGAGCCGCATGGTCACGGGATACCCTCGGTGAGTGACGTTGATCAAGGTCAAGCTTGTTCTCAGTCTCTGACCTTTTCTAGATTCTTCGTCCACAAGAGCATTGATGCATTTGCTCGAGACGTTGCAGCGGCTTTTGGTCGCCCTGGCCAGCGGGCCATGCTTTTTGCCACGGCCAGCGCTGCCCGAAGATGTCTCGATTTCATGCGCCAACGGCTGTCTGGGCAAAGCTCTGGGCAACTCTCTGGGCAACTCTCTGTAGTTGACCTTGCTTTGGATACGTCCAAGGATATTTCTCCGCTGCTGAAGCAGCTGTCGCCCACCATCTCTGGTGTCATCTTCCCGCAAGAGTCTTTCCCGGTAGCAAAGCAGTATTGGCAGCACACTGGCGATGGCGTTTCAAGTCGACGGGCTGAGTTTTCTCATGAACTTTTCAAGCACGGGCAGCTTGTTGCAGTCAAAGAGCAGCAGTCACATACACCCCCGGAGAAATTGATCCGAGGCCCAAAGCGATATTCGCGTACGGCCGCTGCCGGTGGTACTCACACAAACAGCTCAGAAGCCAAGGCTGTTGCACCATCTTCTGAGATTCCCGAGGAAGCAAATGAGAGCTTTCGCTTCCTTGAGGAGCGCTTCGGCAGAAACCTGGACCTCACTCAAGTGGCCAAGGCAAAATCAGCCATCCGCAGAAGAATTGCAGGCTCTCTCTCTGGCGAGGCCGATATGAATGATGAAGCAAAGCTGGATGCCAAATCAAACAGTCGTGGCATGGAGTCTCTCGACGAGACGGATGTGCTGCTATACCCTTGCGGCATGAATGCCATTTTCAACGCTCACCGTGCCCTCTTAGCCACCCTGGGCGCATACAAGAGTATAAGTTTTGGATTTCCTTACGTCGACACACTCAAAATTATACAAAAGTTTGGGCCTGGCTGCGTCTTTTATGGCCATGCATCGTCAGAGGAACTCGACGACCTAGAGCGCCTCCTAAAGGATGGACAGCGCTTCCTGGCACTCTTTGTTGAGTTCCCAGGAAACCCGCTGCTTACTTGCCCAGACCTCAAACGCATTCGCAAGCTAGCCGATGAATTCAACTTTGCCGTCGTCGTCGATGAGACAATAGGCACATTTGCAAACGTCAATGTTCTTCAGTATGCCGACATTGTCGTCAGTAGCCTTACAAAGATCTTTTCGGGCGGCTCAAACGTTATGGGTGGGTGTACCGTCCTGAACCCAGAAGGCAGACACTACCATCCGCTCAAGAAAGCCTTTGAGGAACAGATTTACGAAAACACGTACTGGCCCGAGGACATCCTTTTTATGGAGAGGAACAGCCGCGATTTTGCCAACAGAGTGAAACGCATTAACACCAATGCCGAAGCAATATGCGAAATTTTGAGAGTCAATTCTACTGTCAAGGACGTGTACTACCCAAAGTATAATCCTTCAAAACCCAATTACGAAGCGGTCCGCCTTCCCGATGGTGGCTATGGAGGCTTGCTCTCGATCGTATTCACCCACCCACAGCAGGCTCAAGAATTCTATGATCACATGGACACTGCGAAAGGACCGAGCTTGGGAACCAACTTCACCCTCTGCTCTCCCTATGTCTTATTGGCACACTACCAGGAATTGGATTGGGCTGCTCAGTATGGCGTAGATCCGGATCTTGTTCGCGTCAGCGTGGGATTAGAGGAGACTGAAGAGCTGCAGCAGCTTTTCCAAAAAGCCCTGGCAGCGGCTGAGGCCGTAAGCATTGCTTGAAAACAGTTGGCTTGGGTTTTGCTCGAGATTGGCCATTAATAGTAATGCTGGAAATTTTGGAGCAGCGAACGAAGGCGTCAATACAGATGATAGATAGCGATACAAGACGGCATACAAAATCGAGATGCGCTATGCCCGTTGAGTTCCATGTGAAGCTACACACCAGTCATGCATATTTAGCAGATATCAAATGCCAAGGGGGAAAGAATGACACAGGAAGAATATGAAATTAAAACATTAAAAAACATTAATGCTTTTGTATAGATATATATACACCGCATATAAAGAATATTTGTAGTTGATGCATATTTGCTGGTATCACAGGACCGCAGAGGTCAATATTTCATAAAAAGACTAAAAAATCTCATGTTCATTAGTTCCATCTCTTACATAACGCTGCATTCAGACCGTGTATAGCCTGGTCCAAACTCTTCTATCCCCCGTTCTATTTCATTAGCGCGTTGTTTCTCCTTTACCTCCTTCATAAAATATTTTTTCATGAACTTTTCTAATTCCGCATCAAGGTTGTCTATGCAATGTTAGAAGCGCCATTTCAAAGTCCACGAGGTGATTTCTCTTACCGATGGAAGCGTTCATGACCACGGGAGCTCGGCACAAGGGGCAGCTCTCCTCTTTGCGTCGCTGGATCTTGATAATACAACGAATGCAGAAAACGTGTTGACAGTCCAAGCGAACTGGTTGATATGCCAAGGAATAGCATATCGGGCAAAGATAATCATTAATTTGGGGTATAATGGATACTAGCTCGTCGGAAATCCGAGCGCACACTGCTTTAGAAACATGGTCGGATAATAGCCTTCGGGAGTTGATTGCTGCTGGCAAAGCACGAGAAACGCCCAGCGCTGTCCGCTTATCAAATTCTATGCATAATGTTAGCTAATGATTTTGAGGAGACAAGACTTGGTAGGGGCAAGTATGGTTCATACTCTTCAATATTTTGGAGATTGCTAATACATTTAGTTCTTGGAACTGTAAATGTTTTAAGAGATCCAGATTTAATTCGAGGAATTTCGAGAAGGCAGTTCGACTCTCTGGGAGCTTGAACGAGCTGACAAGCTCTTGTTTGTTGACCTCTCCTTGGAACCACTGCAGCTGCTTGAGAGCTTTCTGGCTGGAACGAGCCCCGTGTTCACGCTCGTGTGTGGCAAAGAAGATCTCTGCATCCAGGTACAGTTCGAATATACGCCTCCAGCGGTCCATATCACTCTTAGAGAAGCGGGTCGGCCGTGATACTTGCGATACTTGCTTCCCCAGCTCCTTAACTTCTTCTTGTAAGTGATTCTGCTCCGTGGTTTGTAAGGCATCCAAGTTGCTGACATCGCTTAGAAGCATGTCAAAGAAGACGCTGTCAAACACAAGAGGCAATTCTATTCTTTCGTAACGTTCCTCATCATGGTGGCTTGCCTCTGTTTGTGGTGCTACGGGCGTCGTCGTGTCCGTTGCGTTGTCCGTTCTTTTATCTGCTGTGTTGTCCGCTGTGCTGTCCGCGGTATTATCCGTCGCCTTGTCCGTCGTCTTGAAGCGTGAAATATTTGCCAACGCAGAATCCTTTTCATCATCAGAATGGCTAACTGCTGCTCCCGAGGAGATTTTTTCAAAAAATTGACGAGTGGTCGGCGTTAAAGAGGCGTCAACAATATTGCCATCGTGCAAATGAATGAATACAGTCAACTTTGGCCGGACGAGCGTAGAGTTTGAAGACGCTAGACAGCGTCAGTAATATTACCCAAAGCCATGCTCTTGAGAGCAAAACAGGTGCTAAATGTCAAAAAGAACAACAGGCATACCGTTAAGACTATAATTCAAAGCAACTGGAGAGTGCGTATCAGAGTCGAGGAGCGCTTTCAACGTCTCAGCATCGAGGCCCAGCTCTTGTAGTTCTCGCTGAACTTTTTTGAGGCATTTCTTTAGCTGGCCATACGGGATCGCTTGAGCGACCCAGTGAGGCGGGAAGCCTACAAGACGATAAGCGACTGTAAGCGGCTCAAGAGGCAGATACAACTGCTCTCGGATTATTGGAGGAAGTGTAGTAAGAAACACATACCTTGACTTGCCAAGGACTGCTTGAAATCATGGCCGAATTTCATGGCATCTGTTAATTATCATGAACATGTCACTGACGACCAAGGGCTGCCACGCCTACCTTTTCAAAGTTAAAAGAAGTCTGGCGCTACCAATAGAATATAACCATCCTGTCGCAAGACTAAAGTGGAGAAAAAAAGCAATAGCGGTAGAAATTTTGCAGGGCCGCAAAGGCACCCTCAGGAACTCGACGTGCACGGGGCCAATCATGTGGGGGCGATATGAGATAGTTCCTGAAGTACTTTGTACTTGCTGTAATGGTACACCGAAGAAGAAAAATGGAATGAACAAAATACCAGTAAGGTCTAGCAAAATGCGGCTTTTTTTCAAGCGTTCTAGAATCACTCTGTGTCCATTCAAGCGCATTTAGGTAAAAATTATCAATTTCTCTCTGTTCAGCGCCTATCTCTGGTGTTGGCGTTGGCACGTGTGGTCTTCAGGCACATGTCACGCTCCACTTTATTTGAACCAGTGGCTAGGACGCCGCTAGCAGCAGTTGCTCGGCATCCGGTTGCCGATTTGGACTGAAGTAAACAAACGCCATCATGTCACTGCAATGAAAGCAGCCCAAAGTTATATTCTCATTGCAATATTTTATTTTGGATATGGCTCTTACGCGAGCTGCTGATTTTTGTTTTAACAGCGACGATGATGAGCTACCGACATTAAACACTCTGCTAACCCGCTCTCCAAATCGCCCGCAGCCCAAATACTCGCACCCAAGATTAACAGCACCCAGCCTTGAGAAGAGCCGTACAACCACCATTAAGTCGAGAGAGCGACGTAAAGATGCAGACATAAAATCGTCCAAAATAGAAGTCATCGACTTGATATCAGACTCAGAAGACACAAGGCCCAAACGTGCCACCCCAACCTTTACTGGAAAGGAGATACGAAAGACATGGGAGCTGTCTCTAGATCACGCCGATGATGGTGTCATTGACGAGGGGACAACGCCTCGGAGCAGAGGCAGCCTTATGAACCCTCAGAAACCTAGAAAGAGTGAACATGGCCTCCAGTCACGTCTTAAGGAAAAGAACAGTGACTGCCCAGCTTCGAGAAAGGAGTCAACAAAACCAGTAAGAGGTTCTCGAGGGTCCTTGGAGCTGTCTGACGAATCCCTATTCACCAACAAAGCTGCATCAAAAACTCCATTCTTGAACTCTCTTGATTCTGCGCTGAGATTATCTCGGTCTCAATCTCGGTCTCTCACAAACGAAGGGTTATCTGACAGTGATGAAGAGCCGTTGACACGACACCCTCGTAATCGGCGTCTGCGCCGTCTTCAGACAGTGGGATTGGACTCTCAGGGGGAACTTTCTGAGAACAAAGATCGTCGAGATATAATCCATCCCTTCTCACACCTTCAGCTGGATCTTGAAGAATCACTAGGAAGAGATAGACTACGAAATCTTCCTGCCGCCTCTCCTAGGACATACAAACAAAAGGACCCGATACTACCTGACGAGTCTCATATCAAGATTCTACGAGAGCTAGACTTCGACATTGCTGAAGATCTGAAGTCTGATGATGATGATGACCTGCATGAGCCGCAAATGCCGCGTAAAGTTACCGATACCCAGTCGAGTGTTTCAAAAACGAGCTCTCCCAAAAAACAGTACAAGAAGTCTTTTGATGCGAAAAAAGACCAGCTCGCGACGGACTTTCTCCAGCAGCTTGACTCCCGAATCACAGATGGCAAGATTGGAGAACTGACCGAATCAACGGGAGGAGTCAAGATTGTGTGGAGCAAGACTCTCAAGACAACAGCCGGTCGGGCAAGCTGGAAGCGAGAGACGGTGAGCTCGAAGCAAATCAAGGACGGCGTCAGCGTGGAGGTGAAACAGTATCGACACCATTCATCGATTGAGCTTGCCGAGAAGGTTATTGACGACGAGCAGCGCTTATTCAATGTCATAGCGCATGAATTTTGCCATTTGGCCAATTTCATGATCAATGGCATCAAAGACAACCCTCATGGGAAAGAGTTCAAGGTCTGGGCCGCAAAGTGCTCCAAGCTGTTTGGCTCACAGGGCATCAAGGTTACCACCAAACATACGTATGAGATCGACTTCAAATACGTATGGACTTGCACGGCATGCGGTTGTGAGTACAAGCGCCACTCCAAGAGCATCGATCTCAAGAGGCATCGATGTGGTAGTTGCAAAGCTGCACTTGAACAGACAAAACCAGCACCGCGGCAAGCCTCGACCGCTGGTAAATTGAGCGACTACCAGCTGTTTGTCAAAGAGCAAATGAAGATTGTTCGAAACGAGAACCCCGACAGCCAGCAAAAGGACGTTATGAAGATGATTGCGGATAAATGGGCCAAGGCTAAAACTAGTACGGATTAACAGCATCGCATACGCTACCATGTGTTCATTTTTGGGATATAGTCACTGCATAAACTGATAGTTGATAATATTGTTGATAGAGTCTCTTTACTGAAATAGTGAATATAATATTAGCCTATGTTTATGGTAATATGTGTGTGCTGTGTGATCTTACACATGCACGGAAGCACCTATGATGTAGTGTAAGCTGCATGTCACTGTCAGTGGGCATTGAGGCTCTCCCTCTGCATCTCTTGTTACAATTGACGCAGTGCTCGGTGGAAAAGGGGAGAAAACAAAGAGAGACACGAAACGTTGAAGGAAAACAGCAAGGCCATGGCACATAGGCTGGCTGACAACTCCGCAGCCATTTTCTCGCCATCCGTTGCCCGCATTGCCGCCTCTACTGCCCGCGACTGGTCATACGTCGATGCCTGGCTTGCGTCCAAGTCGCCGGCCTGGAAAACTTCATTGCCGCCCTTTGAGCGAAACCAGGACACGCTCAAGGCGCTTCTTGCTCTTGTGTCCTTGAACGAGGCGGCCGACGACCAGCGCCGTCTTCTTGCCCGGGTCGATGCGGCAGCTCTGCAGGGCCTGACCGCCGCTCAAAACAAGGCCGAGGCGGCCACTTCTCCCACCGGCAGCGCTCTTACAAAAGGCCATTTGCTCGACGCGATAGAGCACAGCCTGCCTAAAGATGGCGCCAGCGCTCTGGATGCCCTCACCACAGTGGCCTCTGAGGCTGCCACCGCCAGCCCTGATCCCGACCACCTGGGCAGCCTGATGCTTCGCCTCCAGGGCACGATTTACGGAGCCGAGCAGACGGCGGCCCGAGTTGATGCCTTTGAGCGCCACATTCAGCGAGAGGCCGAGGCAACGGAGGAGTTGCTCCATACGTTGCAGGGCGAATGCTATAAGCCGCCGTCGGATTTGGCCAAGCAAAACCTGGATGTGCAGCGAAGGATAAAGACCGTGTCTGCGCAGCTGCCCGATCTCCATGACCGCGTTGCGGCTCTTGGTGCATCCGTCGTGACGCCTTATTTAACCATTGGAGATGTGATTGACTTGGAGCAGCGATACCATGCTCTGGTGTTTCACATGAAGGAGCTTAGTGAGCACATTGCTGCTCTTTCGCAAGAGTAAGTCCAGTAGCCATATCCAATGTCATTGAACTATTCATAAGCTAACGCAGCCACCAGCAATTCATGACATTCTTTACGATATGACGACGTGGTCGTGGAAGCTGGTAGCGTTTCCTACCTATGAACACCTAAAATGTGGACTGGATTCTCATAATTGAATAATGGCTCAAAAGTCATTTGCTTCGCTATCGAAAAAAATCGCTGCCACACCTCCTTTCATTCTCTTTACAAACTATCCTCGTGGTATCTACTGGTTTCGACGGGACTTGCCTGACACGGCGCCCCCTAATCTCCCAAATTGCCTTCCAAGTCCTGATTTTTTGACAGGTGGAGGGGATATTACCGGAGCCTGGTCTTTCGTTGGCACAGGCGGCCCAGAAGGCCCTGCTCGAGTGTTGTCTCTGTTTTTACCCTCCGGTGATGCTTCTCCTATGCGGAATTCGCTGACCCCAACCGAGAACGTGTCTTCAATGTCAACACTATGTCGTTGACTTCTTCTTGCCCTCTCTTGAACGCTGCGAAATTTTTCCAGAAGTTCAACCCATCGTATTGCTCCTTCTTCTCGCCCCTTCAGTCTGTTTGGTCGGTCATAGTTTGACGACGTCGGAGCACCTGCTACACTGTACTCATTATTCTTATTAGTTATGAATGACACTTTTAGAGATTTCCTCGAATATCTAGAATATGTATGCATCAGTCGTACCTTCGTGGGGCAATTTGCAGGTACCCTATTGAGCTGACACTGTTGAGTCGATTTTTCAATGCAGCAAACGCAGATGACTGCGGCAAAAGCATGAGAATCCCATACATGCATTTGTAGAGGAACGGGTATTTCTCAGGCTCTAGTAGTTGCAGACGCAGATCTATTTTTTTCTCTCGTTAGCGGGAAAATTGTTTACTCAACCCTTAATAAACTTGGACTAGGGGAAAGACTTGCATGTGAAGACGGGCGATTCAATGAGCTGAACAAGCTTGTCGACTTGGATCAGCATGTTGACTGTCATGTCTAATTCTCCACTATTCAAGTGTAAGTGCCTAGTCCATAGGGGTTCCGTCAAGAGATCTCACAATATTTGTAACAGATTGTATGCCTGCTCATAAGCCTGGGAAAGGAGGCACAGAGAGAATGTTGCAACTGCGTTGTAGCACCATGACCGGAATAGAGCCACAAATAAAGTCTGACCATCCTGTATATTTGGTCAGTTGGTGCTATTCATTCATATGAAGGCTGTAATACAAAGGAGAGACAAGGAGGAAATTGACGGTCGACAAAGCTTTCATACCTTTGTTTCTAAGTTTCTCAGCCGCTTGCGGACTTCTGCTAATTGAGGTGCAGTGATCAAGTTGTTATTGAGATTCTGCACCATTATGCTAGCAAATTCAACATCTTCTTCCTTTTCGATGCAATCGGCTAGCGTTCGGTATATGCGCTCTGGGCTGAGGCTGATGCAGAGCTGCCGAATGATAAGATTCCCCCGAGTTTCCAATAATTTACGGTCTGTGGAAAATAGCTGCAGTAAGTTAACCATGAAGCTAGCGAAGTAATCGTCTTCACTATTGCGAGAAATTTGAGACAGCAATTGTAAATCTCTAGTGACAACAGCATCTGAAGGGTCTGAGAGGGTCTTCAGAAGTGCTGGGAAGGTGCCGTCGTTGAAGGCCAATACCTTGCGCGGGGCCTTTCTGTGCAGCATGATGAGCCAAGTTAGGGCAGCTACACGTGTAGCTTCGTGGTCGTTCAAGAAAAGCAAGGTAAGCGAATTAACAGCAGCGGTATAGTCGAGGTTGGTTTGGATTTGGTTTGCATCAGACGTGGCGACTGCAGTGGAAGACACCCGGCCACTTCCCGGCGTTGAGCTACGGATTTCAATATCCCTGGAATTCGATAGCGATGTTCGACCGACGCTGCTGCTATCCTGCTTTTCTTGTGACAAAGATAGCCGAACGTTCGAAGCTGCTGCCTGCGTTGCATTGACATCGGATTCATCTGACAAAGATACAACATAGTCCATGAGACAAGTGTTGACTCTAGTCGCCGCAAGGCGAATAGTCTCCTTGGTACTGGCCATTGCTGGGAGCATATGAGCCAAGATCTTGGGTGTGAAAGGCAGCACTTCTTCAGGGCAGATATCGAGAAACTCAACAATCCATCTGAGCGATTCGAGTAGGCAGTCCTCCTCTTGATCATTGTCAGCATATATCACAATATGGGAAGGATAGGGATCAGGAGGGAGGAAACAAACCCAAGGGAGAATCAAGAGTAGCTGTAAGAATATCCAGAATTTCTTTGTAGTTGATTTCCACATCCTGGCCAGGGATCCAGTCCTCTTCCAGGCTGTCCTCATCATCGTCATTTAGAGCATCAGAGTCCAGCTCATCTCCTTCATCCAGTTGAGGGCGACCGCCCGCGCTATCCATAGATTCCTGACGCTTTCTTTTACCGCCTTCTTTGAATCTCTTGTTCTCAACCAGTCCTCTTTTGACTTGGGAGATTCTCTTAATTTCGTTGAGAAACTTGTCAAGGCAAGTTTGTGTAGCCACACGAACATCGACATTTTGATCGCTCAGGAATTTGAGGATCCCGCCAAGAAATTCCGGGAGATAAGTTACCAACTCTAGATCTGGGATTGAGTCTAGAAGTGTAATCCAGCCAACGAGAAACTGTCGAGTGAAAGGGTTGATGACGTGAATTCGTTCTTTGAGTAGTGGGATAAAGCGCTGTAATGAAAAAGCCGTCGGTAAGTTTTGCTGATGCTCATCCGTAGCTGTATTATCTCCGACGCTCGAAGAAGTTTCCAAGACTGAAATGTAGGACGCAGCAGACTCGGATACAATATCCTTTATAAGCCGATCCAGTAACTCGGCTCCGTTTTTGACAGACAATTCTGAATCCGCTCCAAGCTATAAGGTAGCCCATCGGTTAACCAGTCATTCTCAAGCTTCCTTTTGTTTTTGGAAAGGCAGCGAAGAAGCATACTTTACATAGCTGATCGAATATACTGTTAAAATAAGTCAATATCTCGCCCTTAGCTACCTTGGCTATATTGTACATCGCCTCGCATGCATAGTATCGGACTCTCGCATCCTGATCAGTGAAGCAGGCAAGTACAGGAGGAACAATGTTTACAAGATAGTCAGGAAGTGCCTGTAAAGAAGGTCAGCAGCGGCACCACCAAGCATCAAAATCTTGACCAGTGCAAAGCTCAGGTCGAGTAGAGGACGGCACATTTGGCACGCAAAAGAACAGGCAAGACTGAAAATCAAACAGTCAATGTATCCTCGTGCGGCTAGCACAGAACTGGCACAAAAAAGCTGGACATACCGTGCCAAGCGCGATCGCTGCTGCGGCCAGGCCAATCAAGCCTCCGTTTCGAGCATGTGGTTGATGAACCGCATAAGCATATTCATTACACAATTGGTCAAGGATATCTTTAATGCGCTCGAACGATCCGGAAGCAACAAGGTCTCGTATTATCTTCTCAAGTCTAGAGTATGTAACCAGAGTAAGCGACATATATGGGAGCAGTGCATCAACAGTTGGGCAGGACCTGTGCCATACTCGAGTGCCCCAACTTTACGCTTATCATATAGCTTGTCATTCAGCGCCCGCTGAATATTTGTATCCATCTTTCTAGGCGTTTCATGCTTGAATCAGCAGGAGATGGCGAGCGATAATCGGCGCTATGGACGAGGCAGCGGATGGCGGTCGAGAGCTGAATTCAGAGATGCATAGGATCAATCTGGGCCATTGCGTGTATGTGCATGTTGCAGGTAGGTAGCTCGAAGGCGGGAGACCAAAACAAGCTTAGAGGGGTGCTATAGTACAGTGCAGCTAGGTCGAACTCCGCAGATGCATGACGGAATTAGGTAAGGTGAATTTGACGAAATCAAGGTGCACGATACGGATACTGTAATGACACTTCATAAATCATTTAATTACAGCACGGTCCATCTAAATTGCATTTCACGTATTGCTGCACCAGCTACCTCTCCATTAAGACTGCAAAAATATAGATACGGTAGCTGAGAGCATATAGATAATAGGTAGCAGTGCCTTGGATTTAACAATTTTTTTTTGTATTATTCCTTGTTATATATACTAGATGTGGTCACCAAAAGTTACATACACGGTAGACTTAAATGCATACAATGACTCCCAACGCATCGGAGCTCGATCCTCTTTCAACCGCTTCTCTCTCGCTTCTTGGCTTGTCATGAGATCATGGACTTTTGAACACCAGTGCCATGTTCATTATTATGTTGTTCAAAGCTCTTTCGCTTTCTAGTTCTTCTTGGCCATGGTGTTCAGGGCGCTTCCGTTCTTGAACCACTCAATCTGCGCCTCGTTGAAAGTCTGCTGCAGCTTGACTTCGAAAGGCTTGCCGTCCTTGGGGTGAACAGTCATGATGAGAGGCTTTCCAACGGCGAGCTCAGTGCAGGGAATATCAACCTATTTATCTTATTAGTACTCACAGTTTGATTTACAGAAAAACTCGTTATGAAAGAGGGATCGGAAGCTTACCTTGTCCTCAGGCTTGATCTTGTCATAGTCAGCGGGGTCAGCAAAGGTCAGGGGAAGCATGCCCTGCTTCTTCAAGTTGGTCTCGTGGATACGAGCGAAGCTTCGGGTGATAATGGCCAGGCCACCCAGGTGACGAGGCTCCAGAGCGGCATGCTCACGAGAGCTACCCTCGCCGTAGTTCCAGTCACCAACGACAACCCACTTGATACCCTTCTTCTTGTAGTCGCGGGCAACTGCGGGAACAGCATCCCAGTCGCCGGTGGTGAAGTTCTTGATCTTGTTGGCCTCATCGTTGGCCTCGTTAATAGCACCAATCAACATGTTGTTGGAGATGTTATCAAGATGGCCACGGTACTTCAGCCAGGGACCAGCCATGGAGATGTGGTCAGTGGTGGTCTTGCCCTTGGCCTTGATCAGGATAGGCACGTCCTTGGCATCCTTGCCATCCCAGGGCTGGAAGGGCTCCAGGACCTGAAGACGATCAGAAGTGGGGCTGACCTGCACGGTAACGGAAGCACGCTCCTTGGGCGGGGCCTGGTAGGTGTCCCGGCCCGCGTCATAGCCCTTGGCAGGGAGACCGTCGCCAGTGGGGGGCTTGAGCATGAACTCCTTGCCATCCTTGCCGACAAGCTTATCGGTAAGGGGGTTAAAGTGCAGAGAGCCTGCAATGGAGAGAGCGACAACCAAGTCGGGGGAGGTGACGAAAGAGTGAGTGGCAGGGTTGCCGTCGTTACGTCCGGTAAAGTTTCGGTTGTATGAAGAGAGAATGGAGTTGGCTTCGCCCTTCTTCACATCCCGACGATCCCACTGACCAATACAAGGACCGCAAGCATTGGCAAGGACAAGGCCGCCAAATTCCTCAAAGGTCTGGAGCTGGCCATCGCGCTCAATAGTGGCGCGGATCTGCTCAGAGCCAGGAGTAACGGTGAAAACGGCCTTGGCCTTCAAGCCGTGATCGAGAGCATCACGAGCGATAGAAGCGGCGCGGGACATGTCTTCGTAGGATGAGTTGGTGCAAGAGCCAATCAGACCAACCTTGAGCTCTTCAGGCCAGTTGTTGTCCTTGACAGCCTGGCTGAACTTGGAAATGGGAGTGGCCAGATCAGGGGTGAATGGGCCGTTGATGTGAGGCTCAAGTTCAGATAGGTTGATCTCGATAAGCTGATCGTACTCGGCGCCCTGATCCTCGCGAAGCTCGGTAGCATAGGCGCGGGCGAAGTCTCCGATATCCTTGCGCTTGGTAGCGGCAAGGTAGTCGTACATGCGATCGTTGAAAGGGAACAGGGAGGTGGTGGCACCAATCTCGGCACCCATGTTGCAGATCGTACCCATGCCAGTGGCTGAGATGCCCTCGACACCGGGGCCGTGGTACTCAACAATAGAGCCAGTACCACCCTTGACAGTCAAGATATCAGCGACCTTGAGAATGATGTCTATGGGATTATCGTGTCAGCAAACAAAGGCCCATAAATTCAGGAAAATATGTTTTTGCAAAATCCTCATGATCATAACTCACCCTTTGGCGAAGTCCATCCCGACAGCTGGCCAGTCAGCTTAACACCGAGGACATTAGGAGCCTTCAGCTCCCAAGGCAGGTTGGCCATGACGTCAACAGCGTCAGCACCACCCACACCGATAGCAGCCATACCAAGACCACCACCGTTGGGAGTGTGTGAATCAGTACCAATAAGAAGACCACCGGGGAAAGCATAGTTCTCAAGCAGAATCTGGTGGATGATACCAGAGCCAGGGCGCCAGAAACCGATGTTGTACTTGGCACAAGCAGAAGACAGGAAATCGTAAACCTCCTTGTTGATGCCAACGGCTCGCTCAAGATCCTTGGCACCACCAACTTGGGCCTCAATCAGATGGTCACAGTGGACGGTGGTGGGGTTGGCAACGGCATCCATGCCAGCGGACATGAACTGCAAGATAGCCATCTGGGCAGTAGCATCCTGGCAAGCAACGCGATCAGGGCGCAGCTTGAGGTAAGACTTGCCTCTCTCAATGTCCTGACCATGAGGGTCGTCCAAGTGAGAGTAGAGAATCTTTTCGGCATAAGTCAAAGGTCGGTTGAGGCGGGCACGGACGATGGAGAGGTTTTCGGACATCTTCTTGTAGTTGATGAAGTTGTTCTCCTCCCAGTTGTTCTGGCGGACCTGTGAGCACGAGGCAAGTCAGCATGGTAAGTCCCAAGCTACAAAACTCCAGAGAGGCTCAGAGAGGCTCTCCAGAGGACATGGGGAGTCCAATGACCTTTCTGTCGAGGGCAGAATCAGAGACGGTAGCCAGACGGCGAACACTGCTGGCCGCGCCACCGGCGGCGCGGCTCCGAGCAATACTGCCCAGAACCTGTCTGGAAGCAAGCATGATGCAGACTCGGCCAATTGAGGAGTCTATAGACTGCAGTCAATCAGAAAAGCGTGGATGCTGGCGAGCAGCAGAAATCTGTCGTCAAAACCAGAAAATGCCTTGGAGGGGGGAATGTTATAAAGACACCAGAGTGGAGAGCGGAATTTGCCTGGGTGGGGAGAGGTGTTTTTCGGCTCGTGCTGCGGCCAGTCGTTTGGCCTCTGCGAAAGAAAAGATGGGACCCTCAGCCGGGATAGCAGGGCAATGACAGAATGTGCGTCTTAGAGCTGGCATGGCCCTACCCTCGCTGGCCACTCACAGGCCGTGTAAAAGCAATCCCTTGGCCCGCGTTGTCGCTTGTGCCGAGCTAAACCTCCCCTCCTCCAGCCGAGCTTGGCCTGCACCGGGGGGTAGGTGATTTTTTTTTCTTTTCTGCCCGTGCAGACTTTATTACCCCATACATGAGCTGGTGTTACAGTATTCGCGTTAGCATGTAGCAGGGCGAATCTTGCTGATCCCTAATATTGCAAGCCCACTTGGCAACTGCTGAAGGAGGTAGGTAGGTAGAGATAGACAGCCTTGAGGTTGTAAACACGGGTAGACAAATGCTATTGAAAGCTTACATACCTACCTATGTATACATAATCAGTGGATGATTTTCTGTGCTTTTACCGCACACACAAATAGCACACAGAGGCTGCGTGTTTTAACGAGCTATTGGTGTTGCAGCGCTAAACATGTAAGCGTGTAAGTACACCACCATTAGAGCCAACCTGCATGCCGCCGTAGCTGCCGGGCGTGATGCCTCCGAAACCACGCCCAAGACATGTGACGTCGCAGATGCAAGCTTCTTGCATCGCATGGGCGCCAATTGTTACGTCAACTAGGTGGCTGGATGAATCGGCAGATTTTTCAGTGGCTACATGCAAGCATAGCCAGGCAAGGCTCAAGCAACGACTGCTGCATCGCGGTTCTTCTCAGTTTCGCGGACCAAGCAAACATCTATTACATTGCGCAAAGACGTAGCCTTGCGGCTGAAGCCTCGGCACGAGACAGCGGAAGCATCGGTCGCCGGCCTCTGAGCTCGTTTTTGCGAACTTCTCGGTAATAGTTCTCGGAACCCGAAATGGCGTTAAAGGCGGAGCTCGGTCCCTAGCGCCATTACCGGAGGCTTTGGCAGCGCGAGGAGGTCCTGGCTCCGCACCTACTTTATCTTAATTCCAGCGAGGTGCGAAATACGGAGAAGCAATAACCGTACTACCCCGGCTAGTAGAGATCAGTACTAAGCTACACTGCCTGCTGAGGTAAGGTATATATGTATATATAGGTAGGTACCTGGTAGTAGATGAAGAATTTCAATAAATGCGTGACATTAGCAGCCATAATAGTACGTAGTATATACACATATAGGTATATGAGCGTGCTCTTGTAAAACTGAATGGCTACAAAATCTAGCAAAAGCAGGTCTAATGTGATATATACTGGAACACGGCTGACACTTCACTCCCCGCATACTCCTGTCTCAGCAACAGATCCTGTATTGGCTGCAGCTGAGAGTTGACAAAATGATTCCAAGTGCTTGTATCGCCATACAACATAGCAGGCGCCTTGATGAATTGTCGGCCATCGGACTTGCACCTTTTGCACTTAAATGTATCGTGAGTGTCGCTAGTTGTATCAGGCCGATATTGAAAGAGCTCTCGAAGGCTGTCGAGAGAGAAGTGGCGCTCTACATCCTCAGCAGAGTCCACCACGCACGAAGATAAACTTTGCTTGTGGGATTGCCGTTGAAAGATCTTCTCTTCAATAGTGCCCGTGGCAATGAAGCGGTAAACGAAGCAATCTTTCTTCTGACCATCTCGCCAAACTCGTGCCAAAGCTTGTTGGTCGGCCGCGGGGTTCCAATCCGGATCAAAGAGGACGAGACGGTTTGCGCCAATGAGGTTTATGCCACAGCCACCTGCCTTGCTGCTCAACAAGAAGATGAACTCATCTCCGTTTGGATCATTGAAACGATCAACTAGTTTTTGCCGTTTGTTCACGTTCATTGTTCCGTCAAGCCGTAGACATCCATACTGGCGATCTCTGCAGAGACGTTCGAAGAGATCTAGTGTAGACGTGTAATTGCTGATGAGCACAATCTTGTCGTTTGTGTCTTCTCGAATCTTGGCCAGCATTCGATCGAGAACTTGCATCTTGCCCGAATACCAGGGTTTGATGTCTCGGTCCCTCCCCCGACTTTCTTTAGGGACATAGTCGCCTGGAAAGCATTTCTCCGAGCCGGGCAAGTCATCTGCAAGGTTTAGGAGGTCAGGATGGTTGCAGAGTTTTTTGAGGATGTTGATGGCTTTGAGAGGCTGGCTGCCCTTGCCGCGCAAAAGAGCTTGGATGTCTGGACTCGTGATAAAATAATTATAGAGATCGAGCTGGAACGGAGCCAGGTTGCAAAAGACTACATGTTCGTATTTGACCGGGAGATACTTGGAAAGAATGTCGTTTGTTCGTCGAATGAGGAATTTGTTGACAACACCAAGTAACTCGGATGTGCATTCGTCCCCGCGTCGGCGATCCTGTTCTGACGCGTCGGCATCTCGCCCACGCAAGATGGGTATTTCAAATCGTTTCCGAAACTCCAATCGCGACCCGAGAAGGTCTGGGTTGGCAAAACTGGTCAAAGCAAAGTATTCCGTAAGGTCGTTTTGGATCGGCGTGCCAGTGAGAATAACTCGTCTAGATACCTTAAGGTCGTTCAAAGCATTAAATGTGTTGCTGTCGGCGTTTTTTAAACGATGCCCCTCATCACAAAATAGAAGGCCAATCTTAGTGTGCTTGAGCTCTTCAACGTTAAGCCGAAGAGTCTCATACGAGACAATAATAACTGGTCGTGTGACGGATCGGCCAGAAGCAATTGCCCACTGACGAAGCTGGCGTTTCAACTCTTCCTTTGGCGCTTTCCCATCAATGGCAAATGGATTGATAGCGTTAGGACCAAGCCATTTTGTCAACTCATTTGCCCAATTTTTTACCAAACTTGCTGGGCACACAACGATAGCTTTCTGGATGGTGGATTTTCCGGCACTAGGAGATTGCTTTAACAATGTCCACATGAGAGTAATGCACTGGAGCGTTTTTCCCAGCCCCATCTCGTCAGCCATAATGCATCCCTGAGCCTTCTCATCGACGAGCCCTGTGACACATTTGTACATGAACTTGACTCCTTCAATTTGATGTGGGCGAAGGCATTTCGCAATCTTGGGGTCAATCACAACTGGAACTTTGGGATGATCTGTTTCCACTTGTTTCTGAATTCCGAGAATCTCAGCCAGGCTTTTATGCACAATCGGGGCATCAAGCTTCGAGGGTTCCACCTCCTTTGGTACCACGTTTTCCTGGATTATATCAGGCTTCGAATCAACTGTCGGATCGTAAAGAACAATCGCAAATTCGCCGGATGGGTCATGCAGAGGCCTAGGGACAAATACGGCTCCACGTCGGAGCCCGAGAGTCGGCGGAGGCCTTGATGAACCATAGTCGCCCTGAGTTTTGTCTTTTAGAGGAATAGAGAAAGCTTTTCGAAAGACAACATTTTTATCTTTCACTTGAAAGACTGGAAACTTTGGCAGTGAAGGCGTTTGAAGGCCATTGCCGTCGTATGACGTGTCGATGTTTGCTCCTTCATTTTCATCGGCTCCTCTGTAGTCTACTTTCCTCTTTTTCCGGACAGGCCGGTCTGACGTGGATGCTGCATTCGCCGGTGCAGGGCATTTGAATGGCTTACGAAGCGTATCAAGATTCTGAGATTTTGAAGCTTGATGGTTCGACCTGCTGGGGTTTTTGTCCTTCAGCGTTTGGTGGGATGGTGCACTGCAAAATGTAAATATAGATTCATCCTTAGCCCACCAAACTTGGTCCAGAGTCACTTACATTACTTTCATGGCGAAATAGCACAATGATCACGCGCTTGCTGGCTAAAAAAAAAACGATGGTGATTCTGATTGTCGATGCAACATGCACGATATGAATGGGACAGCGCGTTCCTTCTTGAGAAGCCGCAGCTAACGCGCGAAACCAGGACGCGTCCTCACGTGATTAGGTAAATACAAAATACTCGTAAACTGCGGTATGCCAACGTGTGAGGCTGTTAATAATTCCACCTGTTGGCAATGTTTTCAATTCTTTTGGAAAATTACATATACTGGTAGGATGGTTATAGTATTGGTAAAATGCTAGAGTCTGTTTTGGGCCATCCCCCTTGTGCTGGTGCATGTTCTATTTTGAATGTCCTCAAGATATTTTTGAAGGTGATACGTAATAGAATCGAGATTACAAAGCGCATGGTTGCAATTTGGTACAAAATGAAGTATTTACCTGCGAAGCATATACGAATCTATATATCTAGGTACCTAGGTAGATAAGTGTGGAAATATACATATATGTCCAAGGTGCAGCGCCCAAGAATTAGAAAACAGAGGCCCGGAAGTTGCCTATGTACATGAAGCTCCGGAGCTACCTGAATGCTGAAGCTTAAGGTAGACTAGTAGCCAGTGCATCGGAGCTTGGAATCGGTATACAGGCGAATGTGCGACCGTGAGATGCAGACAAAACAGATTTCATCAAGCCTCTGACAATAGTCGTGCATGTCCATTGCCCATGCTCATTTCACTCATAATCCATTCATATACCGCCCACTGAATGGCATTGACGAGAAATGCCCTCACACTGCAGATGGACAGACCTCGGAAGAAGGGACGAATCCCACCTTCTCTATAAGTGTCTTTAGCAATGTGCCATGCTCCGCCTCTCTTCTTACTTGCGATACCGCGATACGCAAGAACTGATGCAGGATACTGCTGTGTCTGAAGCCGCGACTTGATGACGTCGAGGGGGAAAACGCTGGCCCAAGTGGCAATCCCTGCAATGCCACCACACAACAACACCTTTGATGTCTCTCGCCGCCCAGAAGTGTTGTCATCGCGCCCTGCAGCTGCTGCAGCAGGCCAATAGCGATGAGCCAATTCATATGTCCAAAAATAAAAGCCATAGCCGATGCTGTCCCGCAGCGCCGTGACGACCCCGCCATGGTAGAGGCCCTTTACACCGTCGGTACGCAGTATCTGCTTGAATATCGTCCAGCTGGATGTGGCAGGGGTTGACATCTGCGCTCGGCACTTGATTAACTCTGTTGGAGCGCTGACAACCCATACAGCAAGGCCACCCATTGCTCCCGCTGTCCAAGTAACCCATCCGGCATCTCGTGTCGAGGCCGCGTCCTTGAGCATTGCCTCCGACCGGTTGTATGACACGAAGAGCAGCGCATTCAAAGCCCCATAGCCAAAAATTGGCGCGGCAGTGCCTTTCATAAAGGCCACAGAGCTCTGGCTATATAGCTTTCCGATGGCATGCCTTGTAGTTTGCTGGCGCACCTTCTCAATGTCCAGAGGATTGCCCACCACAATTCCAACTACTCCGCTGAGATAGCCGGCCCAGAAGTCGGCCGACATGGCGAGAGTCACAGGCCAAGTCAGATGCTACCAGCGCAATATTAGGGATATAATCTCTGCAGAATACGGCTGCATATTAATACTGGATAAATAGTAGGAAACAATCCATGCAAACCTGCCGAGTACCTAGGGCTTGCACTACTACTTTTTTACTAGAGTCCTCGCTCTCACGTGTATAGCTTAATTCAGCCAGCCGAGGTTTTGCTTCTTGTATCTTGGAAACAAAGTTTCGATTCAAAGCCAAATTGCTGAAAATGAAGAAAGAATTGTATTGATATCATCCTGTCCGACTTATTATCACATCAAACTCTTGGTGTCTTGCAGCTGCCATCCGTCCTGGGTCTGCTTGACTCTTCCCTCTTGCTCCAGTTTGGCCAGCATCTGTACAACCCCGCCACAGGCTGCCTGATGCAAATCTTCACGCACGTCCTTGTATACCGTTTTAACTATAGCCATTGCCGTCCAAGTTTCACTGCTACCGGAAGCATTGCCTGCCATCATTGCTCGCAAAACTTCTTCTTCCCGTTGACGGCGATGCTCTATGTATTCGTTGATTTTCTCCACGCCATTCTCAACCACAGGTCCATGGCCTGGGTAGACTCGCCCAGAAAAGAGCGTCTTCATTTTACTCAGGCTCTGAAGATACGTTGCCAAGTCCTCAAACACGGCAGTGCCCTGGCCAAGCACATTATCGCCCGCAAAGATTGCATCTTCTTCGGTAAGCGTGAGCGCCATGTGATCCTTTGTGTGACCCGGAGTGTGATGAGCCGTCAAGGTTGCACCCTCAGTTGTGAAGCTGTCGCCATCTCGAATAGCCAACTGCTCAGCTTCCGGACTGTTCTTGTAAATCTTGACTTCAGGGAATGCTTTCACAAGATCTGCAATGCCCCCAGTATGATCATGGTGCCAGTGTGTTATTACTGCCGCCTTCACCGTCGCATTCTCATGGGAAAGCGTTTCTTTGAGCGATTGTATCCAGATTGGGCGGCCCTCTCCTGTATCAACCAAGATACGAAAATGGCCAGTGCCCAGCAAGTAGGTATTAGTGCCCTGCAGAGTGAATTTGCCTGGGTTGCCGCCCAAGATCCTGATGCAGCGCGGGCTTAGACGCTGTACCGTAGGAAGGGCTATCAGTGTAGCAGACATGATGTGTTGAACTGTTGGTGCTTTTCTTTTTCTTACGGGGCCGACGAAAGAAGCTACTTGCAATGTATCAAAACACAGTAGCGGCGCCCGAGATACTACTAAGCTCAGAGTCTTGCTCGTTCCAAGTTGTGCTACAACAGAGATGTTACGTGATCCGGGCCGAGGTTTAGGATTTGGCGTGACGCTTTGTAGGTATTCTGTTCTGGAATAAGGGAGGGCGAGTACTTGTGGTGACGATTGGACCAAACTTAACGCTAAGCCGTTATGATCAAATCATCGATCATTATAACAGGCAGTCCAGTTATTGAACAGAAAACCCCCCCCCCCCCCCCCCAATCATGAAATTGTTACTATTAGCTACACCTCATATTAATGTACATATATGCATAGACCCCTCCATCATAAGTAGTACCTACCCAAGTAACAAGGCTACAGGTGCTGGCGCTAGGCAGCTAGCTGCCACGTTATTTGCCAGACAGCCATTGAGTAAGGCTGCGTTGCGTACCTAAGCTAGGTACCTAGGTATGCACTATCGCTACCAACTTCCAGCTTCCAACCTTCAACCACCTTCTCGCAACTGTCGCTATACCCATCAAGTTGCACTTGTCAACACCTCCTGTCGAACGCCAACCATAACGACACAAACCTCATTGCAGATTTCCTTTGTTCACCACTCACTCCGCCGGGCTGAGATTCCAAACACTGCACACCCCACCCTTGCCACGGGCCGTGGACGACCATCGACAGCGGTACTGTCTCTTCAAATATGAACAACGACAGCATCTCGGATTTTCTCGCGGAGCAACGAGACGCAGCTCCAGAGGAGCTTCAGCCGCTCATCCTCAACTTCGAAGACTTCTGGGAACGCAAACTATGGCACCAGCTCACAGATGCCCTCGTGGAATTCTTCAATGACGACGGCAGTGCCCCCCAACGCCTCGCCTTCTATAACGTCTTCATCCTGAAGTTTGCTGATAAGATCAACAAACTGAAATTGGTGATGCTGGCGCTCAAAGCTGCGACACAATGCAAAGGTTCGTCTTCGGCTCTCTGTGGATCTTGAATTGCCATTAGGCTGCTAATTATCCCATGCAGACGATCGCGATCGCTTAGCATTCCTGCAGTCGGTAGTAAAGAAAGTGGACACGGAGGATTCTCAAGATGCGCTTGTGTTTGCCTCTGTTGCAGTTGCGAGGGTGAAGCTAAGTCTTAATGAGCTGGAAGACGCAAAACATGATCTCGACGCTTCGGAGAAAATCCTGGACTCCTTCGACTCTGTTGAGTCGGTCGTCCATGCCGCCTTCTACGATGCCAGTGCCAATTACTACAAGGTAAGCTTTCTTGCTGGATTTTAAATAGCCACCTGAGTAACAGTCACTAATGGCGCTTTGTATTAGCTCAAAATGGACTTTGCAAACTACTACCGGACCGCCATACTTTACCTTGCCTGCATCGATCTTTCCACCCTTTCTGACGAGGAACGACATCAAAGAGCTTATTTCCTGAGCGTGGCTGCTCTAGTATCCACGAGCATTTATAATTTTGGCGAGCTGCTGCTGCATCCCATTCTGGATACTCTGGGCCGGAGCGAGAGTGACGCTTGGTTGCGTGATCTTCTCTTTGCTTACAACCGAGGAGATCTTGCCGCCTATGATGTTCTTTCAGATAACATAGCGTCGAACAAGCTCTTAAACGAAAATTCGGATAGTCTTCGACAGAAAATTTACCTGGCAGCCTTGACGGAAGCCGTCTTTCGCAGACCACCCCATGACCGGACCATGACCTTTGCAACCATTTCCCAGGAGACCAAGGTTCAGCCGCAGGAAATTGAGCATCTGGTGATGAAGGCTTTGAGCCTGGGCCTCCTTCGCGGAACAATAGATCAAGTAGGCCAGATTGCGCACATTACCTGGGTGCAGCCGAAGGTGCTTGATATGAAGCAGATCGAGAGCATGCGCCAACGATTACTCGAGTGGGACTCGAATGTCAATCAGTTAGGAAACTGGATTGAAGCTGCTGGCCATGATGTCTGGGCCGCCTAAGCGTAGCCAAAGCATGAGCATAGAGAAGAGTCACTGAGGTTCGTAGCTGCTATCGGAGAGGTTATATATTACCTATACCATGAATGCACACTTAAAACTACTTGGGCTCTTAATGAACTTGCTGCGCTTTCATTATTATTATTATTGATATGTCTAATCGCAATTTCGAAACAAGAGATTTACGATAATTTAACAAAAGAATTTGGCATAAGTTCCCAATAGCTACGCGTGAAATCATATCCCGTATGATTCCATTATGCCTTGGAGATGGGACTAAGGGTATTCGTCATACCAACCAGCCAGGCCGGCCACCACATACACCAGATGACAATTGGCGTATACATCCCCCACACATTCCAACCCAAACTCGCTGCTTTCAGGACTTCCGTCAGAGTAACGCCACTGGTCCACGCTGTCGTTAATATAACAATTGGTGGCGAGGTTATTATCAACAACATTGCAAAAATGCCTCTGGTAGCTACGCTATTGGTTGGCCGAATGAAGGTGAGAGGGCTTGCTAAAAGCCCGACCAGGAAGGCGAGAGAGAAATTGAGTGTGCTGAGGGTAGCAAGGGATACACCTAGAATCAACAGCGAGAAGGATTTGGTAAGCTGAAAGTATTGCAGAGTTGACTTTTGAAGTGAGGCAGCAGCGAAAGAGAAGATAGCTGGAAGGACAGTAGATGCGACGGAAAATATCAAGAATGCCAATGGCAGGGTCTCGGAATCATAGAATTAGCTCAGCGTTCGGTATTCAAGCGATACAAAAGAAGATGGCTGCATCAAAACTCACATTGAGGCCAAGATGGTTGAACACAAATAAAGGAATGGCAGAGATGGAATGGCATATCGCAACGAAAGTAAGAGGTGAGAGAAGGTTCCGTTCTACTGCAAGAGGATTCCAGGAGGCTTGCGCGGCATCACCTTTGTGCTCCATCCCATCATTTTTTTCCTTGGCCGAGTCTACATCCTTGACCGTAGGTTGTCCGCTTTTCACCCAGAGGAAGATGGCCATGATGGTAAAGTTGGCAGCCAGCAGCATGGCGCTGGGGAGATATGTGCCAATGCTAACGAAGCGATTCTTTTGCATGAGAAGGTAGAAAAAGAAGCTCTGGTGCAAATGCTCCAAAAGGTTGTTGAGACTTCGAAAGGATCCCTCAACAACTCTACCCATCGCCATCTCATCGTGCCATCCTTCACCGGTAGGCTGCAAAGTTATGGCGTCCACATGGTATGGAATAAAGCTGCTGTGGGGGCCGGTGGGATATCCAAGGCCCTGATACAGCATACCGCGGAGCATCGTTTGAAGTCGATCCTGATAGCTATCGGTATGGCCAGTCATCTGCTGTACGGTGGTTTCAATACCCATCTGGCCTCCCGCAATATTGACAATTGAATTAATGAGATCGAGGTTAGGCAGCTGCCCATTCGTGCCATCGTAAATAATATGAAGCTCATGGTAGCGCTGCTCATGGGGGTAATCGATCGCGATAGCTCCCTGTAGTGCACCGGATTTGAGCGGCAATGGTGAAACGTGTTTGGAATCATGAGCGTCGTGATATGCGTCAACCCAGGCCTGTGTTCCAGTTGTGCTATCTGGAGGTAAAAGGAGTATAATGTCCTTCGACCATAAAGACCAGCCTGTCGCTTGTCAGCTTCTTCAAAATGTCCAACCCCCGTCAAGCTCTGGTTCTGGTGACGCCTTACGTTTAAAATAGCGAGCTAACGTGAGCACCAGCGCGATGCCATTACGGTTAAGCTGCTCATCTATGCTCTTCCATGCAGCGACCAGTACAATAGCTTCTGTTGCGTCACCGCGGGGGGCTTGCAGAATACCATACACATTCTCCCCAGTATATTTCTGTCCGGCCGAGTGGTAGGTGTAGTTCTGTCGGCCAACCTTGACGCCAAAGCCTGTCAGGATCGATTCTAGCTTATCGTTGACTCTGATGTCCGTATTAGCCACATGTGTGTCGCCAAATCTTCAGGAGATGGCGCTCGGCAACAAACTCATAATTATTCTTGTCGGCAAGCAAATCTACCTCGTGCCTAAAGGCCCGGAATATATGCTGCTCGCTACCTCCAAAATAAGTATGCACTTGTCCAGGCAAGAGAGCATTCTCTGATACGTAAGTTCGTCTCGAATAGTCGTCCAGAGGTAGAAGAAGCAGCCAAACAACGCCAATGGCAATACAGAAAGCGGACACGTATGGAGGAATTCTTAGCAGTCGAGGGTCGCGACGCAATGACAGCGCTGTGGCTTCAAGCCGCATGAAAGTTAGCGCATGAGTTACGCCGCGAGGGGTAGGAGAATATACAAAGCAGTCGCGGCATATCAGCTGTTAATCATGAAAGAGACATAAATGTACCAACAGTGGCTCAATCCAAATTAGATGGGCAAAAACAAGCAGCAGGTTCCCGGGGAAGCTGATTTCATGTGCGATAGGTTGATGGCTTGAATCTAAAACTAAGTCTTAGGTGTCTCCCCAGATCCTGCCTGCTAGAGTGCGCTGCAGACATACATACCTTGGGTGGGCCGGCTGTTAGGCTGATTAGATAACCACCCAAAAAGGAATCGAATCAATCTTGGTGGTAGCTGAAATACCTTCCTTACATACGTTCAGAATGCCGAGCTCATTTCATATCCTAAAACTAGCTATTGGGTTGGAATCTTAAACGTTTATACTCACACACCCTCTTACACACATACGCGCAAAGCAAGATGTACATATATTAACTGTATTATTATTAGAGAGTTATTAACAATTATTAGCATTACCGTAGGAATAAACACCAAGTTCTAAGCAAAGTCCTGTCTTATTCTAGAATTAAAAACATATAGGTGTATGTATATAAAGAGATCCTGGAGATCGTATATTAGATAGCCTTGTTTGATCTTTTTTGCATTATCTTCGTAATGGCGTGTCGAATTGTAATACCTGCTTTTTCGATATCCTTTTTGGAAAGCGCAGAAGTAACGCAGATTTTAAGCGCTGGCTGGAGTGTCCAGTCGTTTGGAGCGGCTATAGCATTCACATAAGGCCTTGTCTTCAGTCGTGTGATCATAACACCATTTGCCAGTGACTAGTGATTGTTAGCTATTATTGCTCTAATGTCCTTGAGGATAAGGGGCTGTATACCTCTTCGACGCACTCCATCAAGAGTTTCTCTTGGTCATCGGCAGTCCATCTCTTTGCATTGACAACTTCGGGTTTGATTACCAGAAGCAAGATAGGATTATCTGCCGAACTGGTGCAAACGACCCAATCGCTACGTGGATCAAGTTGCGCTCTCATGGCCCGAATGCTCTCTCTGCACTGAACAAGAATGTCAGGATTCGACTGTAGCAGCTTCAGTGATTCGCTTGTAGTCATAGCCAACATGGCTGGTAGGGCTGCAGAGAAAGTATAAGCAGAAGAGGTGATTCGCTGATGCTCAATCACATCTTTAGATCCGGCGCAAAATCCGCCTCCGGCACACAAGGGGCCTGCGAGCGAGCCAATGATCATGTCCACCTGTTGTGGATCTACATTCTGCGCCTCAGTAAGGCCACGTCCTGTTCGTCCCAACACTCCAAAAGACCATGTTTCGTCAAGAATGATTCGGATCTTATACTTTTCCTTCAACTCAACCAACCGAGGTAGATTAGTGACATCACCGGTTGTTTCGAAAAAGCCCTCTGTGACGACAAATCGACGAGTTAATTTACCAGATTTCGCCTGTTCATTTGCAACCGCTTTGAGCACCCTCTCGAGGTCGTCCAGATCGCCATGTTTAAACCATTTGACGTTGCTTCTTGAAATCTCTAGGCCTTTACGAATCGAATAATTGACAGCAGCATCGGCAATGATAACGTCGCGACGCTTGCAAAAGGTAGGAATGACACTCGTTGCAGTCGAGAATGTTTGTGCGTAGAGAATGCAGCCTTCTGTGCCAAGGTATGAGGCGATATCCGACTCTGCCTTTTCATGAACATCCTGTGTGCCGTAGAACTGAGGAGGGCCACAAGGGCCAACACCATACGTGCGCAAAGTTTGAATGGCCTTCTCCTTGATCTGTTCGTTGGAATTGAAGTTATAGAAGTTATACGAAGCCAAGTTCAAGGCTGTCCGTCCGTTGGATAGTTTGACTTTCGGCCCAGTCGGTCTATGGTACGAGTCCGTATGTCAGTGAATTGTAATGCAGCATACAGTAAGGCACCACGCACCCAACGATAACCGGAAGTCTCTCATTCTCAATCTCTTCTACAGCCGTTCGATCGGCCACAATTGGCTCCGGAGTCCATTCATCAATTAACTCTTCAATCTCCTAAAGCCAGGGGCAGTCAGCGAGAAGGAATCATCGGTAGAATGCGGATGATCTTACGCCTTCTTGCAGCTTGACAAAATTTTGCTTGTGAGTCGAGTATGAGGGCGACATAAGGTAGCGGATAAAGAACAGCACAAGGACCAATTCAATAGCGGATCGAACGGGATCATTCTGGTAGCTGGATTGGATATATCGTACGATCATAGCTGAGCCGGGCAGCTTTTGAAAATTCGAAGATGTTGCGCGAGCAATCTCGCCTAAGCGAGTCTGCAACATATCGAGGTCCATCGTGGGCTATCCGCAAGTCGCGGGTGGATGTTGTCAAGGTTGACTTGGGTCGATTGATGGGGACCTGATGGGCTTGATATAAGTTCAAGATACGAAGGAAGGTTAGTGGCAATAACGTAAGCTACTTGTAACAGTGGGATATAGAGTTCAGTATCCCTCCGTCCAATGTGAAATCCTAGCCGTATTGAGAATAGTGGATCGTTGTGGCTTTCCAGGTAAAAACGCCCAAAAAACGGTCCAATGCAAGAGATATCATCACTACTCCATGTACTTAAAACAAAAGGAATTCATTTTCATACAGCTACCAGCGCTTAAAATTCTAGATAGTAGTAATTGAAACAATTCACGCCTATATATTAAAATTTGAAAAAAATTATTCATCTTGTTATAGCTATTCAGGATTTACTAAAACTAGATAGTTATTCGTACTGCCATCAAACTAGTAGTATATTAATTGCTGTATGTAGCCTTTCTGTTAGCCTGCTCCTATAACCTTAATTTCTTCTCCCCCTGATTTAACCAGGCCTATAATGGCCCTTTTTAGAACTCCTACGCGGCCACTCTTTACACCACATGTCTTGCATAGCCGACAACTACAAAATATCATTTTGATTGCTTCTTGCTTGATAGTTTTATTATTTTTCATATACCACCATGAGCAGCCTGCGCCTCCCGAGATCCTACCATATCAAACCTATCCGCTGACCGACGACTTCACACATCATACGGTGACCGACTTTTTCCCCAAGTCTGTACCGACGGGCATCAACTCAACAGAAGACATTTGCCGCTCCTTTCCGAAACATGTTTTGTCACGAATACAGCCAGTTCTCAAAACTGGTCACGGAGATAACAAAGAGAGATTAGACGCGCAGATGGATAGCACTAGTGCCTGCTTTACGCCAGATGAGCTGATCATCTTCTCAGACCTTGGCGAGGATATTCGAAATCATCGTGCTATTGACATTCTTGCCGATCTGCCAAGCTCTCATTATAATGCCACCACCTTCAAGATGTGGGGAGAGTATTTATCCCAGAAAGAAATGCAAAGAAGTGGTATTTTAGACACTGAGGCACAAACGGAGCATATCAATGGATGGGCTCTCGACAAGTTCAAATTCTTACCGATGATGGAAAGAGCGTGGGCTATGAGGCCCAATAGAGACTTTTACGTCTTTTACGAAACAGATACGTAAGTGTGCTCGTTTAGATTTTTGCTCGCCAAAGCGTTAATAGTTATCCTAGCTACATATTTTGGGATAACCTATTCCGTTTCCTTCAAATGTATAATCCAGATGCAAACGTTTACATGGGCTCGCCATCTCCCGGTCGCCGCGATCCAAAACGAAGAGACCAGGGGACTTTATTTGCCAATGGAGGTCCTGGATACATCATTAGTCGGGGCGCCATGAAGACTCTATTGCAGCGCACCACAGGTCTATTTGGAGAGTATACAGATGAGCCGCTCTCGACAAAATTCAGTTATCTAAATCATGATGATGAGTGCTGTGGCGACAGCGTCCTGGGATGGGCAATGTGGGAGCAGGGCATTCCCATGCATGGTCACTTCCCGATGTTCAGTCCTTATGCCCTTCACGAAATTCCTTTCAATGACCAGCATTGGTGCCAGCCACTGATAACGCTACACAAGACATCTCCGAAAGATATGGTGGATTTGTTCAGCTGGGAGTTCAATCAACGGAAATCCGATGTAAGTCATATTCTTCAAAGGCATGCTCCCGGGAGTTCTTTGTGCCTGGCATAGAAATAAAATACCTGGAATTGAAAAGCTAATCGGCATATAGCGACCATTGTTATATTCTGATATATGGCAATTTCATAAACCAGGTACAACCCCAATCCGTGAAGATTGGGACGGTGGTCGTTTCAATGCGTACAATCCACCTGGTACAGATATCGATTCATCTGAGCAATGTAGCCAAGCGTGTGATCAAGACGATAATTGCTTGCAATGGAAGTGGGCGGGAGCAGATGATCAAAGGTGCACCCTTCTAGGATCAATACAACATGGGCAAGGAAGAGAGGTAGATAAGGGATTAAAGGATAAGAAGGGGAATGCAGGGGTTATAAATAAAGCAGGATGGAATGAAAATCGTATAAGAGAATGGAGACAAGGCAGGAAGTGTAATAAAATTACTTGGGTAGGAGCAAATGTAAATAGAAAAGTATAATTATTATAATTATTACTTATTGCAAATATTACTTATTATAAATAAGAATATATTACTAGGCTATTGTTTATTATAAGGTATTGTTTTTTTTAAAAAAAAAAGGTTTTTAATATTACTTTTTTAATATATTAGTTTTAAATATTTTTTAAAAAATAATTATAAATAAAAAAGTTAATTTATTATTATAAATAATTAAAAATTAAACTTTTATTTAAATATTAAATTTAAAATTATAAATATTATATATATATTTTTTTAATATTTTTTATATTTAGTAATTTTTTTAAGTTTAATTTATAATATTTTTAAATTTAATTTAAGTTTATATATTTGTATATTTATTTATTAAAATTTATTTTTAATATAATTATATAAGCTTAAAAAACTTATAATAACTAGTATAATAAAAAATTATACTTAGCTTTTAATTTAATAATTAAGTAAATAAAAATATTTAAAAAAATATATATATATTATATTTAGCTTTATTAGGTTTAATAATACTAATAATACTAGATTATTAAAATTACTTATAAGATTTAAAATAAGGTTTTTATATTAAAAGAAAAGTTTTTTATTAATAACTTAATATAATACTAAAGCTAAATAATAAAAAAAGCTATTTATATAAAAGCTAGTAAATATAAAAAGCTTTAATAATTTTTTAAAAAATAAAAGAAATTAATTATTAAGTATAATTTAAAGCACTAGGTATTATTAAAATATATAAGACTTTAATATTAATATTATATTATTTAATATAATAAAATAATTTTATAATAACTTAAGATAATTTTATAGCTAATTATAATCTTTTATATATAAATAATAACTAAAGGAAATTAAAAAGAAATAATAATAATTATTAAACTTAAATTATTATAATAAATAGCTAAAGCTTAGTTTAATAATTAAGCTAAAATTAAAAAAGTTAAAATGTTTATAAATAAATATAATAAGTAAAAAAAAAAAAATAATAATAAAAACTTTTATTTTTTTAAAAAAAAATAAAAAAAATTAAATTTAATAAATATATAATAAAAGGAAATAATAATAATAATAATAAAATATTAAAAAAAAAAGTTTAATAATAAGTTATAATAATAAATAGTTTATTTTTTTATATTTAAAAAGAAATTTATTTATTTATTTATTTATATAATAATCTAGTCCCTAGATCCTAGGTTATTATTATAAGGTAAAAGATTCCTAAAGGATAAATATATATATTTATATTAGTAAATAAAATAAAATATCTATTATTAAGTATATTATATAATTATATAATTAGTAAATAAAATATAACTTATATTTAATATTATTATATTATTAATAATTAACTATTTAAGCTATTTAATAAGTATATTTTATTTAACTTATATAATAAGTTATTTTATAAAAATTATTATATTCTATTAGTCTTTTATTATAAGAATTACTTATATATATTAGTTTAGTATATAAAATTACTTTTATAAGTTAATTCTTTTTTAATTAGTTATTTATTTTAAGGTTATCCTAAGATATATATTATATTATAATTCTTAAAAGTTAAGTTATAATATAATACTTTCTTTTTAAAAGTCTTATTCTTAAGGCCTATTATATAATATTTATTATTATATATTATAATAATATACTTCCTAGGTAAGTAATTTTTCTTTTTTATATATATAATATATTTAATCTTATAACTTTTATAAAAAAGTACTATAAGGCTTTTTCCTTAGCTAAATATATTTTAATTATAAATATAATTACTAATATATTATATACTTATTACTATTATTTAAAATTATTATATATTATTTTTAATAACTTTTTTTATTATAAGAGTTATATAAAAGCTAAGAAGTTATATAATAGAATTTTAATAGTAAGTTTTATAAGTTT